AGTTAAAAATAAAAAAAAGCCAATATGGCAGGTAAGTATCTGAACTTAACACTATTTATGGAAAAAAAAGAAAGAAAAATTAAATCACAAATATAAAAGTTAAAATTGATAAGTATCAGACAAACAGTTTTGTTGTTGAATCATAAATTAAATTCTATCCAGTTTTTCTTCAACCTGATACAGAAATTGAAAGTATCGAAACATCAAATTAAACATTTTCTATGACAAATTAATTTCAATTCAATATTTTTGGTTTTTTATGAAATTTAAAAGGTTGCAGAAGAACGGGAAGAAAATAAACTTCGCAACCGTGAGAATACTCCTTATGGAGAATATGGTGGATGGCATAAAGCAGCAAAAGTTGATTCGCCAACAGTAACAACGACTCTGAAAAATCTTGGAGCTTTGTATCGACGACAAGGAAAGTACGAAGCTGCTGAAACTCTGGAGGATTGTGCAATGCGCTCCAAGCGAGAAGTAAATTCAAATGTCACTGATACTAAGTTGACTCCGAATAAAAAAATATCTGGTTTTTTCAAATTTTTCAGTCATTAGATTTGGTGAAGCAAGTTAAGGTGGCACAAATATTGGGAAGCGAAGATAAAAGACATTCGCGAAATTTGAGCGTTCCATCAAATAATGGCGATTCGTTTATCGAAACTTCAAAGGCGAATCCATCTTAAGAAAAAAAACATCAAAAATCAAACAAAACTTTTTCTCTTCATTTAAGGCACTTCATTTAAAAATATTTAAAATAATTCTTCATTTACTAGCATCACTGACAAAACATCCTATTAATAACAACTATCAGAAATAGCTTCTTATGATTCCATAGCGAGTATGCATTTCAAATATTGGAATTAACACATAATATCCTCTGAGCTTGTGTTACTAATGGATTAACTAATACGGTTTCATGGTAGATTGATTAGATATTTAGAAGCAAACAAGGTAAAAATGAAGCAATTCGGCAGCATTGTAAAATAATTAAAAACCTCAAGCTTGAAAAATTTTTATAAATTATATTTCCCTTTAAAATTTAACTTTATAACTCTCTCCATGTGTTTCTTTTGAGAAAGTGCTTTTATGTTATTTTACATTTATAACTGGCTCAAAAAGCTTTTGAAAATTTAAAGTTGCATAAGAACGAAGAATTGTGAAGTTGGATACAAATTGAAAAATTGAGGTTATTCATTGTTTACTGTCATTTGCTACTTATATGTAGTTATTGTAATAATAAGAGATGTAATTTTACACAACAAATTAACATAAAATACATATTTTCTTATTCTTAGCATAGGAACAGACAGTATAAGTTCATATAATTTTTAATTAAAATTTGAGGCATTTGATGAAAGCTTTTGTAGATTTGAGGGGACTGAAAATTCCAATATTTTTTTAAGAAGTAGAACATGGGATTAAAATCTACTAATTTTTAGAACAGGAAGTCAGTACTAGGATTCTTCATCCTTTGCCATCAAAAATTAATTACAAATTATGATATGATTAAACATACTGTCCGTTTTATCTAACGATAAGGCAATCTTCATTAGACTTGTGATTTAAACACCTTGCATCATCCACACTGCTTACTTATATACACAATGTGGTAATTTTTAAGCAATTTTCTTATGTTTTCATATGTTTAGTTCTTCCTATCAATTATCTATCTGATAAATACTCTCACACTTAATAAATTAAAATTCAAAGCATTTAATAAGTTATTTATATGTATAACAACACTTTTGTTTTCAACATTGAATATAAGAAAATTACTAATTTAATTGCATTTTTCGAATATCCTTTCAATATATCAATATGAAAATATTTTTTATATATTCATGATGATTTAGTGCTAAAAATTCTGTTCTTCATTGTCCGTTTATTAATTTCTCCCTTTATCTTATGATTTTGTCAAGTTTTTTAGATAATTTAACAAAGTAAAAATATTCAAGTATTTGTAGAATTGCAATGCTTTTAGGAAGCATTTAAGTTTAAATCAGTTTAAATACAAACCGCAATCGTTCCTTTTATGTTCATTTGCCTTTCATGACATCACACACTTTAATTTGGGGGAAATTGTTTTATTTTGTTTTTATTAGATAATTTTGTGTTCTTTTTTTCCTTTTTCAAAATTTGTGCACACCAACATATTTCTTCCCAATAATATGTTTACGTATTTTTTCTTTTATCTCATCTAATTCAAACCCAATAAAATATTTTGAAGCAATAAAATTTCTTTTATTAATTTGTTTTAACTTTCACGAGAAATTATATAGATAGCTTCAAGAAATTCAGAAATCTTCAATTATTTTCATCAATGAGCATTTTTAAATGCGAGATATTATTTTACAGAAATCAAAACTACAAGATCTAATAGAAAGATAAACAAATATTGATTTATATTCTAAGAAATACTTTTATTGATTAATTTAATGTTCTAGAAAAATGCCACAGAGTTACTGTTTTTGAATGCTGAAATCAAAAATGTCATAAATTGGCGTATAACTATTTAATAGATGAAGAATTTCACAACGTGATAGGTGATTAAAACTACTGTCCATTCATCGAACAATGAAATATGCTTTAAATTTGGAGACATAAAATACTTATACATATCTAAATATTTATGTTTGGATATCTTTTAATGTGAATACTTTACTTATTATTGTTGAGCTTAACAAAATATTTCGACGATCTTTTAATCTAATTTTAATCGTAAATCTTTTGACTGCTACTTCTGTCATAAATTTTTTGATGTTGGCTAACCGGTGGTGGGAAGCATCGAACATGTTCAACGTTAGAGTCTGTGAAAATATTAAAATCTTATCAAATGCAAAGGAATAAAACAGGAAAACTTACCGCCTTCACTACTCTTCATGTATTTATTTAATATTGCGAAAATCTGCGAATTGAGAACTTGGAATCGTCTAATGCGATCGACCATTCGTTTCAAGTTCTTTTGAAAGAGAAAATAAGGAAATGAAGAAATTTTTTGATTGTTTTTACCATTTTTCAACTTACAATGCCTTTGACTGTTCCATCTTTACCATCAACACGTTGCACTCTCAAAATGTGATAACAAAAGTCCAAAGCTTCGAAGCGTCTTTGTTGATTCAGAAGAATGATAATAACGCAACCAGCCCAATGAAGTCCTTCACCGAATAATTCTCTGTGTGATAAAACTTTGTTATAAAAAAACTGAGAATTTCAAATTAAAAAATGAAACTTACTCGACAGTATATTCGGTACCAGCAACTGGAATACAATAAACAAATTGAAGAGCTGACCATAAACGATGAAATTCTGAACATTCATCAATATGCATGACACCATTAGCTGGTGGTGGTCCAGCCCATACTGGATCATCCAAATATGATTTAATTTTCTGCAAAATAACTTCAAAGATACTCAAACCGCAACACAATCTTTCTCGTGTCAATAAATCGCCTTCCCTAGCAATCAGCGCTTGTTTTGCTGTTCCAAGTTTCTCAATGTTTGGAACGATTTGAAGTGATGCAAACTTTTGTTCTAAACGTTTTTGTTTAGCTTCTGGCTTTTCGCCTTCCTTACAATGTGGACGAGGTAAGATGTTTTGAAACGGCGCTGCATGTAATAAATCACAAACTTCTTCTTGTGAAAGCGCTTGCTCCATCAACATACAGAAGAGAATTGAATTGCCAACTTCACGAAATATTTGGAAAAGTTCAGTTTTAGCGTCAGGATATTGAACGATATCGATGAGATGTGCTTGATAATATTCAAGAACGCCAGGTGAGCCATAGTCACATCGTGGGAGTTTACATGTTTTCGGCATGGCGCCCATTAATGTCTTTGTGAATTGAAGAAGATTTCCTTGAATCAAAGGCTTCACAATATCCTTCATGATGATGTCCATAACAACAGCAATTCCTTGATATCCCAACAAACGACAAATCGAATGAAAATGTGGCGTGCCAACGAATCCAGTGTATTGTCCATATTGCGTCGAATAAGCAGCATTCAATTGCTTCGATCCCCACAAATAGTAATGAAACATTTGCGGTGGTTTCTCTCGTTGAATTGGCTGTCCTGATATTTGAAGTTTATTTCTTACAAATCGGTTAGTTGCTGCATTGTAACAATAATTTGATAAGAAATCATAATTTAATTCATCGAAAACATGAAGAGTGATGCGACCATAAGGTGCAAGAACGTTATGATTGGCTTCCTTCATCATGCACTCGAAATCGTCAAGTGCCAGGCCTTCATTCATCAACAACTTGTGACACAATCGATTAACTTGAAGGAGAGCTTCAAGTTCAACAACACCAGTAATGTCACTCGCTTCAAAACGACAAATTGCCAACTCCAAACTCTTCTGCATGTCAGCATTAATGCGCTGCGAAATGAGTTTATTAAGATCAATTGAACGTCCAAGTAATTGAACATGTCGTTGTTTTAATAACGTCGCATAACGATTATTCTTCGGATAAGATTGAAAGTTAAAACCCAGAACTTCGCATTCAACTCTAAATCTTTTATCAAGAAAAATGCTGCCTGCTAATTGCTTGTAATGTGCAAAAACTTGTTCCGAGAGCTTGAAAATGAATTGATCGAAACATAAATTGACTTCAGCCTCTACTTCATCGTATAAAAATTGTTTCCTGAAGATTGTCAAAGCATAAAGAGCTGAATCATTGTAAAGATCAAGCGGATATAAAACATATTCCATCATTGATGGTTCTTTCGTTCTCAAAATATGATCAGTGAGAATCCATGGCATTGACATTTCAATAGGAAATTGAATTCGCTTCTCCATTGTTATCAAGTCATTGCACTCTTCATTATGTTGATGACGAACCAAGCACTTCTTGACACGTCTTCCCATTGTCATTTCAAGATAAAACTCACGATACCACAACTGTGACAAGTCGCAACATTTCTGTAATGTCTCGCCAAAGCTCAACAAATAATTCCAATAAAATGAATTCTTATGGAACTGATCGATTTGCACGAGACATGGTCCGTCGATATCCTTCCTTAATGTTCGCTTCCCACCAGATTTATCAGCAATTAACGACTCCAACATTGTTCGAACCATGTAAAGTTGCGTTGAACTTGGCCCGACATTTAATCGCGGAACTTGAATTGCAAATCCACTGTCGGGATCTTTCTTTCCTTTATTCACTGGGTCATCGGGTGGTTCACAACCCTTCTGCCAATCAGCTGATGTCTCACGAACTGACATGATGATTGATCTTATTAAATCTTTCTTATTCTTCACTGCTTTTCTTAATGGTTCACGAAGTGTGACTTGAACGAAATCCTGAAGTTCTGAATAAATATTTCGACGAATTGAATCGCATAAGACCGTCTCGATACGTGACATAAGAACTTGAAGTCCTTTAATCATTGCAATCACTTCAATTAATGCATATTTCTCATCGGCTGTGTAATTATATCTCGTCGCTCGCTCATATTCTTCAGCTTCTGGCGGACATTCTTTATTCTGATGATGATCAGTTGGATGCAAAAGTTTCCATGAATATAATTCAGTGACAACGCTCGTCCATTCCGAGAGAAGTTGCAAACCACGCAATGCAAGGTCAGAGACAGCGCGATTTTCAGCATCTGAATGGTTCTCCTTATAAGTGTAGGTAGTCGTCACTTCATTACTGTATCGTGACAATTCTGAAATGTATTTCACATGTTCTTCTCGAATGTTTGGCAAATGAACCATCAAATCAGCTTGTGGACTGATGGCTTGTGATGTGCTGAGAGGCCATTTACTGGCATCGAAATGTTTACTCTTTCGGACATAATTAAAGGGATTGATTTGCATGTCGCCAAACAATGGAACAACCTCAAGATTCTTGAAGATTCTATCAATTCGATCTAAACGAAGTTTCTTCTTCTGATCGAGTTTGTTGATGTTGCACATTTCCGAGTCCATTAAGAAGAGTCCAAAGCCCATAACTTTCACTAACATGTGCTTCTCTTCTGGTGTTAAAAACATTTTCTGTTCGAACATATGAACACAAATATTGACAACCTCACAAATTAAATCCTCAAAGCCAGGAATCTTTTCGAGTGTATCCTTCACAGTGTCACGAATCTTGTTTTGTGTAGCGAGAAACATTGAAAGATTTTGTGACTCTTGAAGGGTATGAGAATCCGACATAACTTTAAGAAATTGTGCTGCACGTCGATATGTTGAATAATCATTTTTCACACTCGATTTCATGTTCTTTAACTCATCGAGAACAGCAAACATATTTATAAATTTACCAAGCGTTAGGAGATAAGCTTCGGAAACAAAATCTTTGCGCTTCTCGGCATGACACAATCGCTTGACTTCAAGGGAGAAAGCTTCGATTGCTTTTTTCTTGAAATATCAAAAATATTTAGATTAATTAAATTGTTATACAAATAAAAACAAGAAAATAATTACTTGGAAATACATGAAATTCAGTAACTTGTTCACTTCCGGTGCTAGAACTTCGACAGTTTTCTCATAAATTTCAACACGATTCGGTTGCTCATTTGATTTTGGCTGAGGGATAGCTCGAGAACAACAACGCCATGTATATAACATTACAGCATGTTTTTGGCCTTCATCAAGTAGAATGTTCTTTGGAATAAAAGAAGAGAGTGTGATGATTCATAATTATTTTAAAAGGTTTCACTTCATGCTCTGATTGATGATGATTACAACTTACAAGATTTGCATGAGTAGTTGCTTCTTCGATATACTTTGCTATTCCCGTAACAAATCCATTCCGATCTTCAAAATTAGTATCGAAATTAGCTTGATAAGAGATGGAGCAAGTTGAAGCTTCGATTAGAGGCTGTTCGTCAGGAAGTGGACGTTCATCGAGAATTTCAACATTTGATAATGCATCGGCAAGTGTAACTCGTTCGTTGGCCATTATGTTTACTGCTTTACACTAATTTTCAATCTAAATAGAGTTTAATTGAATTATAATATACATTTACTGGATGTGTCAGTGAGCCGAATTAAAGCGGGGGACCAGCCCAAAATTAAAAACCAAACTTTACAAGAAAAATCCTATCTTTTCTTTTCAACAAACATTCAATTTTATATTATAAGCAATTTTTCAACACACCTAATATAATTTAAATAAGTTAATGCATTTTTTAGCACGATTTTAGCACAAAAACAGATGACAATAATTTCCCAAATAAACCTTTTTTCTCTTCACAGTGTAGGTAAGAAAAATGTGCATGATATATTCTCTCACGAGAGAATTTTTTGAAGCAACGCTTTACGATCCAACCGTTTTCAAATTTAAATTTTGACTTGTAAACAAAAATTTTAAAAAGTTAAGTTGTGTTTAGGTAAATAAAAAAATAAATATGGAAATGTTCATAGCAGACTATTGTAATATAAACGAAATGATAATCTCAAAAGCTCAAGAAATTTATGAAAAAAGAGACCAAATAAAACACCTAAACATCGAAAACAAAAAATTGTTAGACGAACTTCATAAAATAAAAGAGGAAATAAAATTTGATGAATGCCATCAAAATTTGGAGAATGAGAAAAATATGTCACTACGGTCAAAATTTAGAGATATAGAAGACAAAATTCACACTGATGCAGAAGAAGCAGGAAGTGAAACGAAGACCTACTTAGCAAAACTTGGGTTGAAAGTGAGATTACAAATGTTTTCAGAAAATGAAAACTTTGTGAAACTGACTATAAAATTTAAAGAAGACAAAAACCAACAAATGGTGTTAATTTATGATCCATTAACAGAAGACTATGAACGTAAGTATTCATATAAAAAATTAACAAAACAAAATTAATTGATTAAAAATAAAATTTATTTCAGTTGATTCTATTCAACCACAACACCCACGCTTCCTTCAACTGAAAAACTTGTTACGAATCACAAAGGACATTCAAGGCTTTCTTTTCCACTTTCGAAAGAAAATTCGAACAATTTCAAACAACCAGAACAAACAATAAACTTTTATTTCTTTTAATGATAACTTCCTTGTTTCTTTTCAACGATAACATTAACACAAAAATGAATCTTAGAAATTCAAAAATTACAAAGATTGAATCCAAATCAGAGCTTGCCGAATACTCCTTAATGTTGCTCGTGACAAAAATGTTGAAATTAAAATATATTCTGTGTATGTTCGGCGATTTAACTTCACATATTCTAAGTTTTTAACACCGAGCCCACCTTCACATAAAACTTTTGTTGTTAGGCTTAAAAGCCATTGAAGAATCTAAAAAAAGAAGAAAATTCTTTGTAATTACTTTTATCTTATAACAATAGAATATTTACCTCATTGTTAGTTGGATTTCTTCCAAACTTTATCCAACCTGATGGTGCCCACAAATAAAGTTGCAACACATTTGCTGCAATATCACAATTTAATCTCCTGTTTGGATTTCTTTGAAGAATATTTTCAATCAGCTTTCGAATAACGAATGGAACTTCTTCACCAAGACTTGGAAGCATAGTTTCGTCGTATGTTTCATTGATAAGTGGCGGAGGCAACCAAGCAGATGCTTCCGAAGTTGGTGGAGTGTAAAATGGATTCGGATAACCGAAAATTTCATAAGCAATTGTTCCACAAGCCCAAAGGTCACTCTTCGTATAATTAAGAACAGCAAATATGCTTGGCTCTTTGCCAATGATTTCTGGTGCCATCAAAGCTTGATTTCCTCCTTTATCGATTTCGTTCGATGAGTATGGAAGTCTCAATCGGTTCTTTTTATCAGCAAGACAACATCCAAAATCTGAGAGTACAAGAAGTGGAAGAGCATCAGATGATGAGTCGATAAGAATGTTGTCTGACTTTAAGTCACGATGTGCAATTCCAGAACGATTCAAATGAGCGACAGCTTCAAGAAGTTGTGTAAATAGAATGATTCGACTTCTCGTATCAATATAATTGTCAAGGAAATCTCTTAAGCTATTATCATAACGTTTCATAAGAAGAAATAAGCTCATGTTGCGTCCATATCCATTTGGATTCAAACGAGATGGAAGTGCACTTGGAAACAAGACACGAGAATGTCGCAAATTTGGAATTTGATCGCAGAAAAATCCCGGCATGAAAACAATGTTGGGGTGAGAAGGAAGAGAAATTGTTTGTTCCATTATTATGCGCTCCCAGTTCTGTGCTTCAACATTGTCAAGTCTACATCGAGCTGGAATTGCTTCTTTATACATTGCTTTCAAAATTGCCATTGCATTGCTTTGAATGTCATAATTAAACATCATTTTCAATGCCCATGGATAGTGATAGATACTTGCATCATCTGCTCCTCTTTCATGAGCCGTCTCTTCATCATTTTCACTTGATGCAATGCTCGATGTGCGACTTTGTCTTCTCATTTCAATATTTTCATTAAAAGTCACTCTCCGAATAGGACTTTTAACTATTTCTTCATTATTTGCCTGACTTTGTTCCACATTTTCGTTTGTTATATTTCGCAAAATATCAACAGAAGCTCTAGCAGGTGACTCAGTAAACTTTAGTAAATTGTCTACACTTCCGCCAAAGTTTTGTGCAAATCGAGGTAAATTTGATACTGATGAAAGGAAATTAAAATCCACATTGACATTTTCAGTATTTTCCAATAATGACAAAGAAGGTGAGGATGAAGTTTCGGAAGATTGACTTTTAAAAGCAGCAGCATAGACTACAGCATTACAACCTTTAGCTATTGGTGGTCCAATTTCAAGGTCGTCGAGCTTCAAATCATCTCCAACTTTTGTATCAAGAATTTTCTCTTCCAATCTGCTTTGATATTTTGATACTGCTTCTCTAATCTCCCAACAAATTCCTTCTAGTTCATCTTCCTTTGTAAGTACACCAGCACCTGACGCTAAACTACATCCAACGAGAGAGAAGAAAGGCAACGAATCACCAAATGCGAACCTGTAAATATTTCAAGGTTGAAAAAGAAAACTTCAGAAAAAATTAATAAATTGACTTACTTTTTTGTAGCTTCAGCTCTCAAAGCAGATGACACAGGACTAGTGACCCGGTTGAGAACGTTGTCAATAAACAAACGTCTTGAAAATCGTATCAAGTTGTTGCTACTTTTAACTTCATTTGCCAGTTTTGCCTTTTTAAAGTTAAATAACAATTTATAAGAATTGACAGAACAAAAAGCGATGACAAAGAAAAGTAAATAAAATTGACAAAGATATTTCACACTTACCGTCTGAATGTTTGGTTGAGGATTTAACTTCTGGGGTCTAATATTATGAATTTTTCGATTATTATTCCAGAAAATTGCTTTTGCGTGTTTGAAAAACACTCGATGCAATAATCGATAAGACATTTTTCTTCCACCACTTTAAATTTATTCAATTATTGATTGAATATCCCTTTAAGGGAAATGTCTAATCAAAGTGAACGAAAATTTCTTTATTCCAGAAAAAAAATTATTTCATCAGCACACAAAAATTTATTTTTTTATTACGCCTTAAATGTTTTTAAAGCGAAGCTTTGATAGTTTAAAGCGACGCTGATGTTCTGACAGCATATGTTCAAGTGTGTGAGTGAGTAATAAACAAAAAATTTTCAGGATAATTAAAATTCCTTTTTTGAGGAAAATACACATTCAAAATGAGTGGAACTATTCTAGAAAATCTTAGCGGCAAAAAACTTACAATTTTAGTTTCATTTCTATTATTTTGTCAACTTATTTGCTTCTTAATCGGCGGATTATTAGGTAAAATATTTTTTTTCTTATTTTGTTTACATTTCTCACGTCGCTTCTGTTTTCAATCTCTTAGCGCCTGTACCCTCCAACGTTCAAACAATAATTGGAACAATTTGTAAAGATAGACCTGGCTCTCACAACGACACTTCGATTTGGTTATATTCAAGGGGAGGCAAAAAATGTGAAGTCCTCGATCATAATGAAATTCGTGAAGATAGTTTGAGAATGGCTAATAAACTGGTATTTGTCTTTCAAATGCCGCTTCCTCGAGGCGGACAAAATTTGGACTATTCAAGATGGCAACAAAACTTGATAGGAATTTTACAAGCCGATATTGCTTACGATCCAAAAGTTTACAACAACCCACAAAGTGAGATTACCCTTGACTTGAGATTAGCATACCGGAACAAAGGAGATCCCGATGATGAATGGAAATATTATGCCAGTTCTTTGGAAAAGCGTGATTTAACATGTGAAGTTGATAATGCGACTGATAAATATCTCTATCAATGCGATACAATTCCCGTCTTTGAAATGGGATCTTTACATCATGACTTTTACCTTCTCAATGTTCGTATTCCTGTCGATTCCGATCAACAAATGAATCTCAACATTGGTTACATTCAAGATTTAAATTTAGCCACCATATATCAAAATGGAGGATTTACAAAAGTTTGGGTATCTTTGAAAACAACCTTCTTTCCATTTATTGTCGCTATCATGATTTGGTTTTGGCATCGTGTTCACATGCTACAACGAAAGCCAGTTCTACTCGAATATATGCTCATATATTTGGGTGCAGCTCTGACATTTTTAAACTGTAAGTATCTAGTTGATAAAAAAAAGACTTTTTACTTTAATAATTTAATTTTCTAATCTTTATGTCTTCTTTTCCTTTTGTCTATTAGTGCCACTCGAATATCTTACACTTTTCGTTGAAATGAAATTTATGCTATTACTTAGTGATGTCCGACAAGGAATCTTTTATGCGATGCTCTGCTCTTTTTGGCTTGTCTTTGCTGGCGAACATATGTTGATTCAAGAATCTGGTGAAAAGAATTCTCTGAAAATCTATTGGCGACACTTGATGGCAGTCGTTATCGGATGTATTTCGCTTTTTCTATTTGACATTTGTGAACGCGGTGTGCAATTAAGAAATCCATTTTATTCAATCTGGGTCAGTCGTTTCGGAAGTCGTATTGCTGTAAGTCATAAAATCAAAAAGGAAATGTGAATAATCGTTAACATAGCTTCATTTATCTTTCACATATTTACATGTAGATGACTTTCATAGTATTGGGTGCAATCTCAGCTGCTATTTACTTCCTTTTCCTGTGCTACATGGTTTGGAAGGTGTTCAACAACATTAGTATTAAACGAAGTATCTTGCCATCGATGAGTAAAATGCGACGACTCCATTACGAGGGAATCATTTATCGATTCAAGTTTCTGATGTTGGCAACTCTTCTCTGTGCTCTCTTGACCGTCATTGGATTTATCCTAGGACAAGTTACCGATTCACAATGGCATTGGAACGACAATGTTGAACTCGAATTCTCATCAGCTTTCTTCACTGGTGTTTATGGAATGTGGAATATTTACATCTTTGCTCTTATCATATTGTACGCTCCAAGCCATAAGAAATGGCCGGCAAATGAAACTCAGGAAAACATTATGGGAGAGGAAATTGAATTCAACAACTTACCATCCGATACCAACCCGAGTGAGATTTCGTCTTTGACGCAGTTTGCAAGGAAAACCGCTCTCGATTAAAAAACTTTATATATATATATATATTTATATATTTTTATATGTTTAATCGTCCGAAAGGAAAAAAAGTTTAATAATCTCACTTTTTACTTTTCTTTTTATTGAGAATCTTTTAAAAAACATAAACAGTATTAAAAGTTTAGTGATTATTTCTTATCTTATACATAAAACTTTTATACCTCTTAAAATTTGTATTAAGAAATAAGTTCTAATGTTGTAGATTGTCAGTTTAAAAATGATTAACATTTAGCAACTGTAATAATTATTGAAAAACTCGAATATTAATAATTTTAATTGAATTATAAATGCCATGGAAATATGTTTGATGAAAATCTTAATAATTCTTGTAGAATGTCAGAACTCCATTTGCCAAATGATAATGAATAGAAATACTTACTTAACAATTGCAATGAAAATTGCGCTAGATATTTCAATTAAATTAGAGGATGTACTTACATCAAGCTGGTTTTAACGGAAACGAGATGAAAGTTTCATGAATATCTAGAAAATTTTCATTTTTGAAAGTTGGAAAGGAAAATTTAAAGTAATTTTTTCCCTCCACTCTTTTCTTTTTGAAAGAGCAATTAAATCGTTTAGGATTTATGACGTTAAGTGATGGAAATTTAATTGCGTAATGTGTGAAACGCTTTTCTGTTTTCTACAAAAATAATAAAATATTTCGTCCTGAAGGATTTTAATAAATTAAAACTATAAGTGGAACATAAAATGCAGTTTGTACATTTTTCCCTGTTGTTATTGTTATTATTATTATGTTGTGTCAAGTTTAATTAATTATTACAGTCGGAAACGAAATGATTAATAGGGGAAGTAATCGCGTCGTTGGTTCCAGATACAATTAATGTTGGCGCAGCAATTTCAATTTGAGAAGATTTGTTGACTTATGGACATGGTTCATGTTGTTGATGCAACAAATCTGCCACTCAATTGATATAAATGCTTCAAGATCAAAGTGTCAATATATTGGGATGAACATCAACATTTGTCACCATGAATAATAAACCTTAATTCATGTTTATGAAGGAAACAAAGACATAAAATTTTCTTAATCTCAACTTTTCACATTCCTTTTATTACCATGCTTAGAATTTCCCCTAACTTACATAAATTTCATTTATGAGTGTATCCAGATATTTTGAACTTTTTTGAAACTGAATTTTCTTTCTCGTAATTAAGAATCCTGTGTCGTTTTAATTTCCATATATTAATTTTCCATTAGAAGAGAAAATATAAAGTTTGCTGTTGAACATGAAAAAGTTTCTTTCTTATCAATTTATGTAAATTGCATTTACGTTAGCACAACAACGACAAAATAAAGAACAGAATTCAATAGTTAGTTTCTTGGTGAACACTTAGATATTGTATAGAAAAACATTTTATGCTTGCATGATGGAATATTCGATTATCGTCCAGAAAATGAAAGAAGGAAAAAACGAACGAAAATTCTCGCCTCCATTCGAGCACAGATGCAGGATCAGCTGAATGCAATTGATTTTCATTTTCTTTTACGATGCATCAATATTCTTTAATACAAAATAAAAAAGTAGAAAACTTCGCTATATAGCACGATACATTTTTTCCCAATCTCCTGTCGATTTCTCCATACATCATAGATTGACCTTAGTAGAAAAACATAAAATTCAAGATAAAAATCGTTTTGCGACCGAAAGAAACATTTCTGGCGACATAAAACGGGAATAAGACTCTCCCTTCCTAGACGTGAAAGCGTTTTATTTCTTCAAAATTGGAAACGTCTATAAATCTAAAAGATCTTTAAAGCTGTTTACGACATTTCCAATGATTTTTGGTCTAAACGAGAATGAACGTAAGTTTATTTAAAATTGTTGAGAAATGCTTGAAGACTTACACGTGCAAAATGTTTTGCTTGTTTTATTTTTAGTTTGATTTTGTAGCCTCAAGTAAATTAAATAATAAAATCCTTGTTTTTATTTTCTCTCAGGTAATTTTATAGCAACAATTTTTAGACATGCGATGTAGAGTGAATCATAAGATATTTGAAAGCTTCTTTAAAAGCACATCTATCATAAAAGTCTGGGAAAACCTTTTCATTTGTGTTTCGTTAAATTCAATTTCATGAACCTCTGAGAGTATTCATTTTTCATGCATGAGAAGATGCTTCCTTTTTCCATTCCTCTGCATTTGAAATTTAAAAATGGAAGATATCATTGGAATGGTCAGAGTTCTTTGCTTTCATTTTAAAATAAAAGAAACCAGGACTTTAAATTTTCACAAAGATAATTTATGTGATTCACTTCAAAAAATGAAAAAAAAATAGAAGCAGACGACGATGTAGAATTTCTTGTAAAAGAAAAATTGGCTTTCCATCAAATCTGTAATCTCAGCATTGAAAGAAATTGCTGATAATTCATTCCACTTTAAAACCATCGACATAAAAAAGGGAGGAAAAATTATTAAACATTGCAACGTCAACATGTGTGAGTGATTTTACGCAAAGCATGGTGAGAGAGAGATTGAATATCACGACAATTCCGATAAATCATTGCAAAGTCATGTGAAAAATGCTGATGCAATTATTTAACCTATTGCTAAGTGCACTTTCCAATGATTTTTTCCCTGTTTATAATGCCCTTTACGTCTTTCTCTTTTCCTTTGTTTTCTTTCCACCCACACTCTCCCTTAATTTAACATAAATGTCCATTACACTTTACTGAAGAAAAAAAAAGTTGTCGCTTCGATTTGGCATGAAATTCACTTTTCTTCTCTGCATGCAGTTTCATTCCCGACAACCAAAAGTGATTTATATTCTTTCTTTACACTCAATTTACAATCGAGTGAGAGGAAAAAAGCATTTTTTAACACGAAGAGAAAATTTTCCGTGCTTTAAGTTGTAAATTAGGTGTGAAACGATGAATAATTTTTCACGCCGTTTATACAGTTTGCATTCATCCAAATAAAATTATGAAAAGCACTGTTCTGTTCATAAAAAGAAACTTGTTCTTCTTATCTCCTTTAACAAGTAACATGTCCGTGATGCTTACAGAGAGAATAGAAAGACGAAGAAGATGAAACAACTTTTAAATGAACTTTTTTCTATTATTAAAAGCCTTGTCTAGTTGTCTAGTTGTCTAGTTTCATACCTTCCAATGTATGTTTGCTTGTACACTGGTTGACCTACGATAAATCCGGCTATTAATTTCATGTTTCTAAAAGACTCCTACGGCTATTAAAAGTTTCGACTTGAGCAAACAAACAACAAAAGATTTTATTGGATGAATTTATGATTTCTGACACAACGTAGTAAAAAGACAAAGAAGATCTTTGTTGATTATCATCGCATCTTCTTTGTTGTCCTAATCGTCCCTGAAGGGATTCAATGTCTTCATTGCAACTTTTGTTAATGAATTTATTTATTCATCTTGGATCGAATGTCCTTAAAACAATAAGAAGACTAAGAAGAATGAAAAGAAAAAGAAAAGGAATGAAAAATCATAAAACAAAAAGTAACAAAAGGATGAATAAAAGAAGAAATATAATTATCACTCTTGCCTTCTAATCAGTCTTTTAAAACAAAGAGAGAATTATGAGTAAGGCAAAAGGGAGACCTTCTCTGAGATTAATTTTAAAACCGCAAAGCACACAAACAAACGATAAATTTAAGGCCATGGAAAAGTGGAAAGGGATACATATTTAGAATTGCGTCAAAGCTGAACAAGATAGATATCAGGATACTGTTATGATTAATTCCTAAACATAAATTCTAATTATTTATTTGTGACGGCAAAAGGCAATTTAATTTGTGTGAGGGTCTTTTCAAAAGTTACAAAACCTATTCGAATGAATTTCCATCAAAATCAGTTTTATGGTTGACGTACCACGTATTTCTGTGAATCGTTACACTCAAATTAAATATAATTATATTGCATGTTGATTATGTTTATTAGGCATTCACAATGTACCGTAAATTAAATGATTGATTGTCGTTGCTCCAGAATTGTGTATGTAGATAGTGAAAAAGGCAAAATAACGAAGCTTAAAGTGTGTCACATGTATTTTGATTTCAATATATTTTAATCTCCGAAGGATGAATATTGATATGTTAATAAATATTGCAAAGGGACGTCCTGAATGATATTCAAATGATTTGTATTTGCGAGAGTTTCATAGCGCCAAATAATTATTTAAATCATTCGAGTCATTTGAATGATGAACAGAATTTTCCCGTCCACTTTCTATCATCGAACATAATAATGAATTTAATATCAAGTTAATGGATAGGAAAAGTGAGGACATTTTGACTTGTACGAGAAGGAAAAGGGAATAAACCGCAAATTAGATTGCTTACGTAAATAAATTTTGTCTTGATTATGTTCGAGAAGCTGTTGTCGATTTTTGTTTATGTCAATAAAGAATTTTAATACAAAGATTGATGAGGTGCTTTGGAGATTTCTAAGTGCTTTGTGCTTTTTCTATTTTGGAAAAGAAATCTCAAACCTCAAATGTATGGCAATTTTATTTTTTATATTCTTTTAATCTTTAGATTAGAATTTCACCCTCCCAAAAGTACATATAACAACACTTAATGAGCTTTGAAGATTTTTTTAAGTCAAAGAAAAAAAAGAACGAAAATTAAATTATTTTCCTTTCAACAACTCAACATGAGCTTTTTTTTAAAGAACTTCCAAATCTGACAGAAATAATTAAACGCGAAAACACTTAAAATGTTTTCGTTTAATTTACAACGAAGAATTTTCACCACAGTACGAAGATTGATGAGATGCTTTGAGGCTTTTAAAGCTATTCATAAATTATCTTTTGCTTTGAAATCTTTTTTAATCTTCACCGACTTTCTCTCATTCATGATCTGTCGCTCTCTTTTTGTCTCCCTTTGTTGTATTGGATCTTGAAAGCTTCTTATGAGCTTTTGTAACTTTAACACGTCACTTTCTAAAGCGACACCGACATTGTTTATCTCTAATTTGCATATGAAACGGGAAATTATTTTAATTAGATCCCCCTTGAAAATTATAAGTCTCTTAAGTTAGTTAATTACCAGAAAATTTTTAACCATCTCGAAAAGCAAGCTTTTTGTTGCTTTTACTTAACGAAACCACATTGTTATTGTTTGCTGACCCACTTCTTAATATTCATTCTTCTTCTCTTCGAATATTATCCATACTTACTTTCTCCGACTCAATTGCTATGTTTCTTATGTTGTTCATACATTGTATTGTTGGTTATCGTGGTTTTGCTTGCCTTGAGGAAAGGAAAAACTTTTCTTTAAGGAAATAATTAATGAAGGGCTGATTTTATTTGCAACAGCAAGAATTGCCCTTTTGCGCACCATATTACTTACTACACACAAGGTGGCTCTCTCTCTCTCCCTCTCTTCCTTACATTTATTGTATCACATTTACGGAAACTCTATGTAATTGAAATAATTGGGAATCATGAGCTTCATTTTTGTTTACTTGTGTTCGTTAAATTATTCATATTGCCCCATCATCATATGGGGAGGCTACGTGTGGCGCTTTCATATGCTTGTTTGATATTTGTTGGGTGTGTCTGTGATGTGCTTGAGGACATAAATGACATGAGAGAGCTTGGGATGCAAAACAAAACAAAAACTGGCTATTTTTAGACTAAAAATTCACTCAACCAACATAAACTTTACTTTTTTGTTTTTTTTTTCTCAAATCAAAAAAGGAAATGGAGAAAGCAAGCGTTGACAAAGGACAAACTTTAATCTTCTGTTCCCAACGTAGTTTAAAACACTCAACAAAATATGTGCGACATTGTGGAGAGATTAAATGTCTTTTGTCTTTCATACATAATTCTCTGCGAGAAGAAAGAACTTTTCATGATAATAATTATTTTACGACCATAATGTCTGCAATGAAAATATATGTTTAGATGCTGGGATGAGTGGATGAAGAAAAAGGCTCTCTCACTCATTTGTAATGGTCGCCTTTTACGATTATGCGCGAATAAATATTTAATGAACTCAAATACCGTTGTCTGACAGCTTTGCAAAGCTTAGTTTTGATATTAATTATAATATATAGCATCAAATAATATGCCACATCGTACACATTGAACATCGCTATGGCAATTAATCAAGATGAGTAACATTTTTTATGGCTTAGATGCTATCGAGAATGAGCTCGATTTTTACTCAGCTTCCAGATCGATTGATAAAGAAGCAAAATCTTTCACATAAATCGTGATTGAAGCGTTTTTGCTTGGATAAATATCCTCGTTATCTAATTTTGCCTGTTGCGGTTGAGTTAAAAGCATTCATCGTAAGCGAAAGGCTCGAAAACAGAGTAGATATGCTAAGGCAACCAACCAAATATGTCCCCAGTAATTGTTGTTATAATAGCAAAGTCATCCCCTTCAAAGACCTTTTCTTTCCTCGCCGAAATATGTGGCCAAACTTTCCACTTATTTTGTCCAGCATCTGCTGAAGGCAGAAATAGAGAAGTAGGGAAAAAAATGAAAGAAAGAACGGAAAAGAAATCTTCAAGGATCCGGAGATTCACATTATTGTTACGCGTTGGATACATTCGAAGCTTTAAATTCTCGTTATTGAGTAATTGAAAGAAATTTATTTCTTTTCTTCGATATCAATCGACGTCACGACAGTTTCTAAGCCTTGTTATCAAAAAGCTTTTAAATGCTTGAGTAGGAAACGAAGTAACAACAATTGATTTTCTTTCCTCTTTTTTTTAAGCAATACGCTTTTATATTCCGCCTATTTTCTTCCTATTTTTCAGCATAAGATTCCCATGTTCATCTCATCCACATCTTTCCGATTGATATTTTTTTTGTCTCTCCATCTCCATCTTCATCTCACTCTCATTGCTGCTGCTTTTCCTTTGGTATCGCTTTATGTCGAAATGTGGAATGTTCGGATGATTATAATCATTCAATAAATTATTCATGTTGTTTGCCATTTTTTTCTTTTACCATCTTCCTGTTGTATGCGAAATAAAAAGCAACGTGTTTGAAATAAAAATTGGGGAAATGAAAATCACTGTTATGTTGCTGGTTGTGGCGATGTTTAGCAAGTAAATGCAAAAGAAAGGAGCAAAATCAACTGTAATCAACCATGTAGAGTAGTTAGCGTCTCGAACAATGGCGTAAAGCTTTTATAGTCGTAGCATGAGTGCCAATAAAATGGCCATGCTTTTTATGGATATAAAAAGAGTTTCGATGGAATATAAAAGCTCAGAAGGGAAGAAAAACGTTAAGGGCGAAGGGTGGTTGACCAAAGTCATCTCCCGTTATCTACTTGGAGTCTCATTGATTTTCAAAGTGTCTTCTTAATTCAACATCTGATGGTCAGCATATAAGCAGCTACTTATTTTATATGTTTTCTCTTCTGATTACACAAATTAATTCTCGATCTCGACTCAATGGGCTTAACCATATCGTAAACGACTCAAGAGTGAACAAAAATAAACACGACCGGCAAATCGATTATCGACTCATGTGATAACCATAATTATGCTTCACAATTCAAGTTGAATTCGATTGTATTGTCGAAACTGTACATCATCATTTATGAAAGAAGCAATTAGATTAGCAATTTTTGCTGTCATCGTTTCGTTTTTCAACTCCGTGCTGCTGTTAATGTTGTTTATGTACATAGCCTGGATGTTGATGTTATTGTTGTTGCTTCATTCTTCACCTCACTCCAATCAACGTACTTTTAGAACATTCAAAATATTTCATATCAATCAACAAATTTAGACGGAAAAGTTTTAGCGTTGTTTCGTGAGAGTGATCTTGGCAGATATATTAATCATACTTTAAGTACAAATTGATGAATTGAGTAATTCACGAATCTCGAATAACAAAATCACAAAATCGATCAAGTCACCAACTGGCAGGAAATAATCTCGTCATGAGGGACTAGAGGATAAATAGATATCTATCAACGATAAACTTAACGAAATTAAAAGCATTACGAAATAATAGAGATGATAAAGTAGGACAAGTGACGTTAAGAGACATTTCATGTTCCTTTTAAATAAATGTAAATACTGTCTGATGGCTGCGATACATAATTCTCTCGAAGAATGTTCGTTCTTCTAGTTTTCTTTATTTTCTTTATTTTCCATCCATAGAAAGCAATTGAATTTCCTTGTTGATTCCTATCATTTCTATGCCGTCAGCAAAAACGTTTTCTTTTTCTTCTCCTCATTCTCAGACGCAAATGATTTCATCTAACGTTTATGACACAATATAAAAAAGAAAATATGAATTTGACGGCGTAATCAGGTACGAGACGTAAAACTCACAGATCGTTATCAAGTCAATGTGCGGAATATTTCATTTCCTCGGAAAATTTCTTAATTCCCAATTTCTTGTTACATGTTTAATGGACTTTGAAAACGAGATTGTAAACAAAGAATATAAAGTTGTAAATCGAACGAGAATAATTATAAAAAAAATATATTGAACATTAACATTGTTTTATAATTCGACATAAACTTTTATTGTTGTTTTTGTTTTTATTACGGCTTGTGTTAGATTTGTACTGACTTCAAATATTAATCGGTTTATGTTTTGAACTCAATTGACATACATATATGTATAGACGCTTTTTTAAAATGATAAACTTTATTGAATATCAAATGACAATTTGAATTTTAATATCTAAATAAAATTAAATGGAAATCTGTTAATTATAAAATGAATACATCGGTCGTTTGAATTTGCTTTATAAATGAGAAATAAACTTTTCATTGAATTCGTTTTCAATTTATGTTGAACAATGGATGTTCTTAAATTTCAAAGAAAAATAAAGTTCTTCGTGACAGATAAGTGAAAGTAAATAGAATTTCTTTAAAAAAAGTAGCGAATAGAAAAGAGAAAAAGCTCATTCTCTTGTTATTCTATTTCAAGTTTACTACATATCTACATATATTTTTATAATGTAATCGATTATACTACATTTTCACATTCTCAATAATTGAAATACATTAAACTGTTGAAAAACAGAAAACATGGAAAGAATAAAGAAGAAAATTTGAGAATAGCGAGCAAACTCATTCAAGTGCTTCGTCATCGAATATTAGTAGGAAATGTTAAGGGAAAAAAGCATTTTTTCTTGTTTTTATTTTTCAATTGTGTATTATTTTATTTATTTTCATTATGTTCTTTTCATTTTCTATATTTTACGTCTCTCAATTTTTTTTGTTGCCTAATATTTTCTCCCAGTTCACTTTACATCAGACATTAAATTTGCGGAAGTTTCTCTTAAAATTCTGCAGCTTGGTCTCCTTCAGGCATTAAATGCAATTACCAGTTTTGTAGTTGAAAGAAGTAAAAGCAAAGTTTTTAGTTTTCCCTTCTGGGGAGAAATCATAAATGATGACAGTCGAGCATAAGGGATCGAGAATGAAAGCACGTAAGTTGGAAGGAAGCATCCGTTTACAAAACAACGGCAAACAAAGTTTTCGTTTAAAAATTTCTTTAAAACTCTCAATACAATAGAAGAATATCTGCAAAGTTGTGGAACCTCAACAAGCAAAAGCGTCAAGCTGTTCGTTCTTTCCTTTCATTTTTTGTTTCTTCATTCGTTCTTTGAGGGAATAAAAACCTTCATTTGATTTTCCTTCTATTTGCAGATATGTGCGATATAAAATGCAATTACAAAATTGCATGTAATTCAAATTGAAAATACGAGAATAAAGGAAATTAAATTTTCTATGTGTATGTGTAACGAATAGTCCAAGGGAAATGTAAAATAAAAACTAGTGTAGAAAAGTTTTGTTTTCTTGAAAAATGAAAATTGGTTTAGGAATCGCTTAAGGAAGGTAAAAGTTTTTCACTCAAGTTCTCATTTTTAGTTTTTAGATATGATTGCAATTGATTTGACTTTCTTTAATGAAAATTTCAAAACTTTTCCGATTAAGAAATGAGGGGAACAATTTATATTAAAATTATCCTTCTTTGAAGTTAAAAAAAAGAACGATGAGAAAAGAAAACTTTACCACCGCATCGTTGATTATCTTAATTAATTAACAACGTGGCTCAAAAGAAACGTTATTAACAAGTAAATCACGTTACTAGAACAAAGCGACACCAACAGCGAAAAAGTAAAAAAAAAGTTCATTCGAATGTCATTGTGGCAAAAATCATTAAAAGCTTTCATTCTTCTTGTCTTTATGCTTTTATTTTTTCTCTTTTGTTTTCCTTTTATTTCATATTTAAATGGCGCACGTATTCTCTCCGAATACTTGGTGCTGGTTTAAATGTTTGCGAATAATTAATTCTATTGTTTTTTTTCTCTCCTGCCATCGAATCTTTTCAGCTCGTTTTGAGCAACAGTATTCCTTACATAGTTTGAACCATTCATGACTTGATTTTTAATGAACGGGAGACTGAATACGAGCAAAGCTTTTGGCTGCCAAATGTAAAATAAACCGGAACGTGAAAAGTTACGAAAAAAAATGAATGAATTGAGAAAAACTGAACTCAACGACCGACAGCAGAGATGAGAAGACCAGGAAAAAAAATCTTACGACTCGGAAAAATCTCCATTCAATTTAATGATGCCATTTCTACCTTCAAAACATTAAAAATGCCAGTGAGAAAGCGCTTCGCTTAGCTTGGTTCTGACACTGTACGTTCGTCGTTCAGAGCTTTAAATGTATATCATTTCAGCTAAATCCAAAACACGGTCATTCATCATTGTGACAAAAATATTCCGGTGATTCGTAGGATTGGGACGGGCGAGAGAAAAAATCGTTTTGAATTGTGAATAAGAGACATTTGATGGCTGAAATCCATTTTTCTTTTTCATTCTGTTTTTATGTTGTCCGAGGTGATTTTACGATTCAATATCTCTCCGATGATTTACGTTGTTCAACAATAATTAAGTTTTATATTTTGTGTCGCGCTTTAAGCAATTGTTTATCTCTTTATTTACTCACGTTTAGCTGTTAGCAATGTAAGTAGCGTTTGGTAATGTTAAACGGTGTAGAGAGATAAAGACGCCCTCTTTGTTAATATAAAAATCGATCGGCATAAAATTTGCATTTTAAATGAATCATTGAACATGAAATTTTATGTTGACTTGCTTGTTATGGATGTTTTGATCGTGGGTATAGAATGACAAGGGCGAATTTTGAGTGGCTCATCGAAATGCGAGCAAAAAAAATATATTAATAAATGTCAACGTTTAAACCGTCACGAACACGCGCTTTAGTTTCTTCTCAGATGGAATTTTTATTTTAATTTAAATGGTGACTTTTTTCATTTAATACCGCATTGAATGATCCAATGTAGGTATTTAAGAAATGAATGAATCAGTTTTTCACCCTCTTGTTATTCAAAGGAGCATTTGGTGGACTCCATTAAGAAAGCTACGTTGTAAAGAGTGAAGGCAATGATGTTTAGCATGTCAAATTATCACGATAAACTGATCAAGCCGTAATTAATTTCTTTCATCCATGCCATCGCTGTTATTTTATACTTCAAGAGTGAAAAGTTTTTCGTTTAAGCTTTCCCTTCGCGAATAAGCGGAAAATGAATAATTAATGGCGAATATACAGCTGCTTCAACATCGGTAGACATTTTTTAATTAGTGAACAATTTTGGTTTTTCCATCTCGTCCAACTTCGCCGCCTGAACTTTCTGTCGAAACACAAATTTTCCGCCATGTAGAAACAACAAATGCCTAGACTAATTTGCGACGCTTTAGAAAATTAATTGTTTTATAAAAGCAACGAGCGAAGGAAAAGAAACCGACTGAGCGCTTGTCGAAGAGGTCGAGAGGAGGTGGAGAGATTATTGCGAGATCATAATGAACAGGCACATTATAATTAAGTCACATTATCAGTTTGACAAGTATTTCTTTCTGCTCTTTTACTTTGGAAAACGTGAACAACGAGAAAAGAAATTCTTTAAGAAAATTATGATATTGGAAGGAATTAATAAAAATCCATACAACCACTATTTATTTAGTTATTTTATAAAACTTCCCCTTTCGGATATAATAAACTCTAATTGATATGTGACATTTTTCTTCTGATTTTCTTTTGTTCTACTATTGCTATCGTCACAAACACACACACACACACACATTCTTACACACAATTCAATTCGCAATTTCAGAAAGCAATTTCTCTTATTTACTAGTAAGGGATTTGTCAATTTGTGACTTTGAATCTCTTCTCTCGACAACAATTTATCAATAAAAGAAACCGAAAATTTAAGAAGTCATTGCGAAATGTTGTGAAAATCATTTCTCATTCCGTATCGACTGTTATTATTACGAACGTTATTTATTCTGAGCATTCGAAAATGTTTATTAATCAGCACCGTACGCTTTCAATCAACAATGGAGGATTTCTAATATGCACGCTCATTTATTTTCATTAAGCTGAGCTACGTGACAAACTTAGCTGTTCTCGATTCTTCTGAAAAGCTTTCCGGAAATCGGTAAGAACAAATTCAATAAATTTCAAGTAGCGCCAGTTTTATATTTTCTTTTGTATTAAATCATCATCTGATTTGTTGAATCTAAGAGTATTCATGTGCTTTAGATGTTCAAAAACGAGTTGAAACAAAATATCTATAGTAAGATGAAAATTAATTATTAAAATTTTCTTCAATTTTAAGATAAAGTGTCTTGGTGCTTCGCAACTTCAAAAGCTCTTACAATATTTTCTCTTCTTTGAATCAAGAATGCTTTTATCAAAATTACAAACTTAACAAACTTTGTTTAATAAAAGAGCAGTGATGGATTTAGGGGAATTATTTGTCGAACTTTTCAATGCCGTGACTTTCTGACACTAAGAAAACCTTTTCAAATTAACTTCACAGTTCAGATTTTTTCTTAGAAAATCTTTTGATTGTCTAACACTTCCAAATTTATTTATATCAGTATACAATCAAATTGAATAATTTATTGATTCTGACTTAAATATTGATCTAGAATGGGGGTATATTTGCGTTGAAAGAATTTTCGCCTGTCATCATCTGTCGAAATTATTTGTAAAATATTTACGAAGATTGGAAACTTCTCAAGTTGAAGTTGCGTTATTGAAATTGAAATTTGAACTACTACTGGTAGAAAGTTTTCAACTCTTATCATCTTAAATTCAATGATTTGCTTCAAGCGTATGATGCCTTGAATATATTCAGCTTCTCGTCTTAATGCCTCGCTTTCATAGCAAATAACATGCTTCAAACTTTCCCAGGAAACTTTTTGTTAGCAAGAATATCGAGAGCAATGTTATATGAATTCGAGCGAGTTTTCATTGTGACACGTCAGGTTGAAAGCCGGCTTTAGAAACTTTTGGATTTTCTTTCGTGTTCGCTCGCGTGACATCAATGAAAACACTTCAAGATTTGCTTGCTTACTGCTGAGATTGTGAACACGTTTTGTAATTATTTTAATTGATCTTCCTGAAAAAGGTTTTTTTTGTTTCAAATTGCCAAAAACAAATGTTTAAGGTCCTTGACTGTCTCCACCTTCTTCTCTTATCAACCCAACTAATAGAAAAGTTTTCTGTAAATCGATCTTATAAAGAAACGATTTCTTAGCCCGGAAAACTACGTTTTGATCCAATTTTTACGAGACGTGTGAACTCGATTATGACAACAAACATTTCTTTTCCTTTTTTCCTCTTTCCTTTTTTTTGCTGCATGCCAACCCCGAAATCAATTATTTGAGCGAGAAAAGTAAATGGACCAACAGAAAAAAATGAGATTGAAGGAGGAAAAATAAATAAAATGTGAATGTCAGCAGACATCATGGATTGAAAAGTAAGCTGTTCAAGATAAAGTGTATTGTTAGTCATTCCAGTTAATGGTTCATATGTATTATGATTATGCGTTATGAAAGCAGACATAAAAGAATTTCATTCACTTGAATTTGTTAAGCTGCTTTTTGAATGAAGACACGTTTATCAATTACATGATGTTAACAAGCATCTTGATGTGGTTTTGTATATCTCACTCATGTATCGTGTATATTGCATGTATAGGCATTTAAACTTGACTTCATCACTTAACAGTTTGTTTAAATGCACTTAGGAATCTATCGAACGTTGTTAAACAATGAAGAAGCACAATGAAGTTGAAAATGTTATACAAGCCTATACTAGAAATTGAACTGAGTTCCTTTCAGATGACTAGAGTTGTTAACGATTCCCTAGAACATCAAAAAAAATTATGATATTATATATTGGAAGATGAAAGTCGGTGATTTATTTGGAAGCATAAAACATTTTTCCCCCTTCTCTAGTAAACAATGATTCTTATTTATATGCTATGATATCTACGTAGTCTCGATTTTTACTTAAAAGAAAACTTGTGAAAATGTGATAATAAATTGTTTGTTGGCATGATATTTTCGTTGTATATTGTCATATCATCTTTTTCTTGCGAGTGAGTGACGTATGCTGTATGTCTAGAGAAAATGTTCTGTTGAAACTATAATCGTCCAATTTCAAAAGCCCATCAATAACATTTTGCTTGATAAAGCGCCAACCCTATGCGTTATTTATTTTTTTCTTTGAATTCCTTCATCTTTCTTTTGTTTCCTCGACACTGAAATCATTCTTACATCATTAAAATTTATGGTCTCTTTTTTATTATTTTGTATCCTTCAAACAACGTAATAGGAAAAACATAGTCGAAAAAAATGTCAACAAAAAATATTTGAAGCAACAAAAAAAAACTACAGTAATGAATGTTGAAAAAAATCAAATAAATTTTCAAGTGGAAAGCTCTTGCCGTTCACTCAAAATGAGAAATATTACCAAAGGACTATGCTGAGCTGCGCATCTGCCGTGGAAATGAAGCGACATCTGTGAGAAAACTTTCATGTTGGAATTCCTTTTAAACATTGTTGCATGGGAATCGGCATGAAGCAACAAAGCATTAAACATTCGAGAATCCTCAAAGCAAACGATAAAGTGCAGGGAAATAAACAGAACAGTTGTGTTTGGAGTCTGTAAACAGTTGACACGAAATCCAAGTCGCTGTCGCATACCTTTGGCAAACAAAATCAGTACTGTGTGAAAAGCGTGAATGAAGCATCAACTTTAGTGCTTGAAGTGCTTGAAATAAATTCGTTGTACGAATAATATTTCCATAAGGAGATTTATTGACACTGTCATTTAATTTAATCCGTGTTAATTTATAAAAGTTGAACCGTGGAGGAGAATAGAAATCAGACAGAGAAAGGGTTTTGACAGAGTTCACTGTCGCACGACGTCGTCAATATTTATTGTGGAAGATTAAGTAGATGGAGGATAGTGAAATGTGTTCCCATCGGAATAGGGATTTCTGTGCATAAATAAATATATAAAAAAAAATAAAATAAGAAAAGTTGAAAAAGTAAAGAATTGGAAGGAATGGAGAAAAAGTGAATCGAAAGGAAAATACATTTTTCATACATTTGATTTCATCAGCATAATGGAATAAGATATTTTCGTCTCAATCTCATCCCAAGCAGTGGATACATCATCGCAAATGTTAAAAGGTGCTTCGAATGATTTTATCTTAAAAAATATGAGAAATGGAATCTTTTTTTCTTTTTTTAAAGTTTCCTTTTTGTGAGCCGACATTTCATCCCTCAATTTGATGATCTTTTGTGTGAGTTTCTCACATGAGTTCATCAATAATTTGATTTGCATTTTTTTCCCATCGTCCTTCGCGTTGTCATCATCTTCCTCTCGAAACACGACTCTTCTTATTCCCATTAACAAATTGTGATGAAAAGCGATGAGAAATTTTTATGATTTTCAATAAAAAAAGGTCATGAGAGGGAGTTTGGGCACTCTAAACGTTCAATTGGAAATGAACACTTCAAAGCTGTGTGAGGGTGAAAAGAAAGATAACAAAAGCGTCAGTAATTTTCTATAATGTTTACTTTAGAGAATCTCGACTACTAGTCAGTTAAGCATGTTCATACTGTAAGAACAATATAGAAAGAAAACGTGGCGAGGAAAGTCTCGTTTGCAATATTTTCCCATTAAACATAATTCATAAGCCCACAAAATTTTCAAGCTAAATAAAAAGCTTCTTTGAATGAAAGAGAAATTTGCGGCAAATTTTGTTCCTTCTTCTTCTTTTATCCCACCCCCGCCCACCCCCGCCCATTCTCGTGATTCCCATTTGCCTTTTTCAAAAAGAAAAGAAAAAAAGAAGGAAAAAACCAAAATTGTATGTGATTTGTGATAAGTCTGTTTTTTGTTAAAGTCACGAATTCAATTTCCGCTTGAGAAACCGGAAAGCCAAGCTCAAAAATGAAGGAAAGTTCTCTTTCAGTTTATTTGTGGAGTTGGGTGGTGGGCAGAAGTTTGAGAAGACCTCAAGTCAAAAGGCAATCATAAATACAATAATTCATCTCTAAAAAACTGCTAATTTCTATAGAAATGTTCTTTAATTGAATGCTTTTAACCCAAATTATTCATAATTTCTCCCCTGGTAAATTGTTGTCGCGACCTTTTATTGCTAAATTACAATAACTTTTCAAAGCGCGCGCGTTTTACATTAATAATTTGTTCTGTTCTTATAACGAATAAATAACATCATCATGAAGGAACACAGGAATCTCTTTGTTATATTACTTTCAGCTATGGGCTTTTTCGACCTCGATTATTTGTTAATTGCTTTGAAATTTTTCAATCAAACTGAAAGCTTCTTCACGAGACTAGCTTTTCTCCCCGGCTCTCTAAATTGAGTTTTCAAATTATGCTTGACATTTTATGTGAAGCTAATAATTCTAAAAGACAACAAAATTGTTCATGAAATATGATGTTTATTTGTTACTGACAGACTCGTAGCTCATTTCGTTATGTGTTTCATTAATCATACGCTTAGCAAAACACTTCCAATTGAACAAAGTCCCAGCACCCTTAAACATTGCGTTTGCTATTCAACTTCATTTTCCATCCCTAGATTGATGTTTCAATTTTGAAACGTTTATAATTGTAAAACATAAACTTTCATATCAATTGCTGAAATCATAAAAAGGAATATTTATAAATATTTTTGTTCATAATGTAATCATTATACATAGATATGCATTCATAAATAAATTCAAATATCAACATAATAATCCTATAATAACAAGCAAATAGTGTACATATAAGGATAAAGTTTAATATTGCTTGGTTTTGAAACATCCTTGCATGACTGACTTCCTGCATCTAACATAATAACAAACTCTTTATGAAGGAAACTCATATATTTTGCAAGAAAAAACATGAACGTGAAACTACATCATGAATTTGTATTCTATCTCCTTTTCTTTCTTCTTTTTTCATTTTCTCTTCTAGAAATAACATTTTTATTAAAATGATTAAGCATCAAAAATGCTCATATCAAAACAGACGAAGTGATGAGCGTGATATGAAAAAGCCTGTCGACAGTGTTTGTTGAGAGAAAATATTGTAATAAAAAGCAGCAGTAGAGCGGCAACAAAAGTGCCAAAACAGAAGAGAATTCTTAACTGTGCGGGACGCTTTTTTGCACTCATAAAATCTAGAAAGCAACCAAACAATATATCTATGCATGCAGGCAAACAAAAAAGAAAAAAACGAGCAAACAAACTTGAGAGTGAATAGAATATTTAAAGTGAACAAATTTAAAAGTTACGATTGCAAGCAAACTGAACCAAGTAACGATTATTTCCTGTTTCCACCTCCGAAAAATGTTGGACCATCTCATTTGCATATGAATGACTGTGGAACATAAAAAAATACTACTAACAGTTTTCGGGACTCTAGGGAGTACAACATAAACGGAAGATCCTGCTGTGAACTGATTTATTACATTGCATAACGGTCATTATTATCTCAATTAGTGATATTTGCTGATAATAACAATTTCTCATCCTTTTACAAATGTTCGCGAACTCTTCGTACGCTTTTCATTACACTAACGATAACAAACAACGTTGCATTTAATAATCGAGGGAAAGCTTTGAACGTGAAGTGTTGGGTAATCTCCCTAAAAGTGGTCAGTTAAAAAAAGTATAATCAGATTCATCGGTTACCTACAGTTAACTGACAATTCATTAATTAAAATTTAATTTTTCATAATTATCTCTCTGATTACATTTTAAGCCCTTCAGGCAAAAAGCAAACGAAACGTAAAACTAATTTTTCAATTAACAAATGAATGGTGAATTATAATACATTTGTAAACTCTGTTAATGAATGCATATTCAGTCTGACATAGAATAGTTAAAAGTCGAATTAAAAATGAAAGTTATGATGGCAGAATCGTTTAGTTCTGTTCATATGTTAATATTTTATATCGTAACGAACAGTTTATGCAAAATTGATCAGGTTCATGCTTCAGTCGCGACGGGGAGTGCAGGTGTTAGTAGTAATGGTGAGTTACAAAATTCTTTATAAATTTGGATTAAAAGCGCATATGCAAGTGACTGTTTTCAATGTTTATTGATTTTATCACGGTGCGATTGTTGTTTCAGGTTACAACCGCAGTAAATTCTGTGAATTTAAAGCTTAACTTTTGAGTGTGCTTACGTTGTGGCTTTACACTTGCTGCTTTGATAGCGTCTGCTCCGTTTGAATCCCATTTGAGACTCTTTCCAATATTTTACTTTCCATCTCTGGCGTAACATAAATTCGAATTCGTGCGTCTCGTCGCTGCTAAATATTCTCAATTCTATGTAAAAATATATTGAAGATAAAAGCAAGAATATACTTAAGCCGCAGTAAACAATTTGGAAGGAAATTCAAAACGACTTTTGCAGTGTTTTCTCAGCGTAAACATTTTCATTCCATCTCTTCTTTCTTTATACTCATAAAATGAATAAATTGATACGATCGAAAAGCATTGTAAATGTTTCTGAAAGCTTTATTTGCTTCAATTAATTGTCAAATATTCTTAGAGGAAAATCAATAAGAGAAAGAGAGAATAAATATTCGCGGGTTATCAAAACACAATATTTCGTCGTTTTCGTTTTCGTTTTTGAAATGAAATGTGCCAGTCAACTGCTTAATCCTTACGCAACTGAAAAACTCATTTTTTGCTTTTCGTTCTTTCTCATTGCCAAAATTTTCATAAACCGGCATAAAATCCTTTCATGTGCAAAAGACGAGCGGCATATAAATTTGTGTAGAATCCATTAAACACGAATATTTATTTTTAATAAGCCGTCGCGAGTTTTTTCATTCACAAATTTCTGTTCTACATAGCTTAAGCCAACCAGAGGATGAACATTTAAATATTTCCCTCCTAATGACGATAATAATTTTTTGTTGCTCTCTTTGTGGATTCCAATGGAAAAGTTTTTCTTTTCCCTTTTGTTAAGCTCAAAATCCCATTATGTCTCGATCCGATTTATGATATTTATTGGCATCGAAAAATGTTATGTTTTTCGCTATACATGCTGTGTCTGTTAGTGAGCGTGAACACATAATTTCATTCTTACCCTGTTCGCCAATACTCAACTACTCCTAAAATTCGTATTGTCGACCTCATTTTATTCAATGAGATTTCAAAAACAAAAAAATCAATTCGAAAACTGTAGGTTTAAAATGTATGTGACTCGCTTGCACTCCTCAACCTCAATTAAATATGCTTAAAAACAATCATCCCCTGTCGAGAAATCCGCAACTTGAAATATAATCAAAAATTTCCGATCGAAATCGTGCATGTAATTACGAAATGTTGAGTATTTTGTTTGCACAACGAATCAAATTATATAGAAGAGTGGGCGAGACCGGGATATTGCTGCTGGTTGCCAAATGAACTGAATTGAAGTGGAATTCACCATTTAAAATTAATAACCTTTTTTTATTTTTGATAATTTTTCATAGCTACATATACCTAGGGGCTTTATTATTTCATTTTGCAACCTAGTAACTTCTCTTAGCTATTTGATTCTACCTTCATATATGCATATTATTGATAATTGAGAAGTTAAATGATGCAAAAGAGGTTATCGATGAAAAACTTTTATTCATTAAGTAATCGAAAAACTTTGCTCTATGAAGCAAGAAAATACATTCAATTTGTTTTGTTAGATACTTTTTCTAATAAATTTAAAATCCCTCCAATCATCATAGATTCGAATGTACTTTGCACATCGTTTCAATTTACTTTTTTTTTGTATAACTAGCATTCAGCTTCAAACGTTTCGTAAAATTCACAGAGAATTTACTTTGATCAAAGTATCGTGGTTTACTCTACTGAAAAACTTGTTGCAGACTCATTCAATTACAGTTAACTTTTGATGAATTTTGTCAACGTAAAGAAAGGTTTCGTGATTGAGTAAGAAGAAAAGGAAAAAGTTTTCAAGTATGTTGATTTTAATTATGATTTGAATGTTTAAACGCCAAGCACGAACACAAGCATGAATTTGTCAGATTGCCCACAAAATTTCAGAGGGTGAAAAGAAACAAACAGATTCATTGCCGTTTACAATTTTCCAACTCAAATTCTCTTTTTATTGACGTTAAATTTTCTTTGACTAAGCAAGGCAAGCAAAAGTAGCCAATTACGCTCATAAAAGATTCAACTTTTCCACCAACTCGGGACGCTAAACAATTTCAGCAACAAAACCGTCAGACAGGCAGGCAACAGTATGGTTCAAATTGAAAACATTACAAACGAGTATGAGAGAAAGAACGAAAAATATAAGCAAATACGAAAGATGTAAAATATAAATTTCCTGGATGAAATGAAGTCATAAAAATTTTCCTTTTTTCTTTTTCTTCTGTTTTTTCGCTGTAATAAAACATAATTGAAATACTTGTTGTAATGCATTACAATGGTCCGTTGGAAATACTGAAAAGTTGAGTTTAATGGTTCTGACTTTACTTTTTCAAAAAAAAATTGAGAAAAAGAAAACTTTCTCTTCTTGCTCCTTCGTTTCGCTTGTGTAGCTTTTTTCATTCCTCTTTTTGAATTGGTAGAAAGTTATTCTATAAAAGCTTTAAGAGAAAATATGAAAGCTTAAATTTCAAGATCTGTGTTAACTTCTACAAAAATGTCTGAATGGAATTGCTTCCCTCATATCTGAAGTATCGTTACATCATTCTTCTTCATTCCCGTTTGTTAATAGTGAATGTTTGTGAAAGAACCAAATTGTGGTATGAAATAGGAAAGAGTGAGGCTGAAAGCTTTTATAGAGCTTTTTTATGACCATATCAGAAAACATTCTCGACTATAAATTGCTACTTACACTTTACTTTATCTTTACTTTCTTCTCTAGGAATAAAAAGTGATAAACCCTTTTTCGATGAGATATATCCGAGGAACATTTCGACCGTAGTCGACGATGTAGCAATATTAAAATGTGTGGTCAAGAACAAAGGAGACCGAACTGTAAGTAATAAAAACTTCTTCTTTTCATCATGTTTTTTTATCATCATCATCAAGTTCTGAAACTTGCTACAAATAAAATAGATATAAACTTTCAAATGTTAAATTTTGTTGAAGAAATAATTTGATATTAATGATCACAAGACAACAAAACATAACGAAAAAAAAGAGAAAAAAATTGAAACAACAAATCCAAACCAAAATGATTTTCATTGCTTAACTAAGTTTTAAAACTTTGACAGTTGAATTAATACATCTTCAAAAGTGCAACTTTTCCTCTTAAACCCCACTCAAGAAAAGTCGTCTGAAGTCGTTCCGCTAACGCAAAAAGTTTTCGTTAATATTAATTTTGCTTTGGGGCAACTTCAACTCGTTATTCATCTGATGATCTTAAAAGAGTTTAGCTTACTGAAGATGCTCTAACGTCACGTAAAAGATTTCATTAAACGTCAAGAGAATACAAAGAGTTAAAAATTCCTTACAAACAAGGAGAAGAGAGGCTTCGACTTCAACTTAAATTGAAAATAAGGAAAGAAAAAAAATTGTTTTGTTTTATTTTAGAAAGACACAGAAAAGATATATGAAGTTAACGAGGAAAATTTTGAAAACTTGGATCATTATAAATTAATTTTAATTTATTGTATAAATGTTGACTTAAAAGAGTTTTAATGCGTGCGCTTTGAATAGCTTGAAGCTTCAATTTTTCTTTCTTCTTGTTTACGTTGGTGGAAACATTCATGAATTATGATCCCAAAACCATCTTTGACTTTTTCCACCATAAACACGTAGCAGAAGATAATATGAATCAAGACCAAAGTAACTACTACAGTTGAGAAAAAAAGAGTTAACTGCAACAGATGAAAGTCGAACAAAATAAGAAACTTTTTGTTTAAGTATCCCGAATAGCCTCTAGACTAGCATAAGAACAAAATTTGATCTGGTGATGAGAAATAATCTTCCTCAACATATTTTAAGTCACTGACAAGAAAGGATAAAAAACGAAGGCGAAAATGTTTTTCTGAAACTTTTCTTTCTGTTTACTCTTGTCCGCTTTGTTAAATCTAAAAATCAATTTCGTGTTCTTGAGCAAAGCCATTAATTCTGTTTTTAAACTTGTCTGTCTTTCATTGCTCAGCTCAGCTTTTTACATGAAAGCTTTCTTGTCAAAATTCCCACGCAGAGCCTCTTCGAGCTCTACTACATTTTCTTTTTCTTCTTGGGGTTACGAGATTAGACATTCCACATAAATCGTTAGAAGAGCGGTTAAAGTGAGACAGAGTCTACTGCTTAGATAACACCACTTCGTCCTATTAAAGATATTCTTCTCATGACCTTCGTTCTTCTTCCTTCACTCGTTTTCATTTCCATTCTCCCTAAAATCTTTCTCACTCTTTGATGAATGTTCAGGCGATGAAGGATTTCTCCTCCGAGATAAGCAAGCATTCCACAACAAAAGCTAAAAAATTGTATACGAGCATTGGCGAACATCAGAAAACTTTGTCTAATATTAATGAGTTCGTTTTTGCCTTTTCTTTCTTCACCAAGGGGAGGCTCTCCTCCACCCTCAATGTTGCGATCTTTCCCTCTTCTTCTTCTTTATTTGTTCCTTTCTCTCTCTCTCTCTCTTTCTTTCTCTGTCTTTTGCTTGTAATAAAAACAGAAGAAATCAAAATGAACAATTGCGTTCGCAATTTTTTTGTCTTGTTCATAAGGAGTAAAACCCAAGTTGAAAAGCAAGAATAAGATAAAGATTAGAATCAAGCGGCGAGGGAAAACAATGAAAAAGAAGAAGAGAATATTAATCTCTGATTATATTGATAAAATTATCTCACAGCAAGATCCACTTCGTTGCTCAACTTTTTCTTATCCGCACCCTTTTTTTTCTTGTATTGTTATCTTCTCATAATTTTGATAGCAGAGTGGCTTGCAATGCATATTTAAAAATCTTTTAAAAAGGCACTTGACGGATAAATAAAACCGTTCGTGACTGTGTTTTAGCTTTTTCGGTTGTTTTCAGTGTTGAAGTTCTTTCAAACTTTTCCATTCAATTGAATGAATGAACAATAATCCCTCCTTCTCTGTATTTCTCTCCCTCTGTGTTGATGTCAATAAAAACAAGTGAAATGAATTAAAAAAAGTTTAATGGGATTAATGGTATTATAATACAGAAGATTACTTGAAGAAAATTATGAATTATGAATTCAGAAAACATTAAAAATTTTGTAAATTAAATATAGGAAAGCTTTCATCGAATAATTCATTTCCTTTGCACATTAAATATCAATCTGAATAATTCCATTCTACAATTCCCTTGTTCATTAGTCTCATTAATGGTGAAAGCCTAAAGAGCAAGGATAAAAAGGAAAGGTTTGTGACATGAACGCAGTGGGAGTCTTTGTCTTTAATGTTGAAGATTAAAATGAATGCCTTTAATAATGTTGAATCTTTTCAATTTTCCTTCTTTTTTCCTCTGAGAACTTTCATACAATCATCACTAAGATTATGTTTCAGAAAAGATTGCGGGTAGCTTTCACTAGATAATAATCAAACTATGCTCAATTAAGCTCTCTTTTTTTTTCAATGTTAAAGGCCCAGCGGGAATCCTTTGAAGATAACTGGTGACAATAAAAACAAATCTCGAAAAATCTTTCATCGTTTCTGCGTATTCTGAAATCTGAGATCGATTTCATTTTTATTGCCTTGAGATAAATTAACTTGACACGTCGATATCAGATTCCCGCAAGCAGGCTTTTCTCTTATATATGCACATGTACAAGAACAATAAGTTTCGGTATCGATTTCGCAATCATAAATTGTGGCAAATCGTCCTACACGTATATTTAAGTATACCATCTGTAAACAGTCTCTTTTAATTGTTCGATACCCATATTTCCGATTCCCCTCGCATCTAAAATTTTTTTTTGCAGAAGGTAATTAAGAAATAAAGGTCAATATAGGATAATTTAGGCGCAAATTATTGTATTTTATGTGTTTAGGCATCGAATCGACAAATAAATTTTCTGCCTCTAAAATTTATGATCATTACACGTTGAAATTACAAATAAATTGGATTAACACTCTAATATTTATAAATGAGGCGCGCGAATTTAGAAGCAATGGATTATGGCTACGGGATAAATAATATAATGATGATATTAATAAAGCCATTGCTGAGACCCTTCCAACTAACACAACAGAAAATGACTAGGAAAGAAGAAGACAAGGCAAAAAAATAAAAGACGATTTTCATCTTGAAATAGAATTTCTCTATTTTCATTAAAAGCAAGAAATTTAGAAATTTTCGTAGATATAATGTAATGAGGGGAGAGAAAGACGAATTATGTTTATTGTATCCCTTTTCAATTTCATCACCAAACTAACAGCCAACGAACAAAAAACCATTCAAACACTCTATTGTTGTCCCAAAAAAAACGAAAAGATTTCTCGTTTTTGGTAATTATTTCCGGCAAAATTTTAAATTTAATCCAAAAGCGAACGAGAGAAAAGAGAACTTTCATCCTCGTGCCGCTTGTGACAAATTAAATTACTTTTCATTCTAATGGCAACTCGTTAACCCTAGTTAGTTTTCATGAGCATTTTTACACAATGATTTTGATAAATGCCTTCCTTCCTTATTTAGATGTTTATTTTCTCGTGTACGCCTGGAGAAAAGCTTCAAAGCTTCACATTTTTCTAAGAGGGACTTTAAGAGAACGTCGAAAAAGGGTTGATCAGTACGAGTGAATGTGTTTTTCTAGTCGGAAAAGCATCGCATCATTTCTTTTTTTTCTCTTTCTTCTTCTGACCCATTTCAGTGAAATGAAATAAGAAATCGTCGGGAAAAAAGAAACCCTTGTGACGTTAACGAAGGAGAATAAAAAGAAATATCTAATAAATGTTTTGAGAAAATAAATTTTAAATTTACGAATGAGTTATCAAAAAAACTGTTGAGAGTAAAAAAAGAAGACTTCAAAGAAGATTCTTTGTGATGTCGATCTCTTATTCAAATATATAGATCTTGTATTGCTTGCTGCCTACTCAACTTGTTGTGTATCTAAATAAGAAGAAAGCAAAACATAACAAAAGTTAAGAGTGAACTTTTGAAATCGCGAAAAACAACACACCAAAGTTATTATAAACATTCACTCAAAGTCTCACATTTATTTATTTCCACTTGCTTGATTAACGTAGCGAAGTATAATTAAAAGCTCCATATTGTGTGTAGGTTTCCTTTTTTTTTTTGATGAGGGTTCAGTGACTCATGCTTTCAGTGAGAAAGAAAAATTGTTTACTTCTTCAAATCAAACAATTTTCTTGCTTAAGAAATTTGAAATTTTTGCTGAGTCTCTTTTTTCTTGAGAATTTCGGAATTTTCTTTAGCATGAAACGTTTGTCTACGGGAAAATTCTTCGAAAATCTTTTGAAAATTGTGGCAGAAAAATGAAAATAATTTTTCTCCTTCATCAGTTCAAGCTTAACGCTGACATTGGCTTACAACGCTATATGTTTTTATACATTTATTTTCTTTCTTTTCATTTTTTTCTTATTCAAGGTTTCGTGGATGCGAAAACGTGATTTGCATATTCTAACTTCGAATAACTTTCTGTATACGGGAGATCAACGTTTCTCAGTTATCCATCCTCAGGATTCTGACGAGTGGAATTTGAAAATAGAATACGCTCAACCAAAAGATGCTGGGACTTATGAATGTCAGGTAGGATGTCCGTCCCTTCAAAACACGCATTGAAATCCATATCCCATATAAGTCTCTCGCCTCGTAAACGGAGAATTTATTAAGACATTTCTTTTTCGTTTTTACTGCCATCTAGGTCAATACTGAGCCCAAAATCAACTTTGCCGTAAATTTAGATGTCGGAAGTAAGATTTATATTTTTAATTTGCTTTTTCATTCGCTTTCCTTTCGATCTATAAAGCAATCATCTGCAATATTCTTTCTCAGACGTTTCAACCTTTTTTTCCAAACCATCTCTGTCCTATCTTTTGCAAGGGATGAGGGAGTAAAAAGAAAACGAGAACAAAACTGAATGTCAAACGTTAATGCTTTCGAGTGAGAAATGTGAACGTTAGCAGTTTTGTTTTTGTCATCTTTGTCGAATTAAGTATTCGCCCCTGTGTTCTTCTTTTTTTTAAAAAAATTCTTTCCTAAAATCTCCTAAATATAAATAATTGACACATAAAAGTTTCAATGAAAACATCCCAAATTTAATTTTTGAATTCCTTTTCAAAGCTTCGAACTTTTTTTCTGTTCGCTTTTCAAACCCTTGGAAATTGGTTTTCAGGAAATCTAAATACAAAAGAAATCAAAAGAAGAACCATCTAAGCTCCCAAAAGCTTCTTCTTTTCCCTTCAATATAAAATAAAAATAATCTTTTTACTCTCATTGGGCGTCCATCTCGTCTAAAAAAGCATCAAATTTTACACCCGTTTCAATCAATTTCAATAATTGCAGGTCCGGAATCTCATAATATTTATGCCGTACCCGATAGACATGAAGGTATTTTTTCTCCAATATTTTTTGTATGAATTTTTTTTTGTTAAATTATCTATTTAAGTGATTTTCTTTTTTGTTTTTCATTTATGAAATATATTTTAATGCTAAATTTGGAGATGAGATGAAAATGTTTATTTAATTTAATTCTGAGAGAATTGACACAGCATGCGATCTTTATATGAAGATGGGGCGGCGAAAACGCCCCTAAATAATTACATAGACAATTTTACCTCATTGTGTTGCAGATGATTGAGTTTGTAATTTTCTCCTAGATTAATTTTTATTGACATATTTTGTGATGAAAATTATTTAATTGCCTTTATTTTCTATCTCTGTTCTCTGTCGTTGTTGTTCTCCTTTGTCCTTTGACTGAAGCAGCAGCCCGAGCAAAAATAATTGGCTCGCAAGAAGTTCACATTAAAAAAGGCAGCACAATATCTCTAACATGTATGGTCAATATTTATGGTTCAGCAATTTCTTGGTAAGTATTAATACTCTATTTTACCATCATAAGTATCTTGTCACTTGACATCGATTGTGAAATCATGCAACATTTCCAACGCCCACACATAAATAAAAGTGTTTTAGTTTTCGTCTCACTCTATATAACTTTTTTTGCAGGTATCACGGCAATACCATCGTAAACTTTGATTCTGATCGAGGTGGCATAAGTTTGGAACAGGAAAAAACCGAGACGGGAACGACAAGTCGTTTGCTGTTAACGAGAGCAAATTTCCGTGATAGTGGCAACTACAGCTGTGTGCCACTGGGCGCTCTCTCTGCCAGTATAATAGTTCATGTTCTTAACGGTAATTGAGGAAGACTTTAGTTGTTTCCTATTTGCACTCATGATATAAGGAACGATGAAAGTTTCTTATTAACTCGCTATTACAATTTATGGCTTTCTTTCTACATTCACAGGCGAGATCCCACAAGCGATGCAAACAAGTGATGCCGTTTACCCACCACGTCCTTTATACATAGCCCTTCTAGCTTTAAGCACATTCTGTAATTTATTTAGTCTACAACATATCATAATTAAGTTTAATTACTTCATGCAGCGGTGACTGACGATGGTTTAAAATGTTTAAATGGAAATGAAATGTTGGCTGAGAAAACAATTTTTGCAAGAAAGCTGACGCCATTAAATAGGATAAAAGATGAAAAAAAAGTGTTTTTATTAATGCATTTCTGTGAGAAAGGAAAAGAAAGTTTATAGATAAAACATTATATTTATGAATAAATTTTTGAATTATCTAAAAGTAAAAAGAAAAGAAATTTAATGGACAAAAATAAATAAATAGCAATAAGTGTGAATTGTTAAGTATAAGAAAATTTTCATTGTTATCAGAATGAGAAGCTAAAAAAAGAAGAAAAATTCGCAATCTATGTTTGATGTTTAATAAGTAGACGAAAATTTGATTATTCTTTTAAAAGCGAAAAACTTTTTCTGCTGTTGACAAACGTAGATTGTGAATGTTTCTTTAAAGAAGACCTAAGGTCAAGGCTATAAAAAATGAACGTTCGCCTTTGTTGATTGTACTTGCCTTTACTTTTATTGAAAACATTTCCGAACTTTGTTCAAAAGTTCTAGAAACAATCAGAAGCAGCTTTTGTTTCGTAATTTATAACGTTGAAAAACTGAGAAGGTTATTAATGATTTCCGTCTCAAATTCCATCTTATAAAGTATCTTAATAGTATTTTTATTTAAATAAAAAGAAATTATGCTAGATATATGAAACGGTCGTGTAACACTTTCAGTATATTTATATTTTCAACGCGTAAATGCGTATTGCGTAGCATGTGAAATATAATTAAAAAACAAATAAAAGAGCGAATGTGTACATTTGAGTGATCAAAGGATGGGTTGCGTCGAGGAATGTTGACTTTCAAATCAAAGGAAGGCAAAGCATGGTGTGTTTTTTCAATAATACAAAAAATGAAAAAAAAATCCCATTGTTTTATTTTCCTCCGATGAAATTTATTTCTCAATGGAGAAAATTTTTTTAATAAAATATTTTCATCGTCATTATTGTTTTGGTTGGACTGACGCTCGCGTATATTTTCATTCTAGCCGGGAGTTAGGGGAAGAGAAAAATGTTTTGTGGTGGATGGAAACATAAAGAGAGCGATTTCAGATAAAGCTGTCGGTTTTTCATCGCAGCAATTTTTTTTTTTTGTTATTCTATCGTTCCACCCAACTCATGCTGCCATCATTTTCCAAACCCATAATGAAAATCAAACAAAAAACGTGTCTTTTCTGCTCGAATATAAACAGAAGCTTTTTTCCAGATGAATAATTTCATATTAGACACAAAATCCATCATCATCTGACTCACAATATTTCCGTCTTTCTCCGACTCTTTCACTCTTTTTTCTATATTTAAAAGCGTTGTTTTTATATCAGCATCAATGTTTGGGTAAATAAATTGTCACAAAAATATACGACACAAATTTGGCTTTAAAAGTTTGATCAATTTCAGCCTGAGCTCATCAGAAACATATTAATTTTTATATATCTACGCATCGTTCAAATCCGCGTTTATGCGTACGTATATTCATTATTTTTATGACATGAAGCGATGTTAACCAAAAAGAAAAATAAAATACATTTTGGGTTGTAGATGAACAAACCCATAGAACATTTATTAAGAAGAAGAAACAACAAGAGATGAAGAAAATTGCGAGCAATCTGGAGAAAAGATTATTTATTTGAATCTGTCTGTAAGAATCATCAAAAAGTATTTTGGAGGAAAAAAGGAAAAAAATCTGATTGAATTTTTTTGCTTCAATTTGTTTGCTTTTCAAATGAGACAAACATTAAAACTTGCACAGAATTGAGTTTATTTATTGAGATTTAGTTTAGTTGTAAATATTGTGAATATTATTAATAAATAGAGGAATGAAATGAAAATGATGAAGGAAAATGAATAAAAAAATTATTATCGTAAGATAAAATGTAAAGAAATATAAGACGATGAAGATTTTCAAGTAGCATAAAATAAAGTTACTTCTGGAAAATTAAATTTACTTTCTTTTTTGCTCTTCCTTCTTCGGTAGTTGATAATTTTAAATTTAGAGGAAAAGCTGATTAAAACGACTTTTAAGAGGATTTTTTTTAACCGAAAAGGAAATGATGAGATGTAAAGAGTGAAAAGCGTATACACCGTCTCTGGTTGTGATGTTGCATGAAGAGAAGAAGAGAATCAAAGGCACTTAACGATGTTAACGAGCAACCTTTGCTCTCGCACAGCGTACGTTATTGAATTTCAAGCATTCAAAAACATATTAACACATACTTTGTGAAATGAAACATTTGCTGAGCAAGAAAGATTTTCTTTCTTTGGGCAAAGATCCAAAGTTCTGGATGATTTTCCCTCTGATGACTTGAGACAGTTTCTTTTTTCACGCTTTTGAAATCATTTTCAGAAATTCCCCTATAAAAGCGTCAGGAACATTTTCTTGAAAGGTAAATAAACAAATTTCAGAAACGAGCATTTCAGAAAACGAGTAAGTACTAAGGAGGAGTAGCTTTGTAAGTAGCTTCAAATGTGATCATTACTTCCACTCCTAATTCGGAATTATCAAATATTTATCGAAGTGAATATTTATTTATTTATTCAAATCTTCTCTCTGAAGAATCTTCTTGAATTTGAAACATAATATTGTGAGAGTAAAACTCAGATTCTCATTAAAAATATCATCAGCCCAGCAGCAAATGTTTAAAGATCAAAAGTATATTATTTGATCGACTTTATGTATTTACATATGCTCATGTTTACATATGTATGTTCATGTACATATATAATCAAGATGTTGTTGGTTTTAAATAAATAGTCTATAATAACGAGTTTAAAGGTAGATAAAATCTAATTGGTTCTTTGGTCATCTAAATTTCTATTAGTCTGCTGATAGATAAATCGACGAGCTGTCTTAATTCTTCTTTTAAAAACACAAACAAATTGTTTCAAACAATCAGGCAAAGTGCTTTTTTTTTCAAAGTATCAACAAGAAGAAGTTAGAGAAAAAGAATTTCAGCCTATTTTTATACACAATCACATTAGATATTTTTCTTCTATCGTCTTTGAACACGTCGCATATTTCACAACAGCTCATCAAGTGAATAAAATCATCTATAAATAATACAACAACTTCGCCTCTGTCGATGGTTTTCTCGCGAGAGGAGGGAATTTCAGAAATTTTTCTTCGTCTTTTCTCAAAACAATGTACGCGGCACAGAAGAAAAATGAAGTGGTTCACAAAACGCTCGCGAGTAGTTGCGTAGAAATCATTAAAAAATTAAGATATAATCTCTCTTTTCATCCGGAAAAATATTTATTTTTCCGTCTTCATTTTTCTTGTGGTGTTTCTTTTGATTTATGATCTATAAGTGTCATATTAACAGATCTGTTTTGTAAATATTTTTCATCCATAACGCCATGTCATAAATTAAATTATCATCATGGAAATATGAGAAGAATTGTGGACGGCGGACAAAGTTAACAAAAAATATTTTATGCGCTTATGTGTCAACAATTTTCGATAAAGACATAAATCAATTTTGAAAAGTGTGAGAAATTTGAAAATGAAATGAGAATTTTATTTAAAAAATGTGATAAACAAGACTTTTACAAGCGCCACGAATTATTGTGGAGACCACACACGTGTCGGATGTATGAAAAGAAATAAAGCTGGCAAATTGACGCCCCCGCTTTCGAAACATCTCAATTTTATTAATTAAATTTCATCGTGATGAAATTGAAAGGATTCAAATGAAAATTTTTATTAATTGAGTTCATGTGGGAAAATCTAGAAAAAGTATTGAAAAGTTAAAATTTTATGATTTCAGTGTTAATAACTTGTCATTCAGTTTTCTCCTCTTTTATTCAAAATATAAAAGCAGTAGCAAGAACTACAAAGAGAAAGAATTTTTATTTTTATTATTTTTATGGCTTTTCCGCTTGCGTCACGGCGCTTCTTTATGGTCGGTGGATGAAATTGAAATAATAAAAAAAAGAAGAGAAGGATGTGAGAAATTTCAGTTATGATCCTTATGTGATGATGGAAAAAAGAGGAAGGAATTTTAGTGCTCTAATTAATTTATTTCCAATTAACATTAAAGAGCCAAAAAGCAGAGATTTTCTGAAAAACAGCCAATTAAACAGAATAGCGTTCAACATTCAATATCATTATTCACAAAAAAAAATGACTCAATAAAAAAGAAGCATGAAATTTTGATCGTTAATTTTAATTGATAAAAAGTGAAGCGATAAAGTTTTCCTGAGAAGAGAAGAGTAAAAAATTAAACAAAAAAAAATAAAACGAACATGAAATGAGAGAAGATGATTGTGCAAAGTGAAAAATTTTTATCTCATGTGGAATTAAAGCTGTGCAAGCTGCAGAAAGTTTTTATTTATTCATGTTGGCGAAAACCTCAAATTATTTTGTAACCACTATTTGATTATCATTAACTATATACTCTCATCTTCATATCTTTGCACAAACTTTGTGCTATTGCTATAAGGGATATCGTTTAAAAAAGAAAATTAAAAATGCTTATGCCACACCAAATAGGAACTTTTTTTATCAACGTAGTTATTCATGTTATTTGCATCATTCCCTTCACAACAACAGATCACAACATTCATCAATCTAAATATCAAAGAGAGAATTCTTTTAATTCATACAATGGTAAGTGCTATGTATATCTAAGTTTTATTAAATTTTACTCTATTAGAAAATGGCATTTCACATTGTTTGAAACTGAATGGAATGTTCAAGGAAACGTTTTGTTAATTAAAACAAGAATCATGTTGAGAAGAGCAGAAAGTTTAATTCTATTTAAATATAATCTTCTTATTATAAAATCATATGTACAAGTCTATGATTCATTAATTATATTTATTAGAAAACTTATTAAAACATATAAATATACAGTGTTTGTGAATATTATGAACTTTTTAAAGTTTATATTCATTTCAATTCAGTATTGCGATGATGTACAACAACAAACAAGTTGTTGACTTCAAAAGTTATTTGAAATTGAAATTCAAATAAACAAACCACAGAAGGTTGTACTTAACGTTGATATTTTTGTTTATTTTAAGAAAACTCCTACACAACATCATCACAAAGTGAGAGCTTAGCAAGTCTTCCATATTTCCTAAAAATTCCTACAACAGTGTCAGTGATTGAGGGATCAGCTGTCATTCTATCATGTCGAATAGAAAGTCTTGGCGATCGAATGGTGTTTTGGATAAGAAATTCAGATCTGCAGATATTGACGGCCGGTCTTGTCACATTCACAGCTGACAATCGCTTCAAAGTAAATCACGAGAACAGCATCGACTCAACAGATTGGAGTCTTCTCATAACAGATGTCACAATGGCAGATCAAGGACTTTATGAGTGTCAAATAAATACAGAACCAAAGATGAAAATGAACATAAACCTGATAGTTAAAGGTGAAGATTTTCTTATATTCATTATTCATGATCTTTTTTCCTTCATCTTATCAAAATGGGGTGCTGTTAGGAAAGATGAGACGACACGAAAATTTAATATTAAAACAGCGTGTGTGCGTATTTTTCTGATGTTTTTATAGAATTTTCTGAGCTCATGGAAATGGATTCGCCCTTCAGCGGGGCAATGATAGAAGGAAAGAATATCAACATATTAAAGAAAGGATCGACAATCACATTGACTTGTAAAGTGATGGAAAATGGGATTGAAGGAAATAGTGCTAACACGAGGCGCATCGAATGGATGAAGAACGGAAAACTCGTCAAAATGAAGGTACACCACGTCATGTCACGTTACGGATTACGAATGAAAAAAATATTTTCCATAAAAAGCTGTCTCTGAAAAGTTTACCTTCTGCTCTAAGATTGATTGCGCATTCTGATATTTTGAGAATATCTAAAACAATTTCATTTCTTCTTCATTTCCTTTGCTTTTTACATTTACATTCAAATTCCGACTTTAATTAAAATCAATGAAGTCGATGAATATAATTTAAACTTCATTAAAATTTATGATTCAATGTTGCTTATTAGATATTCTACATTGATATTATGTAAAAGAAAATATTTCTTGTTCTTCGTAATCATTAACATCATATTTTTGAAAATAATCAATTTAATATTTAATTTGTGATTTTTGTTTTAAAAATAAAAAGTTTATTAATTTAACAATACCTTCAGCATTAATTGGATTTTTCTTTCGTATTGTTTAGACTCGTCATGGAGGTGTTACAATTGATACTGTCTGGCACAATAAAAGTGGAACGAGTAAATTAATTCTGGGCGAACTTGAAGATGAGGACTCGGGAAACTATTCATGTTCTTCAAATGGCTTCGAGTCTGAGCAAGTTTTGCTTCATGTTGTTTCAAATCTCAAAGGTAAGTAGCAGTACTTAGCACAAAAGCCCAATCTGTTTACTTCAAGATTACCGTTTTATTAAAACTTTCCTTTCTTCTTTTGCAAGTGGAAAAATGAGATGAAGTAGAAAGGTGAAGAAAACCACATTATTGTACTACATGTTGTTCATTATGAGCTTGAAAACGAATTTCAACAAGAATTGTCGAGGGGGGGGGAAGGAGATGATGGCTTAAAGAAAACTATCATTACCTTATTTTGTTCGAAAGAAAATTGCCGAGAATGAGAAAATAAACATTTAATCTCTTTGTTATAGAAATTCGGTTGCTTTCTTTTGTTAGCTAAGAAAAGCAAATGAGCCGATTCTTGTCTCTCATTCACTATCCACACGTTCCTAGGAACTTTTCATGTCGTTTTGTTTTCTCGTTCTGTCGAAAACTTTCTAATCCAATGAATTGTCTTAAAGCTTTATTCCAGTATATTTAATATGCAAAACAAGACGCTAAAGCATTAAAAACATGACGTGAAGAAGCGTGTAGAAGGCGATATAAGGAAGAAGATAATTACATGAATAATTAAATATAAGATGCGATGAGAGGCGAAGTATGGTATTGATGTTTATGTTATGTATGTTTTCATGAAAAGTAAGGCGAGAAAGTTGCTTCATGATGATAACGATGATATCTTTTTGATCTGTTTTACATCAGCATAAATTTATGAATGAACAAGATGTGAAGTAGCAAATGAGATAGAAAAAAGGTGATAATTAAAAAAAATTTATATTGATGTTCTGTGCCCAACGTGAGATTCAACGATATTTCTATCTTTTATATTCAATGTTGCGTCGTATATCATTAACTTAATTGTACTTTAAAATTTTACAGTTGCTCTCGTGTAGATAAAATATTCTTTTGTTATTGAAGAGATTTTTTGAAGAGTTAAAGTTGTAATTAAATCGACACGATTGAAGTATTCTATTCAAAAAGAAAAATGGAGAAAATATTTCTGTTGCAGTTCCTTAATACTTTATTCGTACAAAGAAATGAATGGATTTTGTCAGGGCTTGGAATCAACATACTAAATTTCAATCCCAATTAAACTTTTTATCTGCAATTTCTTTTCATAATTAGGCAATTTATTCTAATTTTCAATGCAAGTCCCATAAACCTTTTAAAATAAAACTTAAACATCAGAAATAATGTCATGCCCTGATTTTCACAGTTATTTACTCAACTCAAACGAGTTTGCAACTTTCTTTCTTTTTTTCATCCTTTTTGAAAGTTTCTGCTGTTCATAATAAAAACCATCATTAAAAACATCGTCACAACTTACTTTTATAAAAAAAATCGCACAAATCTCTTCTCCACCCGCTCGTTATTTGATTCGTGTCAATGATTTTGCGAGAGAATACGTTTTGTTTCCTTTGAAATAAAATCAGCATTTGTCAGATGTGACTTTCAAGAAATATTTTTCCAAGAATGCAAGTAATGATAGCATGAAATTTTCTCTTCCCTTTGAGGCATTTGTCAACAAACAAACAAACAAACGCAAACCACATTCATATATTACTTTGTTTGCTTTCTATGATATTTCTCGTTTAACAACTGAATTTTGAATGCTTTAAAGTATTTAAAGGTGATAAAAGCTTTGTACTCAACCCGTATAAGAACATTGTCAACGCTAAATAAATTGTTTGTCATATGCCTAAACATATAAATATGAGAAATCCTTTCATAAATTCACGTGAACATGAATACTTTTCACTAAATATAAGAAAGACGTCAAACAGCGTTTTATTGAATCTTAGAATCAATATATTTCCATCTCGATTATCAACGAACGGGAATCACTTCTCCGATGATGATCAACATGAGTTTCTTGGGTGGTGGGAAGTGAAAAAAGAGGAAAAATATCAAAAAAAAAATCAAGGGAATTTTCAATTTGACAGTGATATTGAAGCATGAGATATAATTTTCTTTGCATCTTTCGCACGGCATCATTCCGAAAGTAAAAAACATTCTTCGCTTTTCCTTTAGAATGAAAATCCAATCACTTTTAAAATTAATATAAAATCACTTTAGAGCGATAGTTGCCATATCAGACTTTCATAGCTTCAAGCTTACATTTATTTTCACCCCACGATAGACTACGGTAGTTGGTGTTCCACCTTCAACTTAAAGATGGAAAAGTGATAGCGGTGAAAATTTAAAAGAAAATTTCATGGTGCTAATGAAATCAAGATTTTAAAACACGAAGTTGAGGGACTTTGTTAAATTAAAGAAGAATCAATAAAGTCGTGAAAATTGAGAGCGAGGAAAAAAATCACATTAAATAATGTACGTTTATGATGTCATGGAAATTTTTCCTCCATCTTGATGTTGATATTAAATGAAGCTCAATGTTAGCACTGTTCAACTATCATAGAAAAGGAAAAATCTCTCGTTTCATATAATTTAGAAAAGAAATAGTTTTGAAGGATTAAAATTTTAAATTTATGTTGTGTAAGTTGTCCAAGTTTCTTTTTCTTGTTTCATCACTTCACATCAATGATAAAAAATAACTTTTCTAACTTCCATTGAAACGATATGAAATAATATTTAATTCATTACACCTGGTGTTGAATATTACTTTGCTACCTTTTACAATAATGAATACTATCAATTTCATTCTCTTTCGAGATTGTCTTTTGCGATAAAAGTAAAGTTTTTTTTCCTCCAAAGTGTTTGTTGCTGTGTAGCTTTGGAAGATACAACATAACAAGAGGAAAAACGGTTTTATGGCACAAATTAAAATTATTTATTTGGGTGCTGCTTTAAGACTCTTGAGCGTGCTCGATTGAAAAAGGAAAGCGTTGGAAACAACCGAACTGAAATGCTTAGATATCCTAAATAGAATACCAAGAAGAGAGTTTAACATGACATGTCACAGAAGACATATTTCGTTGCGTAAGAGCTTCAATTATTCATGTAATAGTTAATTACTTTATCTATGCTCCCGAGGATCGTTCACTCATTAGTTATTAGTCACGGAAAAACGAAAAATATCGAAATATATAACAATGTTTTATTATCACATTTATCAAATTCATGCAGTTATTTTGTGCCTAAAAATTAATCACTTTTCTTGTTCTTATTTCCGTCTTCCACCTCTCCTATGGAAAAGTTTCCTGCAACAGCTCGTTTTCTCCATCGCTACATACGTTGTTGAGCTCTGGTAGAAAAGTTTGGAAAGTGAAAAAACACTTTTTCTACCGCAATATCTGGATTAATTTTATTCCTATTCATCAAGATATATTAGCTACGACGTGGAAGGCAGCAATCATCTGAGAAAATTAATGGAGTGATGTAATTCAGAGGGTTCTACTTAAAGCTATCGACAAGGTGAAATCTTTTACGAGATCAATTTTCAGGCATGAATGCGCACAACGAATTTGTCACTTTCTTAAAAAGTTTCTTTATTTTTCGTTCGTTCTTCCTTCACTCTCTTTCTACTCACGCAATTGCAAAGAGGAAAAGAAAGAAAAGTTTTATTTTCTGCTTTTCTTTAATTTTTGTGCTTTTTTTGCTTTCGTTTCTTTCCATCTACAGGTGATGCTGCAGAAATTTCAACGAGAAATAATGGCTCCACACAAAAGTCATCAATTTTAATAATGTTTCTTCTTATACTTTATAGATTCTAAGATTTCTTATTGCTTTGAAAATAAAGAGAGAAAAAAAGAAAATACGAGGAAATGCGCACATTAAAAAATATTATGTTGAATATTTCGTCGTATATATTTTAGGCTACTCATGGTCAAAACAACATCAAATGGAAAGGACGGTAATCAAAATATATCACAGAGTTTCCAATTTTTAAAATTGAATTTTTTTCCTTTCATTCTCTGTCTTTGAAATGTCATCGTTGATTCATATATTTATGCATGTACTTATATTTATGAGACGAAAAATTTGAATTGAAACGAAGCCAAAACCTTTGGTGCTTCTTTCATTTCTTCATCAGCAGTACAGAACGAGAACTTTATAAATAAAGAGAAGGAGCTTTTGTGGATGCTAACAATGGTATCTCGTTAGCCAACTTTTTCTTCTTGATATTTTCCCTCTCTCATCCAGGCACAGTCTAGTAAGAGCCAAAACAAGGGAAGTTTCTTAGTAAATCTTCCTTCAACTGCGGCTTTACGTCTAATTGAATAACAACGGCTAGCAGAGAAATGTTATCGTGTGTGATTGTTTGTAGAGTTTGTGAAAAATTGAAAGGAAAAGAAGAAACATCAAAAAAAAATCCTGAAATTCAAGAAGAATGATCACTAACACGAACAGCTCTTTGTGAAATGGAACTAAGTATGCTGCATCTTCTCGAAAATTAATATGCAGGGTTCGTGAGGAGAAATTTCAAATACTATTCGAATTTACTTCATACACATACACATCAGACATTCAAGAATGTGGCAAACTCTTCTTGGTTATGGAACTTCCTATAAGCAACGAAATTTAACCATCTACAAGATGTCTATGAATTCTCTTCTTGTCAACATCATACATTGCTGAAGTTATTTTTTTGTGCATTCTGTGAAATTGTGCACACAATTTCTGGTTCTCATTCTTAAATTACATTACAGGATACTCTACCCGGTTCTGTCTACGTCTACAAATATTTCATATAAATATATGTACATAAGTATGTTTTTCTGTGTATTTTTTTAAAGCGATTATGCAAAAAGAGGAGCGAAAAATAGTCGAAGCGGAAACATAATAAAGCGACATGAAAGCTCAACAAAATAAAGTGCGCATTAAAATCATCGCAGCACTTAAGAAGCGTTCTACGACTTGTCTTCATGCACAAACATACACACAATACATGTACTTTAGGTTCGTGAAACCTCAAGGAATGGGAAAGAGTTGTATAATTTATCATACGTAAATTTATTCTTTTCTCCTTGTTTGATTGTACGAATAATTTAATTTAAAGGAAAGAAAAAAATCTCGCACTTTATGCTTCGCATTCATCCAGCTTTTTAAATATGATGGATGTACTTTCCTCAATCTTTGACATGCATGAAGAAAGAGAAGAGATAAAAGATTTGTGATTTAAAACTTTCGCCGGTTACGAAAGAAAAAAAGAAGAAGACTAAATAAGAAGAGGAATTTTCGTTTCTTCAACGCGAGCTTAACTGCAAGATTTTTCCTGCTAAAACCGTATCGCAATGGAATGGAACGGAACATAACGAAGAAAAATCTAAAGCAGAAAGACGGGGTAAGAAAACTGTTTAATCCATCAAAATGGCTTTCCTTTGCTTCTTTTTCCCTAACTTCCTACATCTAACCAAAGAAATATAGCTCAATTTAAACAGATCAAATGATTTAGAGCATGTTTACAGATAATGGCTGAATGTCTTTAACCCAATTTAGTACCGAAGTAAGCTCAGTCGGAAAAGATTTTGCATCAATTTAACCACAAGATAAGCTGCTGTGTTAATGATGGTTTTACATTTTTTAGCATGCTATTTATGAGAGTTGGTGATTATGAACGAGACTCACAGTTACATTCTTTCACCACAGAAAATTTCTGAATTTTGATTGTTATCTCACTGTAGGCTGTGTATGTTAATCCCTTCAATGAAAACAAACAGTTTGCAATTCGGTTTATCAACGGCTTATGACAATCTCAACTGTCACAACAAACACGAACAAATTTCTTTCTCTCATGAATGTGTATGCTCGTTCTTTCATTTATTTATTATTTTTTTCAGAAACTTCATAATATTACATGTCACTGTTATATTTCATTTATTTTGATATAAATTTTTCAGTGGCTATAAACATTTTCACCATTACTTTTTATAACTTATAAGCTTAAAACTTTCTCTTTACTCTTCATGGCGAATTTCATAACATTGGCGAAGAAATTGGAAGTTTATAACCATTTTTTGGCAAATTCAAATTTTCTCGGCGTTTACTTAACAAAGTCTACCAATTAAGACAATTAGAACTTCGATAACAAGCCCAAATGATTTGAAGCTGCAATTTTATTTATTTTGCTATGCAAACAAAGGATTATAAACTATCATAGAACCATGAATCTTGAACTTTAAGGAAACATAAATAAACATAAAAAAAATCATGAAAACCCATCTCAGTATGTAAACGCCGAATAAACACTTAACATAGTACTCGTGCATGAAGCGGTAAACTGTCTGTGAGAAAGCAATTGTCCTCCTACAATCAAATAAAAGAACAAGAAGAAAGACGGAAAAAGATAAAAGTTGAAAGGGAGATATGAACAGCCCACGACTGGACAAAAACTTTTTTATTCTGTCGGATATGGTCGATAATGTGATAAGCACAAACATCATAATCCTACATTGCGTAAAAAACTTTTCCTTTTCCTCATAGAGAATAATTCTCGAAAGGCTTTTGATAAAGATAGATAAAGGGACATACGTTGATTTCTTTTTACTTCCACCTTCACCTTCTCACATATCCCTTCCTCGTCCTCTAATTTTCTCGTCTTCATATCTTACCCCGGATGATGTTTCTTTTTTATTTATTTTGTTATCTTCGACTTTATCAGAAGAGGTCGTTCCACTTATCTAGACAAAAATTTTTTGATCATGCGTAGGATGAGTAAAACATTGCCACATGCTTTAACTTCCAGTGACGCAATGTAATAAGCATTCGGCAACGGAAACCAAGAGAAATACTTCGCGAGTAAATACTTTTTTAATGTTGTCTTCAAACTCAGCTTAATTTTAAATTACGCTATAACTTTTAATCTTCCCTAAAATTACGGCATTTCATGTCTCTTCTATTCCTTACTACCACAACGTCAAAGCTTCGCAACATTGTAACAAACGCCTCAATTGTTAAAGTCAGTGTAAGGTAGAGTTTACTTTTTCAACCTAGTTAAATCTATGACTGAGATAACAGTTTTCTATTATGTTGGATGAGTCCCCCAACAATTTTTGAAATTCCCCAAACGACTTGGAAAAAAAAATAAAAGTTTCAACTCAGGTTATACGTGAATGCGAAGCTTGCGAAACGATGGATCGGAGAGAGAATAAAAGTTCGATAAAAGTTTCCTTCTCCTTCATTGATGAAATTTTCCACGACAAAAACTTGAGGTTTCTGTGAGTCTTGGGGTTAGATTGTCAATTTTGTATCGTTTCAATCTTCTTTCAAATGTTAAAATATCAAGATAACAATGTAGATAATTTTTTGATTTAGATTGCGGTTTGAAAACAATTTTTGCTGCTCACGGAAAGGTATTTATGCTAAGAATACTAGAAAGCTTTCATTACGTGTGCAGATACATATGATGATTATGTAAATTTTTTAACATGATGTGTAACATGAGACATGAGTGCCCCTAGTAAACCCACACATTACTCGTAGTATACACGGGAATTTAATCAATTGTTGTATTTAGTTTTTGGTATGGTTCATTATTTTCGAATCCATACAGAAACAGCAATTGCTAGAGGGGAGGCATTCATGAAATTTCACAGATTCAACTTGAACAGAAAATTACATAGAATTGAAACAAAAACGATGAGTAAAAGTTATAATAGAAAATTCTGCATGATTTATTTAGCAAAAAAGCGGATTAAAAGTGTCATCGAAAGTATTAAGGTGCAAAGTCTTTCGTTTGTGTCGTTGGTGGATGTTAGAAAAGAAAATTAGAAACTGAAGAAGTTTTTCTCATAGCAATCGCTTTGCAAGTGTCAGCAGTCGCTATCAAAATGGAATCTTTTTGTGTCTTATCCATGACGATGAATCGAAGCGTTTAAAGTTTTTGCCATGGGGTTTTCGTATGGAAAATTTAATTCCGACCAGGTATGTGTTATCTCGAAAACACGATTTCGCTTGAGAAAGGTAAAAGAATTTCGAGAAAACATTTAGTTTTTGTTTTCTTTTCTTTCTCTTTCTTCCTTCTTGTTGTTAGGAATCATCTAATTACGACGCTTCAGGAGAAGAAAAATAACTAAATAGCAGCACCAAAAGAATAAAGGTGTAGAAGAAAAGGAACAATTTAATGGTGCTAAGATGAAAAGAGAAAGAGGAAAAAAGAAGGAAAATCACAACATGGAATAATAATTTGGTGATACACTCGCATGAGATGCTCACAAAACGAATCGAAAACCACCTTTGGGAAACCTCGACAAAGTTTTTTTTTTCCTTTCATTTCTTTTTCCTTACATGATGTGCGCTAGTAAATGAGAGGAAAAGGGGAGAAGAATTTCATTTTATTCTTACTTCTTTTTTGGGGTCTTGAAATGAAATAAATAACAAGGCTTCTGATGAAGGTTAGAATGTGCTGGTTTTCTCAACACCTGTTATTAAGTGTACATTTTTGGTTTTCGCGGTTAACTCAATTAGTCTGGAGAAAATTGAAATTTTCCATTCTCTCTCGCACTTTTTACGCCTTCAAGTCATTCAGCAAAGAATAACAACCAGAAATGTTTCTTATTTAATTATTACAGAAGCGAAGATTCGTTTCAAGAAGAAAAAAAGAAGTAAGTCTACCTTGAGGTTGTTTATTCATTTTCGCTCGCTTAATGCCATAATCTATTCTCGGATGTTTACCATCGAATTGGCAGCATTATGCGTGATTAGGAGGTTTTGGGAGATTTTTTATGCTTATGGCGTCTACTAAAGCTCCTTTAACCATGAAAATTTTCATCCGGCCTTAATAGAACTTCACATTATCCCCATGTAAATTGTAATTTAATTTTCCAGAAGGGAAATCACCATTTTGGCATGGCAAGTTCAAGACTATATCACCATACTTTCAATTGTAAAACACAGATGAAAAAAGGTTACGAATAACAACAGCAATTGAACATGAAATCTATCGAGCATCTGGCTTATTGTATTAAACTGAAAATAAGTTTTCTCAATCCTCTGTCGTTTCCCTTAAGGCTTTCTCTAAACTCCATCCACTGTCAGTCGTCCCAGAAAGTAAGAATTTTAATTTTATTGCAAGTCATTTTCTCACGGATGAGGGCCCCTTCCCCCCCAGGAAACTTCTCTTGAATAACAAGCCTTGTAAAAAATGAGAGACTCCAATAAAAATAAAAATAAAATTCCAATAGCTCTACATCGGTCACATTCGCAATGTTCATGTATTATTGATTGAGGATTCGGTAGCTTACACCATATCTGAGACATAAAAGCGTTTATTGCTTTAACAATAAAATTTCCTTTTCTGTTTTTTCTCACAAGAATTTTCAATGTTTTGGGTTCAATGTCTAATACTTGGTGGAACTGCTTTATTCAGTCATTTCAAATTTGAGATTTTCCTTCTCTTTGTTGTTGTTTTCATACCAGTTTTGCTGAAACTTTATGTTTGTATCTATTGTAGTGGGGAAAGACTCACGAAGTGACTAACTAAAAGCTTCGACAAGGAAAAACTACGTGCTAACGATCGAATAAATATTTTTTGAATTGATGAACACGAAGCATCTACTTGACATTTGAGTTCCACTATAAGGCAGATGGCGAAACAGAGAGGAAAATAAAAAAAAATCTCTTCAACAAAATAAATAGCACAATTTGCAATAAAAAAAGTGAAGCGTGTGTCCGAAGTGTTTGAATTCTTTTATTTTCTTTTTGTTTGTCTACTTGACTGACATTTACCGAACTACTCTTTAATAAAACGTTAATCATTGATGATTTCCAAATCTCATCGAATTTTATTTCAGGATTTTTCTTATTTCATAATTACAATCATTTTTCATAGAAAATTTCGCATTAAAATTATGATGAAGGCAAGAAAATGGTCGTAGAATTTCAAGATCAACTCTTGGTCGATCAATTTTATTCTTCTCTAGTGGCACAAAAGATTTTAATTTATCTATTGACTGTAAGAAGGCATTCATCAAAATACAATCTACGCTTTCTCTCTCCAAAGTAACTTCAGAAAGAAGGAAAAGGAAAATTACTTTGTCATTAAAGAAAGCAAGGGCGCAATAAAAAGCACATCCGATGGACATTAAAGGAGTCAGTAAAAAGTTAAATAACTCAATATTTCAACGCAATATGATTTAGATTGCCGAAGCACACGAGCACTTTCATTCATGATTGCTTTAGGCATTATGTACATACAAACACAAGATTCTTAGCTTTTAGGGAGAACGAAAATAAAAAGAGAATCACATAAATGACAACGATAGAATAAACGAAATGAAAGGATATCCAAACTAAAGCTATTTTTATTTTACTGGTGTGTATATACAGAGACGAATTCTGGCAATCAACAAAAATAGATTTGATTCTTCCTGTCTACACATTTAGGGGGAAAAAAGAAAGTTCCACTCTTACCGGGGGATCAAAGCGTGAATGGAGAGACGAGTGATTTAAGCGCACTTCAATATTTCAAACCAGCGATCCGAAACAAAACGTAAGAGGAAATATAAACGGAAATTGGGTTTTTTGGACATTATATTATTGACTCGTTGTAGATGGTAGATGTATGGTCGCCGTTCTTTTTTCTTTCCATCTTACTCACTCTCTCACACTCTTCTTCTTTTACTTTCCTCAGTTGCTGGCATTTGGTGATCAGGGAAGCAACAAACAATTTGTATGAGCATTATTCAAGTTTATATGAGGGAGAAACGAGAAAGTTCTCGCGAATCCCTGTTGATACATAAAAAGCAATCTGCGATAATAATAACTTTAGTTCTTCCACTTCTCTTCTAATTTCCTTTCATCCTCTGGCAGCACTGTGTAAATTTATGCCATGTCTTAATGGCCAAATCATTAGAACGCATTTCAAACGACGAGTCGAGGTATGAGCACTCTAAGAGCTTCATGCTTACATTCTTAATGTCGAACGAAATGTGCTTCTTTATCATTTTACTCCCGAAAAGCTGTGAAAAGTTGAAAACAATGTCGAGTAGAAACAAACACATAGAAATCGAGAAAAGTAGAAAAGAAATTGGAATGAAAAGAAAAAGACTGAAAATTGCAAAACAAAAGCAATTTTCAAAAACAAAAAGTGAGCTTTCGGTTTCTCTACTTTCATTTTATTTTATTTCTTGTTTTCTTCATCTAGGGACCTTGTGAAATATGTTGTTCAAGACATGATTCATAATAAGCATTAGATTGAGTAGAAGGCACTTTAAAACTTTGTTAACAGCAATACCATGAGATTAAATAAGCTCGTTTTCACTAAGGCTTTTGTGCTTTTAGAAAAAAAACTTTTACAATGCTAGGTAGGCAGTAACGAGTTTAAGGTTGGATGAAGAAAATCTCAAATTTCAAAAGTTCCACACATTAAACGATATTATTTAATGAGAGATTTTTCTACACTTTTTCTGAGCTGTTCATTCAACCGGATTCAGCTCGGACGGATTCAATTACGTGTGAGAAAATCTCATTCAATAACTGAACATTTATTTGGCCAAGCAAATCTACCTACTCATTCAATGAGCTTCAAAGCACAACATCCGAACAGAGGAACAATCTAAGGGATTAAATATAAATCAAATCGCCTGAAAAAAGATTCTATGGAAATATGAAAAACCACTTAAAGAGGTAAACGGGATTTTACCAGGCTCGTTGTTCACCCAATGCCCCCAACCACCCATTCATTCACTCATTCAATTCTCTAGCGATGAACAAGAGTTATTTCAACCAAAAAAAAAAAAATTTTGTGTGCTATTTAATGAACTTTTCAATTTGCTTCTTCAATTATTTCCACATAATTTGACTTTTACCAAGCGCGCGTTTGAGACATTTACTAGCATTAGTATCCAATGTAATAGCTTCATTCTGTTCATTTATTAAAGAATTTAATTAATGATATTTCTGATTCATTTAATTTGATCTTGAGGGTTTTTAATCCTTTCTTCCTGAATCATTAGCGGGGACGCTTTCACCTAGACTCAATATTCATAAAAGGAAAAAGCTTAGTTTTGATATGAAAACAAGAGAGGGAAAAACTTTTCTCATGAGATTTATCTGAAGGAAAACTTTTTGCTTATCATTAATTTATTCGATGATAAGAAAAGTAAATGGTTTTCGGCTTGCTTTTTCTTTCTCTCTCACTCACTTTCTCTTTTCCTTCTCCTCCTTTCTTTTTCTTATCCTTTTTACTTCTCGCATCATCAGAAGGGCGGAGAAAAGGAAAATCAAATTGAATCAATCAAAATGATTACATCATTTTCATAGTCCCATGTTACTCGACAAAACTTTCCTTCTATCATCATTTCATTTCGCTCGCTCGAGAGTTAAAAGTTTTATTTAAGGGTTTTTTGATAAACATTTTGTAGATTTGTAGGGTGATGGAGGAGGGGAGGGGGTCTGGTATATGAGTAAAGAAGAAAAAGTTAAGGATTTTGATGAGATGACCCGAAAGAAATGGTTATTTTGGGCTAGTTGACTCGTTTCGTGCATGTGCTAAAAGAAAGGATGATCGCCCTTAAAATGAAACTCTTCTTCGTGTCGGGAGCCCTAAAAATACTGTAATTGCTTAACATCAGCACCATTGCAGTGATTTTCGTTTATTTTCTGTTGGTTATAGGAGAGAAAAGCAAGTTAAGCACGCATTTTGAGAGTAGCAACTGTTACGGTCGAAGTCCGAAAGGCCTCTCAACATTCCCGAGATGACCATTTTTGGTCGTTCTATTGGAAAACGTGCTTCAAAATAGAAATAAGGATTATTTCGTTTTCGATTTCCTCACGCCAGGATTTTCCTTTTCAAAATAAATAAAACATCATCGATGATTTTAGTACATAAATGCGTGCGGAAAGTAAATGTTTGACGTTGACGGTAGATGGGGATTTAAACTGTGTAGGGTTTGTTATGGAGCTAAGATGAAGAGATAGCTAACATAACAAGTAAGGCGAATCCAAATGGAAATAAAACAACTCAAACACAATCTGGGTTTGTTATGAAATTTTTATTTGTTATAATGAATACTGGCTTTGCTTTCACTTGAAATATTTTCATTAATCTGTCTTGGGTGTTGGGAACGGATGCTAGTGATGTTAAAATAAACTTGCAATGATAATATTAAAAGTTAATGTCATACTTAATGGACAGCATTTTTAAAACAACTTTTGCAGTTGCACAGAGACTTAAAGTTTCTCATTAATTTAATTCCTTTTCTGAGCTTTCAAGTGTTCCAAAGCTGTACAATTTTCCCATCAGAAAATCTTTGTCCTACTCTTTGTTATGCATAGAAATTTCTCTTTTCAACCAGATTTTACCATGAAAAAATTCATAAATAATGTAACAAATTAGTCACTATGGAAACTTAAAAAGTATTTAAGTAGAAATTCCCTTTTAACTTCTCTTTTCTTAAAAAGCAATTATGAAGGAGAACATCAGCTTAATAAACAAATGCTGAAAGCTCGTAAAATCTCTTTCTTAAAGTCTTCATCTACTCACACCATTTACGTTTAATTCCTAAAGTCGGAAATGCTACTTGCTTGAAAAACGCTTCCATTTATTCTCTCGCTCATTTCTTTATCAAATTAAAACACTTGGATTCATTTTTGAGCTATGTATAAATAAAAAGTGTGCCAGCCAGGAAATAAATTTCCTTTTTTTCCATTTTTAAGTGTTTGGTGTTGCTATAGAATTGTGAAAATTTAATTCCTCTGAAGCTTTACCACTTCATTATTTCAATGAATCACAACAGATTCTGGAAAGACATTATCTTACATAATTGATAAGTAATTGAACAATAGACTAATTAATAAATAATACTTTTCAATTCAAGTGATGTGCACAAGCACAATGTGAGGCTGATGATAGAAATTCTATCTAAATATATAAAGTATAAACACATCACTTGTCGTTTTTGTCCAAATCAAAAAAGTTACGACGATGAACAGTTCAATATCACTCAAGAGCTTTCAGTTTATTTGGTCTATAATCAAAATCTTGTTCAAATTATCTCTTATTTCGTACACTTTTAGATCATGTCAAGGGCTTTACCAAGGCGATAAACTTAGGAAGTTCGATGATTTTTTTCCAATGTTTATTTATTTATTTTCTTTTCTCAATTTTACTCTCGATGTAAGACCCAAGTTTAAGAAAAGAAGAAAACGACGAACGAACAAGAAAAATTCTATCAGCAAGGCTCAATTTTGTTTTTCTTTTTGCTGTATTTTTTTTTTTTGGTGTTGTAATCATTGGGGATGTTCAATCGACTTCTTATTCTCCTTTGCAATCGCATGCCTATACTTCGAGAAGTACTTTTCTATGGATTACTTGAAAGTTCGTCAGAATTTTATGACTTTTCTTCTCAGAAAATTTATGGAAGTTAAGAAAAGTTGATTTCATTTCGTATCTACTCTCAACTCAACGGCAGGCAACTCACAAATAAATCCACATTTCAATGAGAACGAATAAAAAAATGCTCGTTCAATTGCTTTCAACCCGAAACCTAGATAGCGATTGCTTTAAAATTGTGTGCTCTACGTGCTACGTGTGGAGCTGAAAACCTATTTCACAACTGAAAACGAAGGCGAAGACGAAGACAAGAAAAGGTGGAGGTGGAGAAAAAGTAGAAGCAAGAGAGAGAAAGAAATAAAAAATATATAAAAGTTGCAAAAAACCTTGTGTGGAAATCAAACGAAAGATGGAAGAAAAATTGAGAAAATTCAGTTATTTCTTCGGTAGAGAGTGAAATAAGAAATTTGAATTGCTAGGTATTCAAATTAGGCGTTTTTTATTGCCGTAGCTATCCTACGGAAATGTTTATAACATCAATTCTACTTTTCGTTCCATCTTTCCTCGCTTTTTTAAAACGTTTGTTGCGTGCTTAATGGCCAGGGGTATTTTCACAATACCACAGATACTGGAATAAAAATTCGGAGCTGTCATCTTCTATCCATTTAACCTGGCCATCCACGCTCAATGTACCGATACAGAAAACAAAATCCATATAAATTACATCAACTTCTCAAGTAGGTACCCATGTTTCTTAAAGGATATTGAATGAAGCTTTATGTTTTTCAAATTTTAGAAGTGCGAAAGTGGAGGAAGCAGTGGAAGAGAGGGCTAATGAAAGATTAATGGGAGCGGGGGACCTGACAGCCCTTTCTTTTACACAGTTTTTCAATTCAAATTCTCAAAGGGTGTCGATTTGTTATTTTCATTTTATAATCCTTTCAGTAAACTTTTTCTACTGTTTTTGTTAAATATATTTTTTTCATTCTTTCTTTCTATCTCTTCCCTCATTGCTTGTAATGAAATGAAAAGCACATTTGTGAGATGAACAAACGGCAAATGGATTGTAAAAGAAGTCAAAATCAAGGGCGTTTGCCAGTGGGATTTCTAAAGTAGAGAAAAAAATCTAAAGCAAATAAAATTATCAATCAAACGGCATTTTCTTTACCTTAAAGCCTTTTTTTTCCTTTCTTTCTTGTTCAGTTCTCTGAATGCTCTAAATAAACATGAAAAGTTTCGAGTTTTTATGGCATGTTAGAGATATACGAAACACATAACGTTGATGAATAGCAGCAAGAAACTGACTGTTCCTCAACGAGTCAAATGTATGATTAAAGATAAGAAAATTTTTCCTCATAGCGGGAGACGAAAGCAAAAGAGCGGAAATTTCTTTTCAAAAAGCAGCAATTTCACTTGAGTCGCTAAAGAAGATTCTAAGTTCTCGTAAATAATATGACCGAAATATGATTGTATCAAGTCTTTCCATAAAACCATTTTAAATGAAGGAGATTGACTTAAAAAGCTATAATATTATTTGTCTTCGTTTTCGGTGTACTTTAGAGATGAAAGCGTGTGGGTGGAATGAAGTTTTAACACCCCTCTGATCGCATCATTTCATTCTATGTGAAGCATGGATTTTTTTTTGTTCTTCTTTCTTTTGAAATTATTAAATGTTATTAATTTTGCTTTTTCATTGTTATTTCTTTTATTTTGAATATGCTCTGCTTGGATATATCCCCAAGTGCCTTGATATTGTATAGCATTCGAAGAAAGTTGTTATTGTATGTACGTGATATCTTAATAGTCATGTGAAAAAAAAAGAAGAAAATTTGAAGAGAGAGTCGTTGAAAAGTTTTCTGATTAACACATTGGATCGTTAAAGGAAAAAATGGTTTTTCTTAAAAACTCAATATGATGAGTGTCAAGTCAAGCGGCAAGTTTCTAAAATTGAACACTTGCACAACAGTCAACAAAGAAATGTATTCGTATTCTTCTCGCAAATCATGTTTTGAAAGATTTTAAATTTTTTCTTTCAAATAAAGGAATAAACAGGTAAAAAACTTAAAAGTGAACACAAGCGAATTTTTTTTTGCGTGACTAAGTTCTTTCACAAATGCCTCAATTTACGGGGAAGGGTTCGGTACTTGAATAAAATATTTATGGCGAAGCTATTTAAACTTTTTAAAAGCTTTATCGGTGTTTCTTTAACTTCGATACGTTAAGTCTTGTGACTCAAGATATTTTCAATCTGAATCTGTCAAGAAAGAACATAGGTAAGCGTTTACAAAATATTTTTATCTTCTGAATAGTTTAAAGAGTCTTGCCGAAGTTGAAATAAATTTTCTTTGAACTTTCTGAATACAGTTGACGACGAAAACAGTTCAGTCATCAAATCATTGAAAGGATTCATGAAAATAACGTTAGCTTTTATCAAAACCTCCACATTTATTTTTGCTTTTCTTCTTGGTTGCGCTGCTATCAGATTCTGTATTGTTGATGCGCTGATGCGCTGATGTCGAGGACAGACAAATACATTAATCCGAAGCTATAACAAGATTTAAAGGAAAAGTTTTTTTTAATGAAAATTTGATGAGACTGCTACATAAAGCTCGAGTAGGATAAAATTCAAATTTAAATATTTCTAACAGTTGTTAATGGAAACTTAATTGATAAAATTTGCTAACACAGACCTTCCCCAGTTTCGAGTGTGTAAAATAATTTTCTGAAGCAACACAGACGCTAATTAAAAGAGAATTAAAAGCGCAGTTAAAAATTTGAAGCGATAGGTCAATCACTCTATATAATGTTCATTTTACACCAAAAGCTCAATGTCAATCACAAACCGTTTCATGATTGTAGTCACAAATAAATGCTTAACGATCGTCAATCAAATCAGTAACACAAGTTTCATTCTATACTCTCTACATGCACGCTTTTTGATTAAAATCAATTATCTTTAAATTGTCACTGACGACGTTATGAAATTGTATCTCGTTTTTCAATTAAAATTTCAGATTCTTTTATTGAAACATATGAAGATTAATGTAGATATTTGCTTGCTGACGAGCATACCTGTGACGATGTCAAGAACAAGTCATTATAAAAGATTGTAATCACTCAAATGTTTCATTTATGAAGCAATTTGACACCGTGTTTAATTAACAACGCTTTACTTCCGTGACTTTATTCGTGTCTAACAATCATTTGTGATTTTCCATAGCTACCCAAACATCGTAGTTGAGGCTTGTGGGATCGAAAAAGCAGAGATTGCTCAACAAGTTCATGTCTACATCAGTCTAACGGCATGTTTTTCATGTCTTACAACAATTCCCAAGCGTCAATATGTCAAAAACGATATCATTAATGTGAGTAGAAAGAAAGAATGTGAATGTGAAAAAATATGTGTTCGTTCGATTGAGGAGAATCACCGTTGTAAAGGAAAGAAAAATAATAGAGAACTGATGTCGTCACCAAAAACCAAAGCTAACACATGTTTTGCAGAAGGCAGTAGAGAGAAAATTAATAATAAAAAAAGGCAACACAAACTAAGTTTTGTATTGAAAAAATGCCGGTCAAAAGAGAGAAGCAAAAAAATGAAAAAAACCATAAGAATTTCTCTTGTCTCAACTCAAACCATTACACTAGCACAAATTTTAAAAATATAAACATTACAGTGGCGTTGTGAACATGACGTGTTTTCATTAATCAAAAGATTTTAATATCATGGAGTTTCGTGCTTTCGAAAACGAAGAAATTGATTGAACTTGAAAATAACTTTTTGTAGAATATTTAACTTAGCTTTGATTAATGTGTACATTGTACATCATTTACTTGAAAATTCAAATATTTTCTTCATCTTCTTCGTGTTGAACGAATTCGAAACTTATCGTTGCCGCATTGCTAAGCATGTATATGTTCAGAGAATTTCAAGTGAGAATCATGCTACAAAGTTTAATTTTCGCTCTTAAAAATTCGACTCATTAAGCAAAGTGTCGTTCGGAGATTAAGACATTATTTCGCTGAAACTCACTCTTCCTTTATTTTTCTTTTAGTTTTAAATCATCTAATTCTGTAACATTATTTTCTCATGCAACAAGTGTGCTTTGCATTGTATCAGTTCCATTGAAAAAGATATACTGTGATCAATAACTACAATATTCTCATTATTTGTGATAAAGTTTCTTACATTGCACAAAAAGTAAATGCTCAAGTAGGTTATAAAAAGAAATGCAATGATATAATAAATTTAATTCAATAAAAATACATACAAAGCAAATAAGAAGAATTGAGAAATATGAATAAAACAATTCTTATCTTATCGTGAGTAAATATTCACGTAAGATAACAATTGTTTTATTTATATTTCTCAATTATCTACTAGTGAAAAATAGACTCGTGGAAAGTCATTGACTTACGATTAAAACAATAAAAAGAAAACCGTAAAAGTAAGAAGTTTCCGAAGAAATCTTAAAGTGGAACCGAAAAAAAGTGAAAGATACGATCTAAATAAATAGTTGAAAATAATTTACGAAGAAAAAGAAAGAATGGATAGCTCAAGAAAGCCCGTCCTTAAAAACCCAAGAAAGGGAGCTAATCCAATATCACAGCTTCTTTTCCTGTGGATTATTCCAACGATGTTTCGAGTGAGTCACGCTGTTTCAGCTTCGTTGCTGCACAGTAATCTAATTAGCTTAATTATTTTTTCTTTTTCATTTTCGCTGTCGCCTCTTCATCAACATCTTAGGGATGTTTTCATGGCTTGAATCGCGAGGATTTATCAAAATGCTTAAAAAAAGATCGCTCGCAAGATTTAGGCGATAAAATTGAAATGTAAGTTGAAAAGACAAAGCAAAGAAAAAAAGTTATGCGGTTAAGTTTATGGCAGGAAAGAATTTGTAATTTTAATTTCTTTGAAATTAAAACTTTGAAAGAGTTTCTTAAAGGGTCGTTTACAATTTAGGTCAAGCGTGTGACGTCATAAGCTGATGAACGTTTCATTTCTCTTAATTTCCTTTCAATTCCCAAACACTTTAACGCATACATTTACGTGTTGTCCCATTTATGAAGCGGTCCCAATTCTTTCCGCAGCAATATTTAATTGACAAAAAAAAATATCATAAAACTGACCTTGACAACAAGTGAGGCTATGAATAATAATTTTCGTTTTCGGGAATATAACAAACTTCATTTGGATTCTTATCACAAGCCTTAAACTTGATCTTCTAATTTCGTGATGAGTTTTTTAAAGAACGTTTTATTTGGAGAAGGGAATGAAATTTTCAGCCCAAACCGCTCATTAAGAAGACAGCATACAAGTACCGTGAAAGATTAACGAAAAAGGTTGCTAAAGGAAGGCAACAAAATATTGGCTTGTTGTGAAACACAAACAACTTTTCAAATAAAGTGCTTATCGTTTCACGGGTTCTTGCAAAAATTAAAACAGGAAGACTGGGAAGAGAAGAAGGTCAGAAAAGGAAAAAAATTCTTATCGCCTGTCGCACGTATGAAGTAAATTTAATTTTGAAAATAATATTCATGCGAATCGCTGCGCAGCGTGTCAGATGAATTATAATAGAAGAACTTCCATGCTGTCATCAGTGTGATGGAAAATGCTTCGTCACTCTGAGGTGATGAGGGACAATCGAGAATTCCATGAGATGACAATTCAACGCAATAACGACTTGAAAAATGTAAGCTTCAAGGATAAATGAAATGGGCTCGAATGGAAAAGGAGTGAGAAATAAAGGAATAGGAAATAACAAAATTCCTAACTTAAACTGATGTTTTTCAAACAAATTTTTGTCGCATTTGTAGTTTAACGACTTGTCTATGCTGTTATGATGAGCTTATTTACTTTCTTTTGTTTTTTCCTTTGTCATCGTTAACAAATTTTTAACAAAATGCTTCTTTTTATAGCATCATCATTATCAAAAGCTTTGTCTTCTTCATCAACGTTGACGGAAGCATTAATTAATATCAACAAAATATTTTCATCTCATCATCAAAGGAACGTGTTTGTTTTTCTTTTCCCTTTTCATAAGTATTCCTCCCCCACCCTGAAAATCAATTAAAATTATTTTGTTGACGCGTTATAACAAGTTATTGAAATTTTATTAAAAGGCGACTAATGTTCTTTTATTTTGCTGAAAATTTGAGAAGTGATACTCATCTCCTTGTTGAAATTTGATGTTGATACTTTAAAGAAGACATCGTGTTGAATTTTCTTATCGATAAGTGTGGAAGAAGAATACGAACGCGAAGCAGAAAGGCAGTGAAAATAAAACCAACCAGAATCAAAGGTTTTTCTTTCTCTTCTTCACCCTTACAAAAAACACAGAATGATTTACATGATTCTCACTTTTTCCTTCCCTTTTCCTTTTTTTTCCTCGTCTCAAACTTAGCTCCTTTTGTGAGACAAGGCAACATGAAAAAATGTTATCAGCTGAAATGTCACACGGAAAATTATTTATCGATTTAGATATGGCGTAAAATGAAATATGCATTACAAGACCTGTAAAGGAGTGGAACTCTGAAGTGAAGGGATGGATAGACGAATGGCATGGTGCCACACGATGATTTGTGATAGAGAGTCAAGAACAGGTCTTATTTCACATGCTTCTCATACAAAGCTGATAACGACAATTGATTAGCTTTCTTATTGTTCAATTCATTTTCTCACGTGCTGCGATAAGATTGGGAACTTTTTCGTGTGATCAAACATGACTTGGCGAATATTTTTTCTTATTGTCATTTTGGGTTAATCATTTTCGAAGAGATTTTGAGCTGTTCGTCTTGGAAACACGAAAACATGGTATCATGGTTTTATTTGGGATAAAGGAATAACTGAATGTGTGAATGTGTTAATATTAAAAAATCGAAGTGGTTATAATTTCTGATTCTCTCATTGCATTGTATCAACAATGGAAGTGAAATTTTAACAGATTTTTTTTGTTTAATGATAAAGCATTTAGTAATAAATAACTCAAAATATAATCTGGTCTTAAAATCTGTTTCATTTTGTGAACATAATTACTGTGAGAGTCACAGGTGATTTCAATTTGTATGCGAAACAACTCGGTAAGAGTAATGAGTAGATGAACACTGCTTTAACTAATTTATGAAGATGTCAAGTCAAGAACTATTATTCAACGTTTAACTATATAAATGGCTTAAAATTTTAATCTAGGATAAATATATGTCGCTGATAATGAAAATTCTTTTTCCATCCCTTTTTTAATCTTCATTTTGAATCTTTTAAAAATGTTATATTTGGACTATCCAAGATATCATCAGCAGTCAGGAAATCCATGCTTGAAGAAACTTTAACAAATTCTTTTAAAAAGATATCACTTTGAAAACAATAAAAGCTCATAATAAAAAGGAATTATACAGAAATGATCTTTTATTTGCTATAATTCTCCGTAATGTTCCTGGACGGAATCCTACGAAGTTTCGTAAGAAAAATTTATGTTGTGTATATTGTGATTTAACCTAATTCCTTCTTTCATATCAACATTTCTCCAACACAAATTTTTCTTCTTTGTTATCTAGTAAACAGAAATATTTTAGATAATAATTAACATTCGTTGTGAACTGCTGTCATATCCGCATCGAAATATGTATAAACATAAAACGTTTCCATTCCATTTCATAATAAACACTAGAAACCTTTCATATTTTCCTACGATAAGGCAAAATGCGTAGAGGTCATCAGAATATTTCTACAAATAGATCATTCTACTTGGCCATATTTCTATTCGCATTCCGACATAATTCTGCGTTATCGCAATGAACTTTCATTAAGAAGAAGAAAAATAATATGAAGAAGGAAAGGAAAAAAAATTACACAAAACGAAATTTATTTGGGAATGTTTATCATTATCAATGTTGTGAATGGAGGTATAGTAACGATAAGAGCTGGGAACGAATGTGTTCATCTTCTTCGTGTTATTTTAGGAGAACAAAATGCGAAACTGGTTTACTAGAACATCTTTACCATGAGAAGAAAGTCAAAATGAAAACCTTGCTATCAGCAATCTGTCTTGTGTCTCGTGTATACAAATTTTTACGACACTTCGCCTCTCGTTTCATGTCGTGTCGTCTCTTATCGTCGACATTTTTATTTAAATATTTCTCAAACATACGACAGACGTATATCAAAGTGATTTTATTCCATTTTCTATCTTTTACCTCACTTTTTTCTTCTTTTACATTTACTTTCTTATTCCTTGCGTAAAACTTTCCATTTGGCTGGATAATGGTGAAAAGAGCAGAAAATGAAGGTGTTGATGTTTAGAATCAGAGAGCTATCGCGGGATTTTTTTATCAATGTTGATTTAAAATGCAGGAGAAAAATCGAATAAAATAAATTGTTGCCACGGTAGCTGCTGATAAAGTCTAAAGCTTCATACAAACTGTTTCGGGCACAGTTCCAAAAAAACATAAACTGCAAAACTTTATCGAATTGAAATTTAAACGATCAAGATATTTACTCCAATTTATACATTTTCTTATTATTATTCTACCTTCAGGAATTGGGAACAGGAACTGACAAAAGCTCGTAAAAGAAACCAGAAACCACGACTACGAAATGCAATACTACGAACATTCTGGAAAAGTTGCATTGTGGATGGGTTTCTCGTTTTGATATTCACGCTTTTAAAATCTATCATGCCAGTATTTTTGGCACAACTGTTAGTTCAATTCCAATTGCCAGCGAAAATTGACAATACCACAATAGCAGACAATTTTGACGCAAGCAAATTACCATCAATAACATCTGATGAGATTACCACAAAGCAAACCATTATGACGATATCTAATGATGATGACGCCAATATTTTCGAGGGAATTTTCCGATACATGATGTTCGTTTGGTAAGTAAAGGGGTGTGGGTAGGCGGAAAAATTACTGAAATATGAAATGTGATCGCTCACTGTCTAGCTTTAAGCTTTTTTAAAGAAAAAAATAAAAGAAATATCAACAACCCGACTCAACTCAACTTGAGTCGGCTATTTATTGAGATCTATACTAACTAGCTACACATGAAAATCCCTTGAATGATAAATTATGTAGTAATTTTTGATACTTTGATGACATCTACTCAAAGGAACGATTCCTTCTGGCTTTCAACGATTGTCATCCTAATTACATTACTCTCATGCATCGTCAACCATCATATGGATCTAAGACAAAGAATGGTCGGAGCACAAATGCGTATCGCTTGCTCAGCAGCCATTTACCGTAAGACACTACGAATGTCAAAACGAGCGACATCACAAACTTCTGCCGGCAATGTTGTGAATCTCTTGTCAAATGATGTCGGTCGTTTGGATTACGGATTCATTTTCATTCATTTCATTTGGATATTGCCGATTCAAGGTAATTTCATGTCTTAGATAAATTTATGTGCTTTGTAATTTTATTTTACTTTACTTTCTTTGCTTTTTTCTTATTCATTCTCCATTCATTCAATTTATTTTCAATTCCCTTAACACACATTTTTAGCTTGCCTAATTTGCTATTTAATATGGCGCGAAGTAAAATATGCTGCTGTCGTTGGTGTTGTCGGACTCCTGCTGAAAACAGTTCCAATACAAACTGGATTATCGAAAGTCTCATCTATTTTGAGGTATAATTGAAACTGAAATTGATCGATTATTTACGTTTTCGCAAATCCCAACTTCCTCTCCCTTACCATTTGTGTTGTTCATTGCTACTTCTTTTGTTCATCTCTCTTTCACTACATTATGCTTGCTTGTAAGTATCGGGAAATGTTGATAACAGCAGCAAGTCTCCGTCAACAGGAAGAGTAATGGAAAATGCTTCTTCTTTTTTCTCTTCTGCTGCCTTTGTATGTTCAGCGAAAGTGGATTTGACATTGAAATATTAAGTAATTGAGTTCCAAAAAAGGAATAAAAGTTTCGAAAGATTTAACAAATACATGACTTAAATTAATGTTTCAATTTTAAATTTAATTACATAACGTGTTGAATAGAATTAATTGATAAATACTTTTATTTATTTTTTTATTGCAATGTTGCTGAACTTTTTTAAATATTTTTAATTGGAGTTTAAATTGTTATTTCACTCACAGAGTTGAGAACGAAAAACTTGAGAGTTTTTCAATAGTTCCCTTAAAAACTTGAAAAATTCTTATTTGTATTTACAGAATGCGAGTTGCAAAGCGAACTGATGACCGCGTTTCAATAATGAATGAGTTAATACAAGGAATTCAAGTCATAAAAATGTACGCCTGGGAAACGCCATTTCGTAATGTTGTAAAGTTAGCGCGTAAAAAAGAAATTGATCAGATTCAGTGGGCGTCTTACATCCGCGGAATTTATCTATCAACGATGGTTTTTACTGAACGTTCAACACTTTTCATTGCCATCATAGCGTGCATTTTTGAAGAACGTCCTATAACAGCCGACTTAGTATTTTCCATGGCAACATTCTTCAACGTTCTTCAATTAACTGCTGCAATTTTTTATCCGCTGGCTGTGTCGTTGGGTGCTGAAGCGTTGGTATGTTTTTGAACCTTTCACTTTATTTTTCTTCTTGCCTTTGGAAAGAAAAAAAAACTTTTTTTTCATCTTCCAGAGAAGAGAAAAAGGAAAAAAATCTTTAAAACGTAAATATCATATTTTGTGCTTTTGTCAGGTCTCATTTAAACGAATACAAGACTTCTTGATGCTTGAGGAACAAGATCCTACAACACCTGGTCTACATCAGAATGAGATAGAAATCATGGAGCCTGAATCGAATGTAATTGAAGTAATAAATGTAAACGCATCGTGGACGAGCGATTATAAAAGCAAAACTTTATCAGACTTGAACATGAAAATCAAAAGTGGAAAACTTTGTGCCATTGTGGGATCGGTGGGAAGTGGAAAGAGTTCCATTCTTCAACTTTTGCTCGGTGAATTGCCAATTTATTCCGGTGATGTTTTGATTAATGGTGACATATCGTATGGTTCACAAGAGTCATGGCTGTTTTCTGGCACAGTTCGAAATAATATTCTCTTCGGTTTGCCATACGATAAGGCTCGATATCAAGAGACTATAAAGCATTGCGCATTGTTGACAGACTTACAGCAATTGCCCCATGGTGATAAAACGTTCGTCGGAGAACGCGGCAGCGCATTGTCAGGTGGGCAAAGAGCTCGTGTGAGTCTCGCACGTGCTGTTTACAAAAATGCTTCGATTTACCTTCTCGACGATCCACTCAGTGCAGTAGATTCTCATGTTGGAAAACATTTATTTGACGAATGTATTGGACCCAACGGGTATCTAGCAAAGCAACGGGCGACTCGAATTTTGGTGACACATCAAGTTCACCTTCTTCAAGAGGCTGATTGGATTGTCGTGATGAATCAAGGAGGTGTCTTGAGACAAGGTACTTACAATGATGTGATGGACATTGACTTGACACAATTTATATCGCCTGTTCAAAGTGAAGACGATGATTTGGATGGTGATGAATTTAAAGAAGAAATTGAAGAAGACGAAGAAGACATCCCTTATATTGATGACGCCCCAGGAAGCAGCAAAGGATACTTGAAATTGAAAACCATTGAACCGAAAAAATCGGTGTCTCGCACTTCGATTGCTAGCAGCGTGGGTGATATTAGCGTGATAAGTAATGAGAATGAAGCAAGACAAGAAGAGAAGACCGAAACAAAAATTTCCTTTTACAAAGTTTTCTGGTTGTATTTTAGAGCTGGCGCGAACGTGTCGATTCTTTTCTCAATTTTGCTGTTTTTGATTTTCTCACAAGTCGTCACGTCTGGTTCTGACTACTTTATTACATTTTGGACGAATCAAGAATTCATTCGACTCATGGGCCATAAAACTTTCTTCACGACAACTGAAGGATTGTACATTTATGGATTCTTAATTCTCGCTGTCGTTGCTGTGACATTGTCACGGGGATTTATTTTCTTCGCTGTTTGCATGAGATCATCGAAAAAGCTTCACGATAAAAGCTTCTTGAGCCTTCTGCATAGTCCCATGAGGTTTTTTGACACCAACCCATCTGGAAGGATTTTAAACAGGTTCTCTAAAGATATGGGTGCGGTTGACGAACTTTTACCCAAGGCCATCATTGAGGCGACTCAGGTAAAGAAATTTTTCTCACTTTTATCGATGCTTGCAGCTTTTTTCTTTCGCTTTCTTTACTATTTTATTTACTAATTTTTTCTTGCAATCTTTTTTCGCAGAATTTATTGGTAATGTCAGGAATATTAATCCTTATTGCCATTACTACATCGGGTCCGTGGTTTCTCATTTCTTTGGGTGGTGCCGTCCTTCTTTATGTATTAATCCTCAAACTCTACTTACAAACAGCTCAGGATTTGAAGAGATTGGAAGGAATTAGTAAGTTTGTTTGAAATGAAACGAACTTTTTTTTTCTTTTATCACACAGTTGGAGGACGCTACAAAAATCTCATCAAAAGATTATTTTTGGTTTAGGAAGTTAGAGAGAAATCACAATGATGAAGTTATCTCAATCTTAGACTAAGATAATATTATATAATTGAATGATCACATGATTGACCATCAACATTTAATCTCTTAATTTATTAATTGACATTCAAAATTCGGATCTGATAATATTTATGTTATTTTTTCTTGCTTTATTTCATCATATTGACAGCCAAAAGTCCAGTATTTAGTCAAATGGCAGCAACATTAAAAGGCATTTCAACCATACGGGCATGTAAGGCGAGCAAACGATTGACAATCGAATTCGATAACCTTCAGAATGTTCATTCGAGTGTTTGGCAAATATTGATGAGTGTTAACGCAGGTTGGTGTATATATACATGTGATTGTAAAGCTTTCTATAAATGATGAACATGGGAATTGAACAACCAAAACAAAAGTGAAACTTTTGCACTTTTTCTTATCTTTCATATGTTCACATTTGATTACAGTTTGGAGACTTAACGAGTCGCTTATTTTCTTCTTTTTCTTCTTTCTTTATTTAACTTTTTTTTAACAACAGCACTTGGGCTTTGGTTAGATATCGTCTCTTGTGGCTTCGTTGCTTGTGTCTGCTTTAGTTTCATTATATTGAGTGGAGAAAGTACAACGAGCTCTTCAAGCGTTGGTTTGGCAATATCGCAAGCACTTATACTCACTGGAATGGTTCAATATGGTATACGACAAGCGATGGAGTCGTTTCAACTGTTCACCAACACAGAACGTGTCTTGCAATATACAAGATTGGAACAAGAGCCACTAATTTCACGAAAACCGACAAGAGATTGGCCATTCAAAGGTACAGTTGAAGTTGAAAGTGTTTTAACGACGCTTCTATTCTTCTTTTTTTCATACAATTTCTCTCTCTTTTCCTTGCTTCATTAAGGTTTGATTGAATTCAAGAACATGTCGCTCTATTATGACGTCAACATAGCACCTGCTTTGAAAAACTTAAACATGACCATCGAACCTGGAATGAAAATTGGCATCGTTGGGAGGTTTGTATTTGATTATAATTAATTAAGCAGAGATTGATAAATGTTTACATTCTTTAGAATCATTTTAATTTAATTTGTATTAAGCTGGCAATGTGCTTCCTGAGCTTTATTTAAGCACTGTTATGGAGTCATTATTTTGATCTGACAATGTTTCTTCCGTATTTTGACGTGCCCTAGATAGCTTGAGATAATAAATCTTAAAGTAGCGGAATGCAATAAATTTCATAAACTTTCAACATTTCTGATGATCTTTTTTTTCAAAGTTCTTCAACATCTTGCCAACTCTTATCTCATTTATTTTCCATTTCAATGCATACAGAATTTTAAATTCAATTGCATGTTTGATAGCAATTTAATTCATTTTATTGTAATATTTCGATTTTTTTTGCCTCTTCGTAATATTTCTTTCAATTTTTTTTTATTCGTTTTTGCAGAACAGGAGCTGGGAAAAGCTCAATCATAAATGCATTGTTTCGTTTGTCATACATTGACGGAAGAATTTTGATTGACGGCATAGACACGAGTGAAATAAATTTAGAAAGTTTACGGTCAAAAATATCAATAATTCCACAAGACCCGGTGCTGTTCAGTGCGACGATTCGTTATAATTTAGATCCGTTTAATGTCTTTCAAGACGATCAGATTTGGAAGGCATTGGAGGTGGTTGAGATGAAAACCGCAATAAATGGCCTTCAATTTATGGTAACTGAGGGAGGGAGCAATTTCTCTGTGGGTGAACGGCAACTCCTGTGCTTAGCTCGAAGTCTCGTAAGGAACAATAAAATTTTGCTGCTAGATGAAGCGACAGCAAACATCGATCAAACTACAGACGCTCTCATACAGAAAACCATTCGAGAAAAGTTCTCTGACTGCACGGTTTTAACGATAGCTCATCGTTTACATACCATCATGGACTCTGATATGGTTCTTGTGATGGAAAACGGATACGCAAAAGAATATGATGTCCCATATAAGCTGCTTCAGCAGCCTTTTGGAATTTTTCGAGGACTGGTTAACAATTTGGGTCAAGCGGAAAGGCACAACCTGACAGAAATTGCCAAACTAAAATATGATGAAATTTTTAGTCGAGAAGCTCAACCGAAAAATATTTGGAAGTTTAAGGATATTTAAAAACTCTTTTGGAGATAAAAGGAAAAAGAAGGAACTAGAATATGTATTTAATTAAATCAGGTTTCGATTTATTAACCCAAGCTTATATAAGTTAATAATAAGGAATATAAATACTCATTTCTACCTACTATCAACTATGGTTGATGAGAAAAGTAATTTAAAAGTAAATTTAGGTATTTTGATAAGTTAAGAAGAACGAATAAATGAATGAATGGATGGATAAAAGGATAAAGATTCTTCATTTAAAATTAAAACTTCTTCGTCTTCGTCTTTATATCCCCACATCATTCTTTTGTTTCTGAGACGCTTTGCTTGTGAAGGGTTTTCAATTTTCATAAAGAAAACTTTTCTCTTCCATTTTTATTTTCCTTTTTCTTTTTCTCTTGTTTCGGTCAGAAACCAAAACAATTTCGTGTTTTTCTTTACTCCCTTCAAAAAAGTTTCATAATCAGACATCAGCCACGTATGTGGTGAGGTGGTTTTGGAAGAAGGGATTGAGATATGTATCTTGATTCAAGGTTAATCATTGTCACAAATAGATAAATTTATAACTTAAATGGGATGAGAAAAATTTAAGTGAAATTACCTAATGACATGAAACTATTTATAGATAATTCTAGGCTGCTAATTACCATCGACTTTTAACTTTTCTTTCTAATGAGATTCCATTGACACGTAGATAATTGAAAGTTTAATCCCAAAATGATATTAAAATTAAATCTTCTACAAATCCCTTGAATATTTTTTGATATCTTTATGTTGTTCAATTATAAAGTTTTTAAGATTTTTGGAAATATAGTTAAGATGTTTTTAATAGGAAGAATGTAAAGTTATGCGATAAAATGAAAAGTTTAAGACATGAAAAATGTTATTTCTTAATTAACTCAAGTACTTACGTTCTCATGAGATCTACTGCCAAAAATAAGAAGTAAATAAAAAAAATGTCATCAAATGTCGAGTGCACTGAACGATGAAAATGAATAAAAGTTTTCAACTAAGTTTGTTTGCTTGAGGGAAATGAAATGGAAATGTAATCGAGAATTCTATAAATTCTTGTACTGTTACCATGATCCATGTTGAATAATTAGCATCTTTAAAAGATTTCCTTTGAGATTTCGTCTCTCTTTAAGAAAGAAAGATATGCGAGTGTCACCCATTGGAGAAGACAAGTAAAGCAGTAAAAAGACGTTCATTAATTACGAGTTTCTTTTGTTTTGACTACTGTCGACTGTCTCCGACGGCGTCTTCTCGATTTTAATGTCAACTTTTGTATTTAAAGCTTTTTCATCATACAAGTAAAGTCTGCGTTGTGATTCGTAGCAACACCGGATGTTACACAAAAAACGACATATCCATTCAAAATTATCTTTTCATTTTTCACTTAATTAGACATGAACTGAAGATGTGCTTTTATTTTTCTTTTCTTTTTTTAATGCTGTGCCATATGAGATGATTATAATGTAAAAAAATAAACCGTGAGACATTCTTGTTCATAGGGCGACGTTGTCATCAACAACGTCGCTTCTGCTTCATTCTGCTATCATTTGTAACGAGAGATATAAAATATCAATTTTATTCTCTTGCATCCCTCTACTCATCCAAGAAAAGTCGAAAAAGAATAATCAAGAGGAATGAAGAATATGAAGCAGCGGAAAACGTTGAAACTCAAGCACATAAATTAGATTAATTCCCAAAGCTAAATCACATAATCATATATGAATTTTCATATCCATATTCTTCCTATCTTTGTAATAATTTTCCGTGTGTCGTGTTGTGAGTGGGAGAAAAATATATTTTTAAGAAAAGATGTTGTTCGAGAGATTTATAAATACTTTTTGCTTAATCAAACAAAGAAAAGCTCCCCAAATATTATTCCAAAATGTCGATTAAAGCAAAACATCCCTTGACTTGACGACTGAGAGTTGATTTTCTTCACATTAATTTACAAAAAGTTTAACTGAAAATTCGCTGAAATATTTTTGAATTAATTGAAGTCGAAAATGTAAAATGTTAAATTTATTTTTATTACGGTAACCTACGTCAACCGTGTACAAAAGCCGCATAACATTTGCTCATTTTCATAGATTTAATGTTTTTCATGTCAGCATGTGAAAGTGTAGGTTGCAAAGCAATAAATCAAATTACTATCGCGTTATATACCGTAGTCTCTGCTCAATTTATTTAATATGTTGTTGGATGAAATTTACAAATTTTTTGATGCAGATGAATAAATAATTATTTGATAACACATCAAATACAATCACGAGTTTTGATACGATTGAGATCACCACTCAGATTTTAGATAAATCTTTTGAAACAAAAATAATTAAATAAACATCTTGTTTTCATACTGTCGAAGGATCCATCCCCAACATCATACAAATGGAGTATCGTTTTGAATTACAAATCACTTTTCCAGCGCTAGACTGAGATTCTTCCTCATCTGAAACAGGTTTCTCCTTCAAAATTCTTTTTTCCTGCCTAAGTAAACATAAATCATTCTGAGACAATTTTAAGAAAAATAAATAAGTTGAATGATACATATTTCATGCTATTGAATTCAATGGCCAATAATTTATTTACATAAAAATCTGCTCATTAAACATTTCTGTGAACATTCTTTCTTTTAAAAGTATTTTTGTCATTTCGAGCCATATTGCATTTCAATCATTTTACGGGCTTCTCAGCTAGAAAATGTTAAAAAAAATTAATACGCACTGGCTGTGTAGATGCTTAAAAGACTTCTTACTGATTCGACAGTATAAATGTATTTATTCATAAGATAAAAAAGAAATCATCAAAAGGAAAAAAGAGACGTTATGAAAACACAAATTAAATTTTCTGACATTTCAGGGAAAGCTTTTAACACGAGAAAAGAGGGAAAGAAAGAAAATTTAATTGCCATTTCGTTTTATTTACCTTCTGATGGTGTTACTTTACTTGATATCTTCCTTTTCTGATCTACTTGACAGATTATGGATCATTTGTCTTGCAAGTTTTTGTCTTGCACATGCATAATTTATGCATAAATTTTGCATATTTTTCAAGAATATTACATAAATTATGCATAAATTGTGCATAAATTATGCATAGATTACGTAAGTTTCTGTCTTGCACATGCATAATTTATGCATAATTTATGTAGTATTTTTGCATAATTTACGTAATATTCTTGAAAAATATGCATAATTTCTGCATTAATTGTGCATGTGCAAGACAAAAACTTATATAATCCATGCGAATTTTATGCATACTTTATGCATAATTTATGTAATATTCTTGAAAAATATGCAAAAATTATGCATAAAGTATGCATAAAATTCGCATGGATTACGTAAGTTTTTGTCTTGCACATGCGAATTTTATGCATAATTTATGCATAATTTAAGCATAATTTCTAAGAATATTACATAAATTATGCATAAAGTATGCATAAAATTCGCATGGATTACGTAAGTTTTTGTCTTGCACATGCAAAATTTATGCATAATTTATGTAGTATTTTTGCATATTTTCCGCTTGTACTGAAAAAGCTCAACAACGAATTTTTAAAAATGCGTCTGAAGTTCAAATGAGACTCTTTTTTCATTATTTTTAATCATTTGTGGCTTCATTCTATTGAAAAATGGTGGAAAATATCAATACTTCGAAAAGTTTTTTATATTTTTTCTTGTGTTCTCATACAAATCTCATATTTTCAAGTTTACACTCAGCTCTAAATTATTCCCAGTTTCTTATTCACTCTACTCATTTATTCTAAAGTAAAAGTTGATGTTTTGAAGAAAAATTCATATGATGAAAATAAGGTAAAAANAGATAAAAAAGAAATCATCAAAAGGAAAAAAGAGACGTTATGAAAACACAAATTAAATTTTCTGACATTTCAGGGAAAGCTTTTAACACGAGAAAAGAGGGAAAGAAAGAAAATTTAATTGCCATTTCGTTTTATTTACCTTCTGATGGTGTTACTTTACTTGATATCTTCCTTTTCTGATCTACTTGACACGCGAACGTCGCGGATAACAAAAAATAAAAATAAAAGTAGAAGAAGAAGAAATGTTGAGTTTGGTTTATGCTTGTCCGAGATTTGTTTTTGCTTCTTTTTACGACAAGATTTATTTTTCCTTTCTCTTGTCATTCGTTGCACTTAAGAATCCTTTTTGCTTCTTTATTTAGTATAAGCAGAGCTAAGCTAACCTGCGAAGACTTGAGTTTTGTTCAAAAGAACACGAACATTTATATTTATTAGCCTTTCTCTTGAATTTATCATGAAATTTATTTTTCTCATATTTTTATTTTTCTTTTCGTGCCATGAAAGGTCTGTAATTTGATGAAATCTCATAAAATGAAAAGAAAAGAGAAGAGTGCGAATTTTTCTAATAATAACCCTTAAGCAGAACCAGAAGCACGATAAATTTTTCAAAAGGTACAATCAGAATTAATAAAATAAACAAAAAAAGAAGAGAATAAAGTTCTACTGACGAGCAGGGTCAGAAGAATTTTCTAAATTGAAAGCTAAGCTTGCGGAAACGAAGCCCTAAAGATATTTTCAAATTTCCTTCGCATTTAACGGCGCTGGTTTTCACAGCCCAAGTCTAGCATAATACGACTAATTTTCGCAGCAAAATCTCAACGAATTTGACTACGAAAGCAGTTGATAGAAACTTTTTCTTTTTCTTGTGTTACTTGTAATAGGGACAGAGTTGGGGATGGGATGGAAAAAAAAGGAAAGAAAAATCAAGTGGAAATTCTGGCCGAAAATTTATTGTTTCAGGAAATGAACGAAGAAAAGTTTTTCATTTGCTGTTATATTACGGGATGAGTAGGCGGACATCATCAGTGACAACCATGCTGCGAGGATGATTAGTTTTCCTGCGAACCGGCGATAAAATTTGTAATTTGCGGAGAACTCCCCCGGAACCATAGCAAAATTCACAATGACAAATTCGCTTCACAAACTTATTCTTTCTCCTTCTTCTTTTCTTTTGTCTCGTTTAATATCTTTCCGCTTCGTCTTTTTTCTTTCGTTTGCTTCTTCTCCTTCCTCATCTTTTTTCAGTACATCATCAAAAAAAAGAAAGTTTTCTGCCTCTAACTTTTGAGCTCTTTTCTGGTCAAGTCAAATGTAATTTCTTTAGGGCGCAAGTGGAAAGCATCGGTAGCAGTTCTGTGTTTACTGTGAAATAAATCATAAAAAAAAATACAAGAAAAAAAGAGATGGGCGGGAAGTTGAAGGAAAATGAAAAGAATCTCACAATGCTGTTATTAACTGTTCTCCTTGCCAACGTCATAAAAATGAACTTGATATTCGTTAGCTTTATACTCACATCGTCATGAGCAACTTTGCATGTCCCATACATCTACTAAGAAAATGAAAGAAAGGAAAAGTTTCTTGTTGAAGATTGAGACTTCATGATGTTTTTTTTTTGTGCCGTTCTTTCCCTCCCTTTATGAAACCTCCGTAAGGCCCAATGATGATGGAAACATGAAATATCTTTAGCTGAAGTTGAACTCTGGGTTTTTACTTGTTGTTACAGTCAATATTTATGTTGTCTCATATTTCGGAAAAATTTCCCCTAAGAGTATGTTAACATTGATTTGATGTGGTCGTTATTCATTACATGGTCTAACGATTACGATATGCTCTCTTTGTATATAAAATAATTTCACAAAAATAAATAACATTAATTTTTTAATTAATGAGCTTAGCTACTACACAAACATTTAGATGTAAAAAATGTTATCTCTTTTTAATGATCCACGTTAATTAGAGTTGAAAAATCAATACCAGAGCTTATTTAATTCAATAATCTATCTGACATATAAAACATCCTGCAAAAACAAAATAATTGAAGGTTTTTTGAATTTCAAACGTATAATGAACATTGAAGAGAGTGTGGATAAAGTTTCCGTGCAAGCTCATTTGAATTGAAAACAGATGTTCGAATGACACCATTTTCGTTTTTGATTTCACAATAGAAAATATGGTGGAATAAATTGTAGCAAAGTTTTCAAACTTAAATAGATATAGTTTAGTTTGTGATCATTCACATTTTACCAAATCATATCGCACAGCTCTCCGTCGTTTTAATAATACATTTCAATTCAAAAACACTCCGGAAAAGAACTCAGCGTTTATGCAAAACTTTTCCTTTGGGTTTTTTGGATGGTAAGAAATGGAAACATTCTTAGTTTCTACAGCATAATCGGCATTGAGAGATGGAGACAGAAGGAAAAGTAAAATGTGAATAAAAAATGTATCAAAAGCTTTTTGAAGAAATATACAAAGTACAAAGTTAGCAAAAGAGCTTTTCCCGCTTTCGTTGAATGGAAATCCGAGCTTACCGTGTTTTCGTCGTGGGATATTCTCATTCTGAATAAATATTAGAATTTGCTTAGAATTTAAGAAACAGAATTATCTAGTACATCAAATGCCATTTATGTTTCGATGAAACTTTTGCTTCGCTATAAAAAACAAGACATCTCATTGAAAATAAAAAAAAGTAAATAAAAAGAAGCTTTTATATGCGATAGGGAAGATGGAAACGCAAATAATTCCGAAACATAAAAGGAAAAGAAAAGATACAGAAAGAACTAAAGGTATGCAGATGCTTTTCAAAACTTGAATCGTTGAAAGCATATTTACAAACGATCACTTCTCATTGTATTCAAAACTCATCTTTTTGTTATTTCAAAAGACAATGTTGTCGTGTCTGAGGCGGGGAGAATTTTCAACCGTTATTAGAGATCATTGAGATGTTTGAAAGCAGAAAAAGTACACGTTAAAAAGAAAATCATCTAAGATTAAACTTCTAATAAGTTAGCTTAAGTTTCATCATCTCGCTTTGTGAAAACGGAAACGTTCCCTTTTACAACTAAGTCTATCTGACATGGCTCGTGTCATAATTTTAAGAGATTTTCTTTTGTATAAGAGTAATATAGATTAGTGTGACAGTTTTCTTACCAGCAATTTCTATTCTTCTCGCCTCTCAACTGTAACATCGCCTTTTAGAGACAACAGACAATGAATGAATGAATATAAGGAAGGATAAGCGTTAAATAATTTTCATATAATAAAAATGAACTTCCATTATTCAAATAGCTTCAAGCGAGTGCTAGTATAGAAGTTTCACTTTTTGAAGTACTTTACTTACTCAACAAAACATTACGAGAGATGAAAAGAAGAAACAATGAAAATAGCAAACGTCGTGTTTTTTTTCACATTTTAAGATTCTTTGAATTAAATCCTCTCATTGCATAACTTGATGCTGTGTTTCAGATATGGAAATGTAAGAGTTCTATCTACTTTTGGGGTAGTGGGTGGTACAGAAATATTCTTCTGTAGCAAAAAAAAAGGTCAAAAGCTACAACAATATACCCTAAACAGGTCAGAATAAAGTTGGGAAAATGGTAAAGTAAATCATGATTTTATGAACATATGTATGAACTATATTTATTCCACTTTCTTAGTATTATAAACTTGACTTCATACGTATATATTAAGCTTTTCCTCTTGCTAAATGCTCAATTTCTAATAAGCAGAAAGAATTTTGTTAGTTTAGGTTCAGTGAGGTTTAGTCTTATTTAAACCCATTCCATGGTTTCTCAGGGAAAAATTTCATTACAAGAATAATATTAAAAATTTCTGCCCGCAGCTATGCTGCTTAAGTTCAATGTTCAACGTTCCGATAAATTCTATGCTGTGGTTGATGTTTGGAAGTTTTTATGCCAACTTGAACTTCATCATGAATACTGAAAAGTGTTGATGATGTTAATTTTTAATAATTGAAAAATGCTAATTAAATATTTTGTTGCTGTGCTACTACGACTATTGAGATTACAACTTTATGAATAAATAAAGAAAAGAAATTATTTTCATAATTTAAAGAATAATAAAAATAGCAATAATGGATGAAAGAACATCAATCAATATTCCATGCTGTTTCCTTTAATAAACGTTTTTCAAAAACTTACTTTCATGTCGAACAAGAACCTTTTAATGGCTTACGCAGCATACAAACGGCGCCACTCAACGTAATCCGGATATGGACTTGAGAAGACTTTGAAACATTTCAACATGATGAAGGCAAACAATGGAAGAGTTTGTGGGAAATTTGTGCTTATCTTTTCAACATCCACAAAAAGATTAAAGTCAAGGCATCGTGCTTGAAAAGGGGCATTTGAATTTATTTTACATAATGAAGGTGAAAAATTTATGATTATTTTACTTCATCTCCCGACACACAAAAAAACCATCAACTGATGATTCTCCTTAGCAGCATTGGGCTTGAAGATAGAAGCTTTGATTGTTGGCATGAAATATGAAAAATTTACGGCCCACCTTCACATTATCTCACTCACTTAAATACGACGAGTTTGCTCTGAAGCTCTCTTCCACTACGGATAAAAAGCAACATAATAAATTTCCATGACGATAAAGTATCGACCTTTACGGAAAACCATTTTCCACTTTCACTGAAATGGAATTTATTTTTGTTCGTAACTCAACGTCTGATATTAAAATCTTCTTTATATTTATTATTTTTTCTTTCTTTCTTTTTTCATCGTCTTTAGAAAAGGTTAAATAAAAACAAGTAACCTAATGAAATTATTCGAATCTTTAAATGCGCGGCTTTTAATTACAAAATATGAGCTTATATTGGCTTTTTTACAACCCCCAGAGGGAAATCCTAAAAATCTTTTCTGTTTTCTTTCTCGTCTCAACATTTATTCTTGTAAATTGTCCATGGGTTTATGTCAGATTTTTAACGAAGGTGATAAAATGAAGGTAGATCCCGCACGAGCGGCACATTTCAAAAAAAAGTTTGAAGATTTTATGCCTCTTGTTGTATCTCAAAAGTGTTCAGCTCGAAAATCATCAAGTCAAGCGTTCATTGAGAGCTTAGCGAAAACTTATCTCGTAATGACGTCTTTTTATGTCGCAAAAGTTCAAAAGCATTTCCAACCCTCGCATATAGGGGGAGCAAAAATTTATTATAATATATTCCCCATCAAATACTTTTTGGAGAGCTTTCCTTCAAAATAAAACTCGCAAGACATTTTCAACATTGAATTGAATTGACAAAAAAATGTGTACATAGAGATACTTTCATTGTCAGATAGTATTCTTTGTGCTTCGTTTTGAATTATGAAAAATTCTTCACGACGAAATTGATAAAGAATTTGAAATTTTACTTTTGATGTTTATTTTCAAAGCTTTCATAGAACAATTTCAATGAAATTTCAAGAAAAGTTTCTTCATTGACGATTGCTCTCTTCACCATCACAACTTACCTTCTCCTTCAGCCTCATCGTCCTAGAGTCATCATAAAGGAAATTTAATTTATTACCAAAGATAAAAAAAATTTACTCATAAATTTGTGAACTTTTAAAGTTTCCCGACATCTCTCGCTCTTTTCTTTCTTCTTCACGGTGGTTTGAATGCTGAAATGGAATTGAAACCTCACCTTCTTCACTTTTGAAGAAGATAGCAAGAAAAGAAAAAAATTCATTTAAGTTGACTACCAAACTGCAGATATAAATAAAATATTCTCTCACAATCGAAATGCGAAATGAATTGGTAAATCAATGGTAAGAAGAGTTTAGTAGTTGCCTTTAGCGACTGTTGGCGTGTTTGATCGGATGCCAGTTAAGTTTTATTCATAAAGTTCACTCGTAGATATAAATAATAATTTGAAGTTGTTCTGTTGATGTTGTCTCCTTTGTGTCTCAGGTTGGTGGCTGCTCTTTTCACCATCCTTCTTATTTCCCCACGTTCCTTGCGTTAAACTCTGATATAAATGAACATTTCGTAGTATTAAATTACATTACATATTCCCTCTCTCATGCACATAGCATCATCAATTCGATTCACATTTCTTTGGAGGTTCTTTTCTCTTCTCAACTTCTTTTCTATCTATCGTTCACATAGTCTTATCATATATTTTTCAGATACACTCTCTAGTCATAGTAAATGTGTTTTCTCTTCCTTTTCTCTTCCTCTTTTCTCATTGTTCGACGATAGCAATTCTTTTTCTCGTTTTATCTAATTTATTCCAAACCTTATCATCAATTCACTTTTATCAATAGTCGTCGAATATTATGGGAAACAAGACAACTTTAAGATAGCCTAGATAGGCATTGAGTGATTTTTGATGATGATTGAAGTTGCTAAATAGATACTATCAACAGTAGAAGTAACATTTAATGTGAATGGAAACAATTGAACGTCTTTCAATTATTTTCAGATTAAAGTCTTAATTGAAAATTGCATTTTCATTTTCATTTTCGAAAGCTTGTTTAAATAAGATTGTAAAGTTTAATTTCAACCAACAAACGAGAACTTTTGATTATGATAGTTGTGGATTGAAGATTTTCAAAGCTTCTCGTTTTCGTTTGAGTAGTTTGTTGATAGCCATTCGAATGTATCCTAACAAGAGAAAATGTGACAAGAGAACTAAATTATATTGAAACCTTATATATAAGAGATAAGAAAAGAATAAAGGGACTGAGACTGAATACGAGGTGAAACTGACATACAAATGCTTATCTACTATGACATTTTTCTGCAATTCCATAAAAGCTTAAGATTCATTGAAGTGAGATTCAATTAACAAGATTTCTTCTTTTCATCCTTTGCTTTAGAAAAGAAAATTTTAGATACATTTCTTTTTACTTTTATCGATATGGTTATGTGAAAACAATTAAGTGAACCAATTCACTCACAAACATTTAAAGTCAACTGTTTGTGAATTTGTTGAAATGCTAAGCAATTTATCTGTCTCTCCTTCGTCTTATTCATTTTCTTTCTGTTTTGTCTTCTCAGCGACTTAAGAATTCTGATCCATTGCGGCAAATGTATTTATTGCCTTCCATCACAACGAGTGCGCTTAACTGAAAATGAAGCCCAACATAAATTTCAAATAAAAAAGTCCTTAATTTAATGAATTTGAATTAAGTATATTAGATGAGGGTGCTGAACAAATATCGTCGGCTATAAAAGTAGTGACTAACCATTAACAATTTTCTGTCTCATGTATTCGCAGTAAAGCATCGCTCTTTGCCTTTTGCTTAGCTACTTACATATTTAAGCATTATAAGAGAAAGAAAGATCGGTTCATTTTATAAAAGCTCAGCTAAAGAACAAAAAAACAAAGAATAAACGCAAAGGATTGCGAGATATATTATCCATGTTAGACATAATCTGTGCTGAAAATCTGCGGATTAAAGCGATTCATGTAATCGTAATATTAAAGTGCTTTAGTGTTGTTCTAACGCGCTACGTCATTCATCATCAATTCTTTTTTAATCCTCTCTGTTCTTAATGATAAGTAGAAAGAGAAGAATATCGTTAGACATAAATCCCAATTGCAATTTTTATCTCCATCCGTTAGGAAGTGTCAGCGTTAGCGAGGAGCGTTGTATATCTTGGGGATCGAGGGGTGGAATAAAAAAACATAAATAAACTTCAGAGGCACTCAACTAATCTAAAACAAAAATATATACGATAACAATATACACATTTTGTATGCCACATTTATAGAAACTACACACATATCTAATCGCATAGTTTTCCTATTGTAAAAATATTTACTTGTTAACTAGAAACAAAAGGCAAGGAGAAAAATCAAATGTATCGATGAAAAACTTTGACCAAAAAAAATATAATGGATTGATTTGTTATTTAATATATCTTGGAAAGAATCTTTTTCTCTTTATTTTCTCGATTGTGAAAGTTTTTTGGTGCTTTTCGTACATGATTATTATTATTTAGTGTGTGGAGGGAGCATGAAAGAATGAAACAAATAAATGAAAAGTCAGTTCCAAACTTATTGCTATCAAAATTAAAAAAATATAAAATAGAATGTAAAGTTTTTCATTTTTCCTTTCTCATAACTTATAACATAAAATCAGTTTATATTTTTTATTGGAAAACTGAAAGAAAAAGTTTATTGAGCAACATTATTTCGGTTAGTGTGAAATTAAGAAAGTTATTTTCTAGTATGAATGTTTTCGCCTTGAAGTAAAACGATGGCAGAAGAAAATAAATAAAAAAACTGTTTATAAGAGAATTATGATAGTTGATTTTTACGAGTTTTCGAAATCACTGTCGAAAGCTGTTTACAAGGAGAAATTGTTTCATCATCTGATTTCTTGTCGTTTCTAAAACGTATTTTTATGACCATTGAATAAGGAGAGTCGTTAAGATGTTCTGCTTTTATAAACTCGTTGATGACAAGAAATTAATTCAATTTTTCCAAGAATTTTTCGATGTCTGTAAATTCTCTTACATCCAATAAGTGAGTAAATAAATAAAGACAATAGGAGGAGAAGTTGGCAGAAAATTGCTCTCCATCAAGTGTTGTGACCCACATTAAGATTTAAACATGGTTTATAAAAATTGTAAATATTTACAATTACTTAGATTTACGATGCTTTTGTTTGCTTTCTTTTTTTCAGGGCGAAATGTTGAAGAGTCAAAAGTGCAATAAAAATATTAACAATCTCATCCGTAGATATCATCGCTCTCCTAAAGTTGTAAAAGAAAATCCGAGCTGTGTGGGACACAAAAGAGGGCAAAAGAAAAAGCGCATAAAAAAAATGTTTATGCGGGTATAATATTTTTATCGCTCTCTTGCTACTACCTTGCTTGAAGCATCAGAATTATGGTTATGTTTAGAGAATGTAGCTGAAAATATGAAGAGATTAAAATAGTTAGCTTTTTTCTCTGTTTCTATTTCAAGAAGATGTACAACACTTTTCTCATGAATACCAAATCTGTTTTTTATTCGTGGCATTTTAATAATTTCGACTGTTAAAAACTTGGAAAGTGAAGAGCTTTCATGGAATGAAATGAATTTTGATAACTGAGAGAGCTTTCAAAAAACAGCATGTTTCCATTTTCCAATGGAAGCTTTTCATGCTCTCTCATCTGATAAGAATAGGAGCAGTTTCTATTAAGATTTTATAAGAAAACAATGTGTCGGCCTGTCTTGGAAGTTCAGAAGACAAAAGCCTTTCCACATTGCGCATTGAAACTCTTTCAAAGGCTTTTATTGGAAGCAAAAGAGAGTTTTACTCTCGCACAATCATTCAAAGCTCTGACGAAACTTTGTTAAAAGCTGTCTCGGTTAAGGAGTGTTTTAGATTTTTAGGACTCCATTAGTGAAATTTTCGACCCAAAATTTGAGTTAATTTGCTGTTAAGAGTCTGTAGAATCTCAAGTTACTTTCAGTTCCTTGAAATTAGCCTGAAAAATAGAAGAAAAAGTGAAATATTTTTCATCATCATATAACCATTGAACCTTCACGATGAATATTTAAACAGATACAAGGTGTGTGTGTGCTTCTTAAGGGAATTGAAACTGCTGCATAAAAGACATAACAGAATTCATGAATAATAGATTTTTATTGTTGCTTTTCAAATTTTAAAACTTTGATAAAAATCATCTAAGCGTAGATGAAGAAAACAGAAATATAAAACTTTTTTTTCGATTGCAATTTTTCCTTCTTTAATTTTTCTATCCAGCCCAATCGGTTTTGCGCATGTTTGGATATTTTTCTTTCCTTCTTTCTTCGGACGGTGAAAAATTGACGAAACTCGTGAATAACTTACCAAATTAAATTATCGGATCGTCAGGAGAAAAGCTGGATAGAGGTTTTAAGAGCATCAAAACAGAAGCTTCAAAGTAGAGAATCAAGTGAATATTTATTCAATCTAGACGTGCAATGGCCTGGGGATTTTGGTCTGCAAGTACTGTCTCAGATCGAGGACGTTCACCACGACGTGCCACTGCTGCAACGTCATCAGCGATCTATTATCAGCCTCAGCAACAGCAATGCACTGTATCTATGAATCATTGCACACAGCCTGAAGAATCAAATATTCAAGTTATGCCAATACAACAGCAACAACAACAGAATACAATGACATCGGTTTGTGGAAGTCCTTGTCAAAGTGTTTGTCATACTCCAACGTGTCATTCACCATCATGTCAGAGTGGAAATACTGGTAAGTCTAATGAATAATGAATTATTGTGATTACATCAATTTAACACGCAGAATCACCGGAGCCACAGCAATGCACTGATGAACAATGTCAAGAACCGGAGTGTCAATATAATATGCATCAGCAGCAGCTTCAACATGAACAATTACATCAACAACAGCAGCAGCAACAGCAACAACAACAACATCATCAACTTCATCAACTCATTCAACCGATTCAAACGCAACCGCATATTCATCAAATTCATTATACATATTCAAGGAGAACTTCGTTGGACAGCAATGCGTTAGAAGTTAGTTGCAAGCAATTCAAATTCTCTATTTTATTATTATTTTCCTTTTCTGTTTCAAAAGAGACTAATTTCTCTTATCGATTTTCTATAAATTTTCTTTATACTCAAAAACCTTCACTGTTTGACTTTTTTTTGTAGACGAATCAATTAACTGACATTATATGTCGAGCTGTTCAACCATCAATTCAGTCAGCGACAAACACATTGACAAGGAATGCATCGCTTCGAGATACAGGAGATTACGCAATACCTCAACCACATCCACATCATCATATAATGAGATCAAAGTCACCATCATCAATAATTCGATGTGGATCATGTCCTGGTTCGACGGGGGTTTCAAGACGTGGTTCGAGCTCTGAATCAAGCCCTGCAGGAACCGTTGGACATGTAAGTGTCTTAGGTGGAAGTGATGGAGCTAGTGTTATAGGTCAAGGTGGTTACTATACCGACACAACTCATTACGATCGAATGCCAATGCCAATACCAATCGTTTCTATTCCACCACACATGAGCAACATGCATTCGGAAGATGAAATCGAACCAGCTTATGCTACGGTCTTTCCAAATCCAACCACAAACATTCCACAACCCCAGCAACAACAACAAATAAATTATCAAACGGAAGATCGAAGTATTTATCGTCGAGGCGCGAGACGGTGGAGAAAGTTATACAGAATAAACGGGCATATATTTCAAGCTAAACGTTTTAATCGAGTGAGTTTTTTTTTGGAATATCATCAAATTAATGTTCTAAGTATTTATTTCTTAAATGAATGGTGAAATCACTATACTTTCTCAAATTCTCATACTTTAAGTAACAATTATAATAATGAATTTCGAACAAACGATAAGAACTTGTGAATGTTTAATCGAGTAATGAAATTGAGGCACCTGGCACTCGTGTGGTGTATTTAATCTAAAATTATTACCACACAAATCTAATCGATATTTTTGTTGATCACTTTCTTTTGTTTTCTTTGTTGAAATTTCTTGTTCTTGTTTTCTTTATATTATAGAAAGCATTTTGCACATTTTGTCATGATCGAATTTGGGGATTGGGAAAACAAGGATTCAAATGCATTCAATGTAAATTACTTGTTCATAAGAAATGCCATAAACTTGTTCAGAGACCATGCGGTAAAGATTACAGTGATGGTATAACAACAGACAGTGGTGAGGTAATGTAATTGAAATGTTCACATGTGGTTGATTTTCTTTTTAATTGATTTGTTGTTGCTTTCCAAAATTTAATTAAAATTATCACTTAAATTTTTCTTCTCTTTTTTATTATGTTTCTTCTATAGGAATTGAATGGAAACAATGAAATGCCATCGTATTCTTACCAATGTGATTTATCAGATTGCTCACAAAATTACATGTCGGATCAAGATATTGAATGTCAAACGCCAATACAAAAGCAATATTCTCTCGATGATTTTGAATTGATTCGTGTTATTGGTCGTGGTAGTTATGCGAAGGTGCTGATGGTTGAATTGAAGAAAACACGTCGTATCTATGCAATGAAAGTCATTAAGAAAGCTTTAGTAACAGATGATGAAGATATTGATTGGGTGCAAACCGAAAAACATGTTTTTGAAACTGCTTCAAATCATCCATTCCTTGTTGGTCTTCATTCATGCTTTCAAACACCATCGCGCTTATTTTTCGTCATAGAGTTTGTTCGTGGTGGTGATTTGATGTTTCACATGCAACGTCAAAGACGTTTACCCGAAGAACATGCACGATTCTATGCTGCGGAAATTAGCTTGGCCCTCAATTTTCTACACGAAAAAGTAATTAGTTTGATACACTTTTCACCCTCTCGAATCCGATATGTTCCTCTGATTGTGACATTAAAATTTATGTATGTTTTCCAGGGCATCATTTATCGCGATTTGAAATTGGATAACGTTTTATTAGATCACGAAGGCCACATAAAACTGACGGATTACGGAATGTGCAAGGAAGGCATCGGACCAGGCGATAAAACATCAACCTTTTGTGGAACACCAAATTACATTGCGCCTGAGATTCTCAGAGGTGAAGATTATGGATTTAGTGTTGACTGGTGGGCGCTTGGTGTATTACTTTACGAGATGTTGTGCGGGCGAAGTCCATTCGACATTTCTGGAATCGAAAACGTAGAACAAGTACCGAATTTGTGTCAGTCACGGAAACGACGCAGCATTCACTCATCATCTTTCTTACAGACCACTGAAGATTTTCTGTTTCAAGTGATTTTAGAAAAGGCAATTCGCATTCCTCGCTCACTTAGCGTTAAATCTGCCTCGGTTTTGAAAGGATTTTTGAATAAAAGTCCCGCTGAAAGACTCGGATGTCAGCGGGAAAACGGATTTCTCGACATCATTAATCATCAATTCTTCAAGACTATTGACTGGGAGATGGTGAGAGATGAATAATCTGTTTTTCTTTTGAAATATCTTTTCTGATTGTTTCTCAATCAATTTTAGCTCGAACAAAAGCAAGTTATGCCACCATTTCAACCTCGTCTCGAAAACGACCGTGACTTGACAAATTTTCCACCAGAATTCACCGACGAACCAGTTCATCTGACACCAGACGAAGATCGTATTATTGAGAAAATTGATCAATCAGAATTTGAAGGTTTTGAATATGTTAATCCATTGTTGATGACGTTTGATGATTGCGTCTGACACAACTCAAACTGTCAATATCATCCTAATTACAACATGCAGGTAAACATGAATATTTAGGCAACTCTTTGAAGTTCATCATGAATCATTAATGATTTTGTTTCTTTCAGAATTATGAAGATTCGAGTGAATATGATTCAGTTGCGGATGAGATGAATCTTCTTCACATGCGTGAGATACAACCAGCACCATCGAAGAGTCTTCTGCAACATATGTTTTGCCTTCCATTGAACTAAAGAATTTTAGCGGCAGAATAATGTTAATGTGGTTCTAGGATAATTTAAAAAAATGAAATAAGAAGAAAACATTGCAAATAATAACAAAACTTGAATTTAGCAACAAATTTATTTACTCATTTCTTGCACAAAAACAAAATGTTTAACGCATAAAAGTTGTAGGTGAAAATGAAATTAGAACAAAGAGAAAAAAAAAACAAAAATCTTTTAATGTTATGTATTTTAAAGCCCTGAAGAATTACTAAACCAATATGAAACGATAAACTTGCACAATGGGGTCAATTTAACGAAATTAAATATATAAAAGTAAATAAAAATTTTACATAAAAAAGACGAATGATAACATTGATAATGAAACGTCCATATTGAGACTGTTGCTGTCGTAGGGGATAAAGACGAATGAACAAACGAATGATAACTGTTCAGATAAATATCTAAGTAAGTAACAACATCAATAAACTTTTCATTTTTCTCTTCTTTTTTATCCAAAACAGCAGAAACAAGCTCAATTTTCTTTTAGCATATTTATCACTTGATTCACTCTTTCAAACTTTACAAAAGAATTAAACAAGCAACTCAAATCTAAAGACTTACCTCTTGGGTGTAACAAAAAACATGACACAGAAGCAACATAGATAATGAATTTAAAAAAGAGAAAATCTAAATTGTAGCATAAAGTGAATAAAAAATTTCTTTGTTTATAGTTCTGTGAATCATTTTTATTGTTCCACTTAGAGAAAATCAAAGAAAATTGCACTTTGCTCCCTGTTATTGTTTTCATTATGATAAAACAAAAAATTTATGGAAAAAGCTCCTGGTTAAAATTGTAAAAATTAAGAGAAATGATGGAAAATATTTTAATCCTCTTTGTTAGACTAAAAAAAGCGAATAGTATATCCTATCTAAAAATTGTTGTTAATTGAAATTGTGATTTATGGTGCTTGAGTTTTGAAGCTACAGTCCAGGATGTGAATGGATGTGTAAATCTGTCTGTGTACGTGTGTGGATTGATGAAAATTGAATTTTTTGGCAAATACATTAATGTAGATAAAAGCTTTTTTATGTTCACTTCGAAAAAATCGAAATTGAATTTCGACTGTAGCTTCACAATCTCCTACACCAATAAGTAGTAGAAAAGTCATTAATTTGTTTAACCGCAATTAAATTTCTAATTGTTCATTAAAAAACTGTTTCAGACTTAATCGACTCAACAATCAGAAAAATTATTTCTCATTTTTGTTTTGATATAAAAATCCTAGAAAATAAATGAAAAATTAAAAAATAAGCAGAAAGAAAAATTACTCCGAGCATTAATAAAATTAATAAAACTTGGTCTGAGAATTTGAAAAGGAAAAAGTTTTTATTTTTATATATCTCGTTACTCCTTAAAGTTTAATTTTTCTCTGCTTTTGTTCATGAAGATGAATGAACAAACAAAACAGATTTCTTCTTTCAATTTGAAGATTTTACTGCAATGTGTTTGATATCAGCAGGCAACCGAAAATGAGCAATGAGATAGAGTGAGTGGAAAAAAAATCAATTAAGCAATTAAGAGCGATTGCCTATACAGCACGATATAATCCAACGAGTATTCGATAAATCATGCACGAGATTCAAGCATATTAATGTGATCTGATTGTTTTATTCTCAGTTTCGTTTATATTCTATTTTCCTTATTTTCTCCACCCATATCACCACAAAGAAATAATTGAGAATGGTTTGGTTTCAAGCTCCAAGTTCATTCATTTTATTTGTGATATCCTAGTCAGTGAAGGATCACTAGTGGCAGCAGCAAGAGCAACGGCAGCAGAATTCTACTTGTATATGCGTACAAGCAGTCGTCGAAATAAATGATTTATGCTACTTGATTCAACTTTTTCTTTTTCCTTTTTTTCTCTCTCTCATCTTTCTATCTGATTTGTGGTTTTATTGCAAATGAAAAATGTATGCGAACATGATCTTTAATCGCTTTTGCTTTTTTCTCCTATCATTCTTCTTTTCCCCTCCCCCTCCTCCCACACTGTTCTTTTTTGATGCATGAACATAGAGCTTGAAAATGTTGAACGAAAGCTCGTGAGAGGAAAACAGAAATAGAAAGATTGAAAAATTATTCAAACAGCGTTTCATCATTTAGAAGAGATTTAATGTTTAACTCTAACATAAGGCCGATAGAATAAATAAATGGGGGCAAGCATTAAAATGCTATTTGTGCATTATAACAGATTATTACTTAGCAAAAGTCGTTAAAAGTTTACAGCTGCAGAACAATGAATGCTTTGGTGTGTGTTGTATAATATTTGACTCTTAAGCTTTGGTGATTAACATTTGCTATTTTATAAATATGTATACACAAATTGTGAGGAAGGGACAAATTGTGTGAACGTTACCGTTTAGAAAGGCTTTTTTACTTTTGAAATCCCATCATGCTTGCTATCATGTACAACATATGTCGGTAATGTGGAACTTCATCTGCATTTTTTTTAAAAACTTTTTCCCCATTTAACTCAAAGTATTTCAGTTGAATTTAAACATGAATTATATCAAAAAAGCATATTTTTAATAAATCATAATGAAAAATCCATTAAAACAATGGAGATTCTGCATCAACAGGAAATGGTTGAGCTCAGTGAGAATAAATAAAAAAGAAGGAGAATAAGAAAAAAAAATGAAAAGCATCGCCCAACATGAGAAAAAAGTTTTCTTGTTCTCATTTGTTAGGATTGTTCTGAATGTTGGTTAGGAATGAACAACGATGAGCGAGAAGTTTAAAACATGTTTAAGAACAACACTTTTTCAGCTTTAAAGTCATTACTTTTTATTGACTGGAAAATAAAACAGTTCATCTGCAGTTCACAAAAAAAGTTTATATCTGCACGAACACGGTTTCGTGAAATTATTTTCCAGTAATATTTTCAACAATATGGTAACGATAATGTTGCTCTTTGAAAGCGATTCTGTTCTATTATAAGAATTTATGAATCAAGATACTCATATAAGTAAGCAAGCAAGTAAGTCAGCTTAGTCTCATTACATTCTTTACATTTAATTAAAATATTGTGCTTCAGTGAAACCATAAAGAAGAACCTTTAAGTTGTTAACCACATTTTTAACTTTTACTGGTCTCATTTACAGTTCATTTTAGTAGGATTTTGTGCGAGCGAGTATTGCGCACTTTTAATTATATGTACAGTTTTAAACAAAAGTCTTTGGAAATGACTCGATAGAAGCTAGAATTTATGTATTTACAAAAGAGAAAAAAAATCCTCTTATTAATTAATGTTATGCAAAAAAAACTCTCATTTATGCTTTCGTAATGTTTGTGAAAAAAGTTGGTAAACAATTATTCACGGTAAGCTGATTCAGAGAAGACAAAAAAAAATCTGAAAAAAAAGTTATAATTAATTAAATTCAGATTCTCTTTCTTATGTAATAAATAAACAATAAAATATTGAAATGTTTTCATCGCTTTCATGGCAACTGAAGACAAATGAAAGCGAAGTTGAGAGAGAAACTTGCCTGTGACTTTGATTTCCAATTGAGTCTCTTTAGGACTTCAATTCATGATAACTCATGAGGATTTCTCGATGATTTCCAAGTAGATATATCTTTTTTTTATGACTCCTTCTAAATTCTATTTAATTCAATGAAATTTTGTAAGAAGCTTGAAGAACTATAAATAAGGAAATATTTTTGTTCCCTCAGTCAAACAGAAAACTTTTATTGACTTTCAGAGAAAGTTTTTACATGCAGCTTATAACTATCTAAATAAGAAGTTGAACTTTATATAAAGAAGATGTGAGGCAAAATTGTTGTGAGACGTTATCTGCATTCGGAAGCAGTTTAGTTTACTCGCTGTGAAAAGCAAATTTCATTGCCAAAGCTTTTATTTCTTCTCCCTTATCCATAGTATCGGCAGAAATGCCAACTTGGAAACGTCCAGATCCGAAGGATTTAGCTGCTTTTGCATCATCATCTATCTTGAAGTTTTGAACGACATAATGACCCTAAAAGTTGTTCGAAAAAGTTTTAATAGGACTTTTCTTAAGATTACGGTCACTATTTAAACTTCTTTGAAATCTAGACGTGCTTTGGTGTTTGAGATTCGTTTTTAATTTCATGTTCATCCCTTAAAAATATATGAACACAAAGCAACAAGCCTTAATATTTAATTACAAGATAATTACCGCTTTCAAGGGACACGCAATCGTGAGATTCCCATACTTTTCGATTTGTTCCAACGCAAACTTTACAAGTTCGTCTTCAACTTCGCCCACGCAAGGATTAAAATCCTTTATCGGGTAGATTTCTTTCAACTCCCCACCGATTTCAGCACTCAACGAAACCTTTACCTTCAGGTTGTTGACATCTCTTTTCAAATCCACTACAACATTTGCCACAGGCTCATCACCATTTTTATCGATATTCGCCTTAATATTCAAGTAATCTGGATTTTCTTCTACAGAAATGTTGTCCATTACAAGCTTGCCTTTAACAGTCTAAATAATATTCAAAGAAAAGGAAAACGAACAGAAGAATAAAAGAAAGTAAGACAAAAATTGCTGATTCAATTGAAAACATTTCCTATGTCAAAAATCTTTTTGACTCTCTCAAGAGCCGGAAGGTCTTACAAAAGCAAAAATTGAACTTATTAAAATGATGATTTTGAAAGCGAACATTCTTGGTTGTCTTCAGAAATTGACTGATGGAAAAAAAGTTTCAAAGCACAGTTTATAAATACTTTGCTGTGAGCTCATCACCGGAAATGATTTATTTAATTTGCGATGGTAAGAAAAATTAAATAATATAGAAACACAAGGAACGAGGTTGTCACGCTCAAGTGGGTCGTCGTTGATGAATGTGATGAAGATGACATTTCATAAAAGCTTCTTATTTATTTAAAAAAGTATACTTAACTTCTTGACTTGGTGTTGCCGATTTAAAACATAAAAAAAGTGGGCGACAACTGTTTCAAAAATTCCCATTCTGGAGATTATGTTTTTCATCTCCTTTCACCAAAAGCTAGCATAATATTGAAATTATCATCTGATGTTGGGTGCGTATAAAAGTGACGACTGAATCAAGACAAATGATATTTTAAAATCAAAATTTAATCTTTGTAACATTAAATGCTGATTAATTTTCTCTGACACTGACAATCATTTTGAGGAAAACTGTGGAAAACATTAAATATTTTTCAATTATGATAATTATCACAACCGAACTCATTTGTCTTGTGACAAACTCCCACAGCGAGTAGATGAAAGGATTTTAAAGTTCACAACTTTGAGTCATAAATTAGTGGATTTATTTGGATTAAGTTGGATTATGCTGTGACTTAAATCGGTTCATTATTTAGGGAACGTCAGCACCTAACCCTACTTTCCATGGAGGCAGTGGAGAACAATAAAAATGGCACCTGCATTGTAATTAAAATCGTTAAACTTCATGTGATATTTATTTTCATTCTTTCCTTTTTTCGGACGCAGAAAATTATTTAAATTATAGTTCTGTGGAATCGAAATGAATAACAAAAGAAGTTTTTTATGGTGAAACATAACATGAGTGGCAAAGAAAATTAATTTTACTCGCATTTTGATTCACGATAAAGTTAGAATTTTTCGTGAAAGTATTTCCAAATGTTTCCTGTGTAGTGATGTAAAATTATAATAATTACATATAATAGCATACTTCAATTAGTTTCAACCCCAAAATATACATAACATCGAAAAGGGAGCACATTTGAATGCCACCCAAGGAGCTTGATTTTTCATAAAAATATCAGAAAGAACTTCTTTCTCATAGCGAGACCTTTTTTCCCTTTCTGTCAAGAATCAAACGAGAAAATAAAGGAAGAAAAAAAAAATTAAAACTGTTCTTTTGATTCCAACTCATTTATCAACTTTACATCGAGTAAATGGAATTGAAAGCAAGCAAAGGAAGTTGAATAAAATTTAAAAAAAGGAAAACATTCAATTCAGTTTTAAAAAGAGAGCGAGCGAATTTTGTTAGCTTTTCGGCACGTTTGATAAACAAAAATGAGAAGAACATGCGCGCAAAGTTCACATTCCAGTGTAGAAAATACGTTGAACGGCTTCAAACGGTTGACTTTGTTGCTCTCTTTGTGGAAAGGTTTCAGTTTTCGTCTTATTGTTCGCACAAGCAGAACACTTGAATTTCTATTCATTTGATAACAAGGATCGAGTATTGTTCATTCGTGAAAAGTGTCGCTTTCGCCACTCTTGATAAAAACACTTTTCGGAGACTTTCTCTGTTAATAACTTCTATTTTACTTTTTTATTGTAACAAGAAAGGAGCTTTCACATCTACTTGTTATCATCTTGTTCTTTTTTTATCGTATATGCGAATGAATTATACATGAGTGGTGAAATGTTGCGAATAATATTACCCTTCTTATTGTCATGCAACAATGAATTATTATTTTGTTTAAACACAGCTTATGGTAAAGATTTCACGGCACTTTTACGAAAGAATGAAGAATGAAAAGCAATTTTATGTCTCGTTTGCATATGTTTACAGCCAAATCTGACATCGTCGATCGACCTTACTTTGCTGAGAATGCGAGAAACATCACGGCATTAGCAAATGAAAGCGTAACGCTGAAGTGCACCGTTAAAAACAAAGGAAACAGAACAGTAAGAATGATAGAAAGAGAGACATTGGCATGACTATCGACACGATTCAGTAATAAATCATGTAAATATCATTCACATTCCGTCAGGTTTCATGGATGAGAAGACGAGATCTTGCCATTCTAACATCGAACACATTTGTCTACACAACCGACACGCGCTTTTCTGTCATTCACATTCCTGATTCAAACAATTGGGATCTGAGAGTTAAGCCTGCTTATGAGAAAGATTCAGGGGTGTACGAGTGCCAAATTAACACAGAGCCGAAAATAAACTTCCCAATCTATCTTGAAGTGATAAGTAAGTAAAACTTTCTCAGTTAAAAACCTTAAATAATTTAATAAGATACGATGTAAGCAATCACTGTGTAAATTTCTTTTTTATTTTTATTTTATCGTAAGGAAACAATAATTTAATTAGTTTTCGTCTTTTAACAGCCGACGCTGATGCGATGAAGGAGGAAGGGTACAAGATCGTTAACAGATTTGATGGAAGAGGTATTTACTCACTCTTTCTTTACGCATGAAAATGCTTTTCGAGAAAATTCTTATCTCCTTCGTCTTCTTATTTCTTCTTTTTAATTTTTTTAATAACTTTGAAAGTTTCAACACAGATGCGGAATGTGTCTCGTTAAAAAATGTTTCTTCACTCTTAATCATGAAGAGTTTTGAAGCTTCGTGAAGGTAGACATGTTAATGGCTTTCCTTAATTTCCAAAAGATACAAAAATTTTAATTCTAGGCTTTCGAATTTATAGCAAAGAAAATAAGAAGGAAGTGAAAAAGAATAAAGAAGCTTTAAATATATTCTTGAAGATTTAAAAGCTTTTTTTTAGATAATGAAAGCGTTAATCAGACTTTATAAAGTTGATTATTGAATTGACTTATCTCTTTTTTGACATTAAGGCGCTCAAATGTCTATATGTATATGAAACGTGAGCTTTCACTTTCATGAGGTACGAGAGTGATTCAAAAATAACACAAAACAAGAATTACAAATTATGTTTTCAAGTTTGCCCCATTCTAACTGGGTTAAGCAACGCCATAGACAACATCGTTGAAACTTTCTCTGACACTTTAAACAACACTGCTTATTTTTTTCTACCCTCTAACACCTACATTCTCATCATAAAACAGCTCCGAGAGCAAAAATCGTTGGCCCTACAGAGCTTCAAGTACTGAGGGGAAGCACAATTTCTCTGACTTGCACGGTGAATCTTCAAGCATCATTAATACTATGGTGAGGCTATAAATAATGTCAGAACAAATTGTCTTAGTAACTGTAGCGGATCTCTTTTCTTTATTTTCCTTTCTCCTTTTGCCGTCGGTTTTTTTTATCCCTCATAAATATACGACAAACAAAAAATAAATATGAAAAAAAGGTATCACAATTCGACGATAATAAATTCAGATTTCACACGGGGAGGCATTAATTTAGAGAACGAAAAGACGAGCGAGGGCACAACAAGTCGTTTGCTTTTGACACGAGCCATGTTTAGAGACAGTGGAAATTATACTTGCGTTCCCACATCATCATCAAGCGACTTAATAACGCCATCCTTGACAGCTCTTCCAGATTCCGTCACCGTTCTTGTTGTCGTTAATCGCTAATGAAAATTCATAAAAGAAGCAGACTCCGGAAATAATATTTCATAAATAATTGAACAATCCTCATAATTTTATTTATTTTAGCGTGAAATGACGAGAAAAGTTTTGAAATTTCACATTTTATGCTAACTTCTATATTTTCCTTCCTTTTCCTGTTCCTCTTACTCATTTCTATTAGGTACCTTAAAAGTATAATTTAATTTTCCGCCTACGCGCACATCAAATAAAGTTTACCAGTTAATTTTTCCTGACTCTATTGTGTAATTTTCAAACTTTTATTTTTCCAATTTATTCTCATCGTTTTCGACTTTCCTACCACTTTATGTTATAAAGTTTGAGAAAGTTGTATTAATCACAGATCTTATACAGTATAAGAAAAGAGCAAAAAAAAAGTAATTAATAACAGTCGATACATGTAAGTGAGAAAGAAAGTGCAGATGAAAGAAAGAAAATAAAAAATAAATATAACTCTTGATGATTTCATTAATGTTCGTTTGCTTTTTCCATTATCATCATCCTTTTGACGTGCGATGAAAACGAAATTCTGCTGATCTTCATGAGAAAACAGCTTGAGCCTTTATCGGAATCTACTTTACAGCTTCACCTCACTGACGTTACCTGATGAGAAAGAAAAGAAGAAGAAGAAAAACGGAAAAGAAACTTTTCGCTCTAATCTCTTGTTGAATGGACACGTTTGCGCATTTTCAGCGGTCAGAAAAATTGTATAAATTAAAGAGATTGCCATCATCCGAAAGCATCAACCGAAAGCAAAACGACGAGAGAAGCGAATAAAGTTTTGAGAGAAGCGAGCATGTTGAGAGTAGAAAATCACTGGAAAATTGAAAATGTTTTTCTTTTCTCATTCGATGTTCTCATGCTGTCGAATGATTCTTCCCCCAAGCCTTATTTTCAGTTTAGGTTTTGGTTTTCATGATTCAAGTTGATTTTAACATTGGCCGTGCAAACGTTCAACCGTGCAAAAAAAAGAAAAGAAAGAAATAGGGAAACAAATAATCAAAAAGAAACATAAGAAAAGAAAGAAATAAGGAAGAAAGAAAAGCAAGTAGTCAAAATGTGAACTTTGTGTGGTACTGTCAGTGGTATTATTACATTATATAAATTAATAATGAGAGTTTGCGTAACGAATATTATTGCGTTATGCGTATGAAAAGGTGGAAAATTTATTGAAACTTACTATGAAGAATAATTTAGTGATTTTATTAACTAATGGAACATGAATTTGTGTTGATTGAATTTCGTTACTACTTGCATGTTCAATTTAAATATTTCGCAAAAGACTTAAGAACCAAATCAATAATAAGAGATAAAAAAGCAGAATTGAATACGTAATTTAAATTCAGTAGAAAAGTATCTAAATGTTATTTAAGTGTTCATTATGGATGCGACAATATTAATAAAAGGAATCATATCAATATTTACATATTGGTTGCAATTCAACATTCTGTTTATTCTATGTGATCATCTTGATATCGTAACAAATACTACAAACAATATCTTAGGATTAAATCAAACAAATGGTAAGTCAAACACAATCATTTAAATTAGGTTGATTTTTCATGATGTACTAACCAAAACGACCGATAAAAAAATAAGAAAGAAATATGCAAAGAAAACGAATATTGCCGGAGAGTTTTTGCCATGCTTTCAGCTCAACAGCAAGTGAAAAAAGGGCGAACGTTTGCTTTTGTGGGAAGAATGGAAATTTGGATTTACTTTAAAGTCCCTACTGGAGCATAATAAGCAGATTAAGACAGCAAGAGCATTAATCATTCAGAAATATATACAACAAAAAACGGATGAAAAGAGCTCAGTGGCAACTCAGTCGAGGAGGGATAGCTTCAATTTTTATTTCAGTTCATTCTCAGTCTCTTGCTATTTCGAGAATCTTAATTCCAAAATAATTGCTCGACGACTAAATAAAATTAATCCTTATCGACCGGTATGGTCTGCTAAATCCATAAAATAAACTAAATATATGTATAAACATGAATTTATAAACACAAAGATTCTGTCGTTCTAAGTTCTTGGTTAATTAACCATAGCTAACAGATTTGTGCCTGGGACGTAAGTCAGTCCTTTGAGATAATTCTTATATTGAAATTTCATGTTTAGTCATTTCCTGAGGTAAAATGACTTTTGACTTCAATTGAGTATTTTTATTATTAAATAAATATTTTCTTGTAGCTGTTGTTGTTGCCTCTCTCGTGTGCTTACTGAAGCAAATATTTTTTATTTTTTAAAGAGAGATTTTCATTTAAATTCCAATGGTTTTCATTTTTTGTGTCTCATGTTTGTTGAAACGGAAACTAATCAGTTTATTGTAAAAGTATTTCAGCAAAATTCCAAACTGAAAATCATTTTAGATAATTCTTTGAAAAGAATTTCCAAAGTTGTGAGAAAGATTAAATATAATATTGCATGAGAATCTAAATTAAATTGTGATGCTAATTAATGTTTTTCTGGTTCCTGTAGAGCTTTCAAATTTTCACAAACATAATTTAATTAATTTTTACGAAAAAATTATCTTCAATTGTTAATGTGTTATGGCAACGACCAACTTTGGGGATTATTGTCTGAACTAGTTTAAAATCTGTTCATTTAAGATTACGCTCGAGTGCTACATTCATTCGTTTACTCGTTTGTTCCGTGAGAAACGAAATGTAAAAACCTGGTTCTTGATATTACTTTTGCTGGCAACGACATAAAATATAATCTCGTCGTTGTTTATACACATTGGTAACAACATATCTAAAACCGTTGCCAATCGATTGCTTTTGCCTCAAAGCGCAATAGTTATTTTTATAATTTGGCACATTAGAAACCATGTCTCGTTCAACACCTTCATATATTGTTCTGCAGATTTTTCCATTTCACCCTTTCTCCCACAGTCCCACCTTTTCTTTTACTTCGAATAATATAATCACAATTCAGCTGTCGATAAAAACAACCTTAAGCTATCAATTTAATTGATTCCTTTTTTTCCTTTTCCTGCGATATAAAACGAAACAAAAAAACCAAAATATACTTCAACGATCAATATAAATGATATGGATTTGACGATGTGTTATACAAACGTAACGAAAGAAATACCTCATATTGAAGGCGAGGGAAAAAATCTGTAACGACGTGTATGAAGAAGAGAAAGCAAGTAAACTATACCTGGGTAAACGAAAGCATGGCAAAGGCAGGAAAAATGCCAATAAAAAATGAGAATATGCCAAGATTATTTCTTACAAAGTGAAAGGTTCTTTTCAGCATAATTGTTTCATGTTTGCCAGAAGGAAAGATTTTTCTCAGAGATCTCCTTGCGTTTTTTTTTGTTGTGGGAGCCTTCGCGATGATTTTGCGTGTTTGTGAAAGAAAACATAAAAAAACAAAAGCCATATTTCATCCGGCAGTTATAATTTCTCTTGCAATATATGAGATGCCTTACAACGAATGAAGAATATTTAAAAAAAAAAGATGAAAAGTTTTTCTTGTCGACGCGCCGCTTTCCGCCTTCTCCCAAGAGCTTTGCCTCGCATTCTCATCTTTTTTATTCATTTGTAAAAGATTATTTCGTTTCCTGATTGCTCTGTTATATTTTTTACTTGGTAATCATAGAGCAACACAACATGCAGAAAAAAAAACACCAAATGACGACTCCATTCAGATTTCAAATCTCCATGCTTTCTTTCCTTCTTTTTTTATTGTTGCCGATGTATCCATTCTAAAAGTTTCTGATGCCTAAGCATCAAGAAAAATGCTCAACCATAAGCGACGGTTTTCCTTCTGAATGATAATGAATTAAACGATGGAAAAAAGCAAGAAATTTTCCTTTCTATTGTGCTCAGTTGGGAAGAGAAAGTTTTTTCTTTTCTTTCCTTTTCGTAAAAAAGAGGATCAGTTAGATTGTTCAGGATTTCATTTGGATGTACACAAAGCTCTCAAAAGCTTTTAAATGAGCTTTTTTCATTTATGTGTGCTTTTAAAGAACCCTTTCTGTGACGACGTCACTGCCCTTGAACATTCTTCAAGTTGACGGATAAGTAAAGAGACGAGAAAAAGGAAGAGCAAAATTTCTCTTTCTTCTGTTTCCATCTTTGCCTCTTCATTTTTTATTTCATTTCACTTGCTATGATTGTTTATTTATATCATTATGTCTTATCATAGGACCCACCGTAAACAAATTAGAATAATGCTCTTTATCTCTTCGTCCTACTCGTTCGCTGTTCCGATTTCTTCCTTTTCAGTTCTTCTTTGGCTCACTACGTTGTCGTCTTTTTTTTGTGCAAATAAAACTGAATCCTAAATGGTTTCTTTTTGTTTTTGTAACAATTTTCTGGAGCATATTTTTTATCATCATCATCATCCCTTTCTTTTTTTCGTTCTTTCTTTTATACATTCATTGGTAGAATGTTTGCCTATATTTTAGAAAATGAAGTTACTTGCCTTCGACAAGATAGGGTAAACGAAGGTTTTATCTTTCCATAAAAAAGAAAAATGAAGAAAGAAGCACCGAGTCTCGAAGAGAATCAGAATAATTTACAATCGTTGCTTGCTTCCTCATCCATTCGAGTGACGATGAAGATGACTAAAAACGCTTGTAAGGTTTTTGTTTTTAGTGGAGATATCTATTCATCTACATAGACACTTTGTAGGAACCAAAACAAAAAGATGAAGCATAAAATAGTGAATTCAGACGGAGAGTTAACATCATTTTCCATTCATTCTCCACAACCGACTTCTTTCACATCACATCGGCAATATTTTCTCGGATGTTGTATGTGAGGAAGGATGTGGTACTTGAAAAGTTGAGATTCTTCTCTCATTCCCTCATCATTTTTTTGCACTGCCGTTCAGGGATGATTTTCTTGTTTGAAATCGTATATCAAATATTCAGATTATTTTTTAGGATTATCCCTTACTTTGAATCATGTATGAAATGATATGATACTAGAATCAGAAGGGGAAAATTGAAAATCTCTCGAATGGTTATGAGAAAATATTTTTGTGTGTTGATACATTTCAAACATTCACAGGATTTGGACGCTTTTGCCCAGGAGTATTTCAATATTTAATACTAAGCACTCATGTTTTAAAGTGTTTTCTGTGAAATTGGAAAGAAAGAAGAAAAAAATTTAAATGCTTAAAAGAAGGAAAAGGACCGGATATGAAAACTTGTCTCATGTCAGCAATCTTAGCTACCTCAAACACAAATCCCTCGATAAATGACTGAAAAAAGAGAAGAAAAAATATAAATCAGAATATTATTTTCCTTGGTCTGGAAAAGTTTTTGATTTCTTAATGTTTGTTTATTATTGATAGCTGATATCAATCATTATCAGTTGAATAAACCTCGCCCACACTTGATCGAACTAAAATTGCAAACTAGAGCAGAATTTAGAAAGGAACTTGATTTAAGAGTTTTTGAAAATAAAGGAAGGAAGGCAAAAGCAGTTCTAAAATTTTCTTCAATCGACCTTATAAATATGCAAATTTTATTCCTACTATATTTTTTTTTCAGAAGTAATGTTGGTTTTTATTGTTCTCCATTATCCTTGATGGATCTTCTTTCTACTTTTTTTCCCATCGGCAATATTCTTTTCATCACTTTTCTCACACCCTCTTCACTTCCCTCTATCTGACAATCAGATTCGATTTCGTAAGCACTTTTTATTCAAATACATTTTCATTCATCATCATTGATAACTTTGCCAGTTACATGCTGCTTTTATATGCTCTGTTTTCTTCGTTTTCATCTTTTTTTTTCAATTTTTCATTGCAGATAACTTTTTCGTACAACAAAAGGAGCCGTACTTTGGCAGTAATCAAAATTCAAATATCACAGTTTTGGAGAACGAATCAGTTGTGCTAAAATGTGTTGTAAGAAACAAAGGAAACAAGACTGTAAGTCAATGATTCAAGCTCAAGAAACTTTCATTTCTCTTCCTTAAATATTTTTCTTTCTCATCATGTCGTTGGCATCGAGATATCTGATGTGCGGAGATTTCATTTCATTTCGTGTATCTTTTCTGCTTTTTTTCTGCTGACAAACATTTGTAAATAACGTCGTCTTCGTCGTTGTCGTTGTCTCAGATAACCAGCCTAACAGTAAAAAAAGAAAATATTAAGAAATAAAAATTAAATTTGATTTGAGATAGGAAAAGTTTCTTCGCTGTTCATAAAATTTACGACATCTGATAAGAACATTCAAAAAGCAAGAGTGAAAGTCGACTAAATCAGGAGAAATCTTTATGATAACATGACGTTATTGACACTTTATTCCCAAATCTCATTTTGATAAAAAATCATGAGCAGCACAATAACGAGCAAAGGAAAGAATGAAGGAACAATTCACTATGCTGTGGCACACACACATGGAGTATTAACCAAACGAAATGTGTGTATATTCCACTTGATATACATTATAAAACATTTTTATCACATTCATATTACATCTTTATGGTCGAAGGGAAAATAATAAATCATAAATCATTCAGCCATGAAGAATGAGAGAAAATTTAAGGAGCACCAACCTCTTTCGCCTCATCTTCCGACTTCTCTCTATTCTCATTCCGTCACGAAATGTAGATTTCTATTTCTCCACAACACATATACACATAAGAAGGAGATGAGGGTTGTGGGAAGATGGTTAGATGAAAATCTGGAAGCTCAAATAAAGAGGTAGTAGGTAGGTATGTGACTTCTACGAATGTGACATTAAAATTTATAACTCGGAATTGAAAAAATTGTTTTTCTCTGCGCTGGAGGATTTATGGCCTTTATTTTATTTTATATATATTTTTTTGCGTTCCTTCTTTCCTTCTCCAGTTGCGAATGGTGGCAAATGAAAATTTTCAGCAGCAGGCAGAGTTAAAAAGAGTACGAAAATGAAAGAAATACTAAAGAGACTTGTGAGACAAAGTATCACTTTGAAGACACCTGAATAATCGTCATGAAAGATTCATTTCATGTTTTCACGACGATTTCCAATGATCGCATTCCCCATCGGTAAAATTTGTCGCGTTAGACTTCCTCCATTATTTTTGCATTTTCCTTTACCAACAAAAACATTTTCATGTTCTGAATAAGTCAATCAAAATTGTATTTAGCTATTGCTTCGTCTTCCATGACCTTCTTTTTTCTTTTCTTTCATTTATTTATTTTATTCTGTTTGGGAGTCTTTCAATTGTTTTAGAAGGGAAAAATAGAAGAAGCGAGAAATAGAAGGCAAAACGCTTTCAAAAATTTCCTTTTGCCCTTGGGTTGCTATGTCATAAACTTTGCTCTCGAACGCTTCTCATAAACACGGGTAAAGAAAGAAAAATGAAAGGAAAGCTCGCTTTTTTTCCCTCGATGTTTACAAAAAGCTTATAACGAAATGATTTGATTTAATTAGGCCATCAACACTTAACAGGCAATCCTGCTTATACATTTTGATATCAACAGTATCTACGAAGAATAAAGCTTCAAATTACTTCTAATTATTAAATGACTGCTACTATCTAATTACAAAATATAAATTTAGACACTGTTCTTGTATTCTTGTTTCGGGGGCGGAAGAGACCCCGAGATTTTCGATTATTATTTGCGTTACAAAAGAGTCAACCTAAAAGTGCCTAAATTCATTCTAATTACAATCCATTAAAACTTAATCAAGCATCATCATCTCCACCTGACATTCCTTTTTACTTGCTTATGTTCATTCTCCATTCTCCCCTTTGTCTCCTCTACACTCTTCTTTACTCCACAAAAAGCGCTACTGTTCGTTGTCTAATGTCATTTAACTAACTAGGGTACTTGTTATCCTTATCATTTCTTTTCCCTTTCCCTTTTTTCTTCACCCACTCTCGCCCTATCATTGTTTTTTTTGTATATATGTTTGCTTTTGCTTCCCTCATATCAAAGCCTTCGTAATCCTTACGAGAAATGGGAGACAAGAACGTATAACGCACAATGGGTACCGCTTTCACAAAGGGCTTCATTTTAACTTTCACTCCTTCGCCCACACCTCCAAGTCATCATTTTATTCGCCCTTAAAAGAAAGAATGGATAAAAGAAGAACAAGAATATCTAATAGAAAGAAGCATTCAGTGAACTAAAGAGAAAAAAAAATTCAAAACACCCAAAATGAATGATAAATGGAGGAGAATGCTTTTTGCTCGGTGTGTTCACATTCTTTCGAAATTGCTTTTACATTTTGTCAATGCCTCCGCCTTGAAGAGAAGACAAAGAAAAAAGACAAGAAAAAAGTACCAAAAGACGCTCGTAAATTATACCACCCTGAGAACAAGAGTGAGCTGACAAAGATATCTCAGATGCCTTTCATTCCATTTATTTATTCCCGTGTGTGTAAGTATAAAGCTGATTGTTTGGATTGTGCCAGGTCAGTGTCTCCTTTTATTCGTCGGAGAAAGAAATAAAATAAAAAAAGGGAAATTTTGGATTGGGTGAGAAAATCACATTTTTATGTGTGTTTATGTGACGACATCATCGTGAATTGCCTTTCACTTCATCACAATCGATAATCAATTGCGTATCAAATAAAAAAATAAAATAAAAAAGAGGGAAGGAAGAAATCCTTTTCTTGATACTCCAATCATCCACATCGATATCTCGAAGTGTTTGCGACAACGACATGAGTGACAGTCATAGCCCTTACTAAGGCAACGAGAATACATTAGAAACAGTATCCTTTTCGTTCATCTACTCTCGATTTATTTGATGTGTCAATAGGTATCATGGATACGTAAGAAAGATCTACACATCTTGACATCTGAGAATTTTGTATTCTCTGGTGATCAAAGGTTTACCGTCTTACATCAAGCGGACGCTAACGAATGGAATTTAAACATCGAACATGCAACATTGAAAGATTCGGGCGTTTACGAGTGCCAAGTCAACACGGAACCGAAAATTAAATTATCAGTGATGCTCGAAGTGACAGGTGAGAATGAAAAACGTAAGAGAAAACTTGTAAACGAGTTTCTATCTCACTTTGATACTTAAAAGCGAAAGAATGAAATAAAATAAAAATCCAATTAAATTTATCATCGCTTTTCAGTTCCAGAAGTTCTTCAAGAACGAATTATTGCGTCTGCCAATAGTTTTAATGGAAAAGGTAAGATTTGAAAACAGAAAATCATCTGTAAGAAAGAATTCTTCGAAGGGAATCGAGTGAAAGCAATTTTATTGGATGAATTATCCGAAAATTCCAGATCCCAAGATTTCTTCTCTTCCCCACCATTTAATTGAGGGTTAAAGTTTATTTTGATGAGAAAACATCTGAATAAACCATAACTCAATTTTCTCACCTGTTGTAGACTAATCCATGACCTTTTGTAAACAAACCGTAAGATTCCTGAGCAGTTTGCACAGCTTCTGCTCAAGGATCCATAAAGTCTTCAACCAAAGGAGATAAGTATAATATTTACGGTTCAAGTGAAATCAAAGAATTTCTTTTATACTCTTTGATCGTTTGACGTTGATTGAAAGAAGAAATATTTCTGGTCTTGGTTTTTCTCTTCAGACTTTTCACCTTTAATACTCTTTTGATTTCATCTAAAGAAGACTGAATGAAAGAATAATATGTACAAACAAGACAGAACACGTCAACAAAATATTCTTTTCATTGCATTTTCCTGACTTTTCTCTTTTCTTTATTCTCTCAGAAGATTTTTCTTAAAAATATTTAATCTCTGTTGGGGTTAAATTTAATCAGCTCGTGAAGCTGCAATTTTTAAATAAAAAGAAAGCAGAGGAAGAAAATCTCAACATGGAAGCCTTAAATCAAAGCTTCTCACTTTTAAAACATATAAATTAATTAGTTTATTTAATTTTTTTTTTTTTTTGGATAACGCTATTAACATCTAATTGCAAATGACTTGAGGGAATAAAAGTTTTTCATGCTATAGCTCATTAAGTATCTATGCTTTACTTTACTTTAAATTTTATCCTTTTTGCTTTTTTTATCTTCTTCTTCCCCCACATTTTCATTCGATTTCCATTCCAATTGCAGTAAAGTTCGCTAAAATCGTTGGATCAGCAGAGATTCATGTGAAAGTTGGAAGCACAATCGCTTTAACGTGTGTAGTGAACCATCAAGTCCCTTCGATTCAATGGTAAAGTACTCTCACATCTTCCTTAAGTGCAAATTTTCACACCACTTGATTGTTATTCCCATTCAATGCTTTCAATACGATTATGTGATGATGACAAAAAAATGAAGGTTTCATAATCATAGCCCAATCGAATTCAATTCCAATCGAGGTGGCATTAACTTAGAGACGGAAAAAACACATGATGGTACAACGAGTCGATTGTTATTGACGCGAGCACAATTTAGAGATGGTGGCAACTACACGTGCATGCCCCAAGGTGCAATCCCAGCTTCGGGATTCGTTCATGTTTTGAATGGTAAGAAAACTAAAGTTTATTCATGTCGATGAAAGCACTCAAATCTAATGGCGTTTAATGCGATTTCTCTTTTATTCAATTTCAAAAGGCGAACATCCGGCAGCAAAATATACGAGTGGCGTCACCCCACTCTCGTGCTTCTCTCACAGTGTCATTCCATGTACCACTTTTCTGTTGCTATATCATCATTGTTGTACGAGAAAGGTTGTCAACTTCTTCCTCGCCCGATTAAGTTGACTATAAAAATGTCTACATGATGGAAGCTGTAAAATGAAATTTGATGTAGCGACGAAAACTTTCACCCACCAGCCGTCGTCTTTTTTTATTTTATTCACTCATCTCTGTTCGATTTTTTCTTTTTTCCTTTTGACTTTTGTTTTGTAAATATGACTTTTGGAAAGTTTTCCTTTTTTTTCTTTCATTTCTTTAGTTTCAATCCTATACTTTGCAAAAGAAACGAAGCTAAGACAAAAAAGAAACAGAAAAAAACTTCGACATAGTTGAATTGAAGGAAGAAACTTGTTTTTATTCCCATGGAAAGAAAGAATAAATTTTATGTTCTGTTCTTAGTATAAGTTGTTCGTTCGACTTTTTCATATTTTCTTTTTGTTCATCGTAAGGAAAACAATTGTTAAGAAGAGTAAAAAAGTTGGGAACTTATCTAAGAAAATAAAACTGAAATTGAGAAGAATTAAACGAGAATGTTGCTTGTTTTCCTCTTGTGTCTCGTGTAGATCTAAAAATGTTCAAGAGGAATGAAGTTAATTATTTTCATTTAGATAATTTACAAATTGTAAGCTAGAAGTTGTGTGTGTATGGGTGCTTTTGTTTGTTGCAGATTGCAGTATTCAAAATAATTGCTTTTAATGTGCAATTGTGGGTGGAGATGACGTTTCAACTTCTTCAAAATTGAACTGTAATAGGATCACCAAATATGTAATTGATGTGTACACAAATGAATGTAACATTTTCATATTGATGTCGAAATATCCACAGGTGAAAACAAATGACTCCATTTGAATGATGATCTTTGTCAGAATGATTTCTATCTGCAAAAATGTCAAAAAATATACTTTGAGACTCATGTGGAACAAAAATGATTCATTGGAAAATTATTGGAACAAAGAAGAGAACATACTTCGACTTTATGATTAATGTTTTCGAAGTCATCATGTGAATAAATTGTATTCAAGAGAGATGCACAATCGCTGATAGCTTTATTTGTTGACTCGGTGGTGTAACATAAAGAAAAAATCGCAAATGCCGACAACAATATCCAATGTGCTTTTTCAATCAACTGGAAAATTGTAAAATTTTTCGTCGTCATCATGAAAAAAGTACAAAAGGAGTTGAGCGTGAAGAATAAAAACAAAGTACCTGAATAAAGAAACAAAAGAATGAAAATTAATGAGCTTAGTTGTTGGAAAAGAATTTAAGATTATGTTGAAACAAAAACAAGGAAAGAAAAATCTTCAAGTCGATTGCATCTTCAGTTATTTGCTTTTCCATTTTATGAGTGAGAGATTTTGTAAAAGCTTCTACAATCAAATCTAAAAGCTAAGGATGCTGAAAGCCATGAAACCTCGAACTTTGAATGAAAGTACTTAGCATAAAACACCACGAGACGAATTCTAAAGTATCTCGGTTTTTGTCTCTTTAATGCGTCACATAAATATTTCAAACATTCCATCCAACCCAACAACGATCTATTCAACTCATTTTAACTCAACTTACCGAAGGCGAAACTCAATAGGGTTGAGAATGATTCATTCAGCAGCAAAATTATTTCCAACACCTCATCATAAATCAAAGAAACTTCCTTAAGCTGCGACAGCTTTTCAATACTTTTTGTCACTGCTATATATTTTGTAGTCGTTGTGTTTACCACAAATGACGTCTGACTTGACTTGATCTCTTTCAAATGTTTAATCAATGCTATAAAACGAACTTTAATGCTGGCGCAGAGCATGCAATAAAATAAGATTTTGACACTTAAAGTAAACACCAGCATAGCGTGAACGAACTGACCCACATTATACTCAATTTTATTGCTGCAGCATTCGAAGACAAAGCTCCAAAATGCACTGATAAAAAGCAATATAATCATGATTCGTATAAACCACGACGACTCATCGTCTTTAATCTTAATATCGAATATTGTTTGCAGTCTTTGGTCAGAATTATCCAAACATTTGAATATAGTCGACAATGAAATTCTTGCAATCATGTTGCTGATGTAGATGATGATTAATGTATAATATATGCATCTGGTGTTTATGTAAGTGATTGTGGATACTACCATGCTTGTTTCATCCTTATATTGGACTGATGGCGACACCACGAACAACAACAAGATTATAAACGACACCGAATGAATCATCCGGAAGAATTTATATTTGTTTGTCGTCTTTAAGTAGAAACCAAGAAGATTGAGGAGTAACATAAGCGGCATAAATGCCAGATTGCCCTTTAAAATGTTATTTTGCCTCAAAAACATTCTCCTTCTTTCTCAAGTATATTTCTTCTGCTTGATGCTTCTATTCAAGTGCCTAGAGAGATACTATTTGTAAGCTGAAAATAAAAGCTAACACAAGAATGTTTCTTTTCTTTCTCTCTGTTCCAGTAATTTTACAAGTTTATGCCTCATTTAGCATTTAATCAATCTGGTATGTTGTTGGTTGGGGAGATAGAAGAAAACAAAAGAACAGAAAAGTGCCGCGGGCTTTGTCCGAAGATAATATCGCCTTGAAATGGCTTTCAACTTTTCCAATTCCTTTTCTTCTAATGCATCATTTATGAAAACATTTTCCCATGATGTTTACTTATGTTGGAGAGCTTAAAAGAACAGAGGAATGAATGTATAATGAGAGTTTGCTGTCAGCGGTGGACATTCTGAGGGCCAAAACAATTTCACAGTAGTTAAACAACGAAAATATTTATTCACATCTATTTAGGTATGTTTTCTTCTTCCTTTTTATGTTTCAGACTATTTAAGTACGTAAGTAAACTAAGCATTACAATTTATGTGTACATATAATTTGAGAATTCTAAGACCTAATGAAATACTATTTGAGACATTGACTTGGCATTTTCATGTTATTGGCATTAATGAGAGAAAAACTTTCAACTTAGTACATATTTGAACTAAGAAGTAAACAAGTAGATAAATAGATAATTGACTTATTTATCATTTGAATTTGATTTTGATGACAGTAAATTACAGTTTGATGTAAATCGCCATGCTTTGATCTTTTACAAAGATTCTTTAGATTTATTACATTAAATATCTTTTTGTGAAAAATTTTGAAGAGTTTTCTTCTGAAAAGTTTGAAATATTTTTTATGCTTCTTAAACAAATTGACTTCAAAATAAACTTTTCGTTTATTTGATGATTGATTAGTCGAAATCAAAAGAAAAAGTAAATAAGCAATAATTAAACTCATTATTGTTGTTCAATTATTAACATTATTTAATTCCAGGTAATTATTTCTCTCATTCAAATAGAATTGAAAGGAAAATAAATATTTATACACGTTTTCTAGGAAAATGAAACTGAAAAGCAAAAGTTTAGCTATTTTATTCAATAATAAAAAGCTTTTCAAGTTTCGGTAAAAGTTTTGTTCTTAAGAAAGAAAATTACTTTAAAAACATAAATTTTTTTCTCAGAGATCCTTCAAATATTTCCTTTTGTCTTGTTTTAAAGGAAAACTCTTCAATCATAAAAATACTTTTCCCTTGGAACCTTTTAAATGAATGAAATTTTAATAAGTCTCAAGTGTAAGTAAAGTTGGAAAGTGATAAATAATTAAATAATTTTGAAGAAATCTTCTCCTATAAAAACAAAAAAAGAGGAAAGATTGTCTAATGAGTGTCAAGTGATCAGAACTTATACATTAATTTTCCAAATACATTTTTCCGAAAATAATCTAGAGAAAGTACGTTAAGATGTAGATATTTATACCGTAAGTAAGTAAGTCTACAAAAGAGCAGAGCAATTTACACCCAACTGATTTCGCCATCAACAAGCAAGTGCGGAACGAAGAAAATTTATGAACTTTCACTGAAATTATCGACTTCCGCAATAATTCTTCGCTTTCGCAACGGGCGACTACTTTCATTAGAAAAATCTTTAGAATCCCTTAAGGGCGCCTCCCGTTGAATGTTCAGTCGTGTTATTTTAAATGTCGGTATTTTCTCCACATTATTGCCATTTGAACTATTTTCTATTCTATCACTGCTAATACTATCGATTCCGTTTTCATTCTCATTTTCATTTTCACGATGATCATCATCATCATCGTGTAAGGGTAAATTGTTATCATTATTCTCGGGAGATTTTGAAGTTGTGTAATCAAGTGGTTGTTCTTCACTTTCTTCCGTTTTCTCCATCGCCGGCAATACTACTGCTTCTTCTCCATCACGACGATGAGTGTCATTATCGTGTTCAGTCGTTTCGGTTGAAGATTTCTTTGTTCGATAGGCATTCCAGAAAGCTGATAATGGAAGTGGAACGGGGATGACTATCGGCAGTATCACGGGGTGCGGTACGAGAATCACTGGCGGGGGCACCAACGAGTTCATGTTGTTCATTTGATGATATTGATAGTGGTTTGGATCATCAGGTGGAGGCGGGGGTGGCATACGCTGTTGTGGAGAAAAATTAGGAAACAGTGGCGGTCGAAGCTTAAATAAATTCATTGGTGGACGTTGCATAAATGGAAGTGGTGGCCGATTGAAATTTTGTGACTGAATATGCTTTGTCGGACTTTTGTTCATTTGAGAATGAATCTTTACCCTCAAATCGGATGGGAAATTTGTATTCATTATTCTTTCGCTTGATGAATTTATTCCGTTCGACGAAAGATGATGATTTGGTTTAATACTTAATGCCAATCGGGCTGAAGCGCGACGTTTTCGAAAGTTTTTATGATGAAACACGTTACGCGACAGCAACTTCGATGAAGGCAGAACATTTATCAATGGCTTCTTAGAGCGTTCCGTGTTGCTGTCACAAGACAAATTAACCGAGCTTGATGTGATTGTTGACGATGATGAGGGTTGAGACTGAGTGACAATTATTTTCGTCATTGTTGTAGGTTTCTCAACTGCTGTTGCTGTTGGTGGTGTGGGACTTCGAGGCAATGCATCTGGTGATGGCGACCTTGAACGACAATTCTTCAGCCATAAATCAGGTGTTATTAAGCTTTCTAAAAGTTGAAAAGAAAATCAAAATAGATTAATTAACAATTAGTGAAGTGAACGAAGAGAAATTGAAAATAAACAAACATGCCACAGGTTGCGACATCTTGTGTTCGAGGAAGCACAAAGAAGCTTTTGTAAACCTCTTCGAGTGAACGAACGAACAATGTTCGTGTTGTTCGTTCAAAAAACATTTTCATAGATATCAATTTCGCGAGAGGCGGAAAGGGGTTGCAGAGGTAGTTCTTTCATACGGAGGAAACTTAATCAGTAACAAGTAAGAAACATTTATCAGTCTCGTGGGTCTTGTAAAGCTTTAATAATCTGCATTAAGAGTCATTCCTCGCATGACAACAAGCAATGGGAATTTATTTTCATGAAAATTAATTTTTGTCTCTTTCTTACCACCAACTTCTTTTGTCTCCTTAAGATGTGGATTTAGTTCAAGATGTGCTTGCGTTTCTCGGCAAAATATTTGCATTTTGTATTGATTTAGACATTTATCACTGCAAAACTGAAGTTGAGTAGCGCCATCATTGAAATCAACGTAACTAACGGCATTCCGAACACTTTTGCAGTAATCACATGTCTTAGCGCGTTTGAAAGATGCTCGACGCCAGAAAAGGAAACAATTTTCAGAACAGAAAACGGTTCCTTGCGATCCAATGATTTCTGTAGAGGTCGGGCTGATATCATGATGACACCACGAGCAATTATTTTCTATAAAAAGATACAAAAGAGATAGAAAATATTTCTTGCATAATTAGAAATTCTATTGATGTTGTTAAGATGTATCGATTACTACTACCTAGTAAAAGCATTAAATATAACCAGAATCTAGATGATGTTACTCAATATCTTTTAAAATCAAACCGCAAGCAACCAACATTCAATTTTCTAGCATTATTGTAAGCATCAACAATGACATCATTAAACAGGGGTTTTTGAATTTTCCAAAATGATTGGTAAACTCTCATTTTAATTAAAAGTAAAATTATGTAAAACGAGACAAAGATATGGAGGAGATATTTCAAGTGCCTAATGATCATCTCGTGTTGAAAACAAAAACAGCGACAAAGGAAAGAATAAGATGAAGAAAGGAGCCAAATTATGAAAATATCAAAATTCAAGAAATATCTAAAAACATTTTCTTTTATATAACTAAACACGAGATGCTAAGTACAGATCCATGGCTGATGCTTTGAGCTGTGACGCAAAATGATATGACGACAAATTAAGATAATCATAATCATCATTTGGTGATTTTATCATTTTTTCTCTTCTTTTCTTCCTTTCGCTGTTTATAAAGAAAGAATGAAATTGAAATTTAAACTGCAGTTTGAAACCTGAGATTGGAATTAACGAGCAAAGAGGCGAACAAGATTCTGCTTATCTCATATTATTCGATTGTTATCGTGAAAAAAGATTGCAATTTTCGACTGTTCATAGTGCGCAAATTGAAGAAAAGTAATGAAGAAAAGAGATGAATATGTATCTAAACTCACCATCTTTCTCTCCAAGTTTAAGCGCCAGAGGGCTTTTTGAACTTTCTCCCGACGAACTCCCGTCCCTTTCCGATGATACCGATGAATATTCGTTCACCTGCGACTTTATACTTTCGCTTTCACTTCGTCTCATCTGTCGCTTTGAATCCAAAAGCTTTTGTGAAATATTGGCAATTTTTTTACAGCTATTTCGATGGAATTTCACAGTTAATTCATTTCGTTTTGTGTCATCTTCATAACCATATAAGCCCAACAGTTCATTAATTGCTGTTGCAGCATCCTCACCGAATTCCTATTCATAAATTTCTATTACTTATTATTATTATTAATGTAAATATGTTAATAAATAAATAAATATAAATCTATATTAAAAGTGTAAAGCCAAACAAACAAACAAGCGAGGGTTCCATCGTCTCCCATTTTATTTCTTTTTTTCTCTCCTTCAATACAATAATCAAGCGGATTATTTAGCAAAGCATGAAAACAGAGCTCCATGTAAGGTATCGATTGGCATACAACACAAGGCAAAGAACACACGAGAGCGTAATCTGATATCATGCTTCATTTAATTATCTGTGAAATATTATAGAATATTTTATAACGTTTTTAGAGTCTGTGTAACGTGATACTTTGCAGATATTACTATATTTCAAAGCTGTTAGCTCTCACTCACTCTCTCACTTCCCTATTTCGAATGTGTCTGACTCTGACTGAATACTTATATGCTTGAATATGAAGAATATGAGAGTGTTGTGTGAGCGAGGAAATCAAAAAAGTATCACATTACCCTTCAAGCACAGAGAGTTCTTCTTTTTACATCCATTCGTTCATTCTTTCTTCCATTTATTTCATTTCTCCTTCATTAATTGATGGCCTGATTTATAAACATTTGACTGTTTAATCTTCTCAACTTCATCACAAACAACTCTTTTACGAGTCATCACTGACTTTTCAAGATATTATTTGGTTTTTTCTTCATCTTCTTTTTAAGACTTTTAATTAACCGGAATATTTCTATTATAAAAAAAACGAAGATATTTCGCAATTGGGAATTCCATTAACGATTTGAAATCATTGATGTGAAATAAACATCTTGAATTTTCTGTAATAGCAAATTGAACTGAATTTTTCATGCTTCATGGTGAAGGAAATTTCCGGATGCGTTCTTCGATTAATTGAGTAATTGGTTTGTGAGACAATTGTCAACAAGTTTTTCCGACAACAGCTTGTTGTACTTCAATCGATAACATCTTTTTAAACGAACTCGTCTCTCTTTTCCATTATAATTTTGCTGCAGGAAATAAGGCATACAACACAGCATATAACAACATCAGCCTTGCATTTTGTGAAGTACAAATCAACAAAAAATATTCTGTTTATTTCAGAGCAAGGTACAACACAGAAGGGAAAAAAAGTAGAAAATTGGAAACAGTCCCCAGGAAAAGAAACTTTTTTAATTTAAGACTTTGCTGAGCTCCCGGTGACGTGTTGAAGCATGCAAGAAAAAGTCGACCAGAGTAATGGCGGCGGATGAATCCATATTTTGGAACAAAAATCGATGGAAATACGATCACTTTTTTGGTTTGTAATGGAATAGGTATTATTTTCACAAAAAGAAGGCAAAATAAAACTTTTCCCTTGAGTCACAAGTTCAATGTGATATGCTCGAAATATTTATTTCGCATTGCGTATTTTTTTGGTGATTGTTGAAAAATTTTCATGAAATATTTTTGATATTTGTCTGTTGTTAATGATGGAGACGGAGATTAAAAAAGAAGAAAAAGTTGCCGAAAATACTTCGAACTTTTCTAGTAAGAGAACATCGTAAATATTTTTTTACTGAAATAATTCAATATTTGCAATGATTTTTCTAATAATTTCCATGATTGCAAACTCGGTCTTGCTTATGAGCAAAACTAATAATTTCTGGTACGAATAAATATACGAATTGAAGCAGTTTAGAAGCACAACAGAAACCAATAGAGTTTAAAATAAACTCAAATAAACCTTCTATACAACATAACCAGACGGTCCTCTGAGATTTCGCATAAGCAATTTTCTCTTTTCATATAGAATTTGTTTAATGATTTGTTGAAAGGATACAATTTCACCCACAACATGCATGTATGTGAAACCTTCAGATTATATTGTTTGTTGAGTTGAAGGTCCACTGTGTTAGGAAAAGCAATGAAGAAACTTTGGAGCTTTAAGAAACATAAGATTCCCTCCACGTCAACATATTTTCGTACAACATTAATCCTCTTTTTTTGTATCCCTTAATGGTTTGGAAAGTTTTTATTCAATCAATCAGTGAAATTTTCCACAACAGTTAAACTTTGAAGTTTATTCTCATAGCGGTTCTTACATATATGATGTAATCAACATTCCAATCAAATTCAAAGTTCACAAACTCCCAAATAAAAAATTCTACTTTATCTTTAGGGGATCTTCGTTGACGTTTGTATGTACATGGGCTTGATTATTTAATCGAAAGAAATGTTTTGTGCTTGTAAGTTTGAATCCTCGCTTAGAAGCTTTCAAATGGATAAGTTTAGATTATAGGAACATCAATGTTAGGAGAAATGTCGGCTTTAAAGATCAGAGATTAACAGTGAAATGGGTTGAAGTAAGTTTTCATATTCTCAAGTTTTACAATGAGCAATTCATCGAGAAAGTTTTCACTTTAGGAAAAACATTATTAACTTCGATGTTGATCTTTTTCAAGCTTAGATTTTTCATATGAAAACATCGTAAAATCAATAAAATCTTAACTGAATTTCTATTCAGTTTTAATGGAATTTTGCTGCTGTAATTGAGTTGCATAGATTTTTCGTTTTTTGATTCAGATATGTATCACTGAAATAGGTGAATTCCTGAAATAGCATTTTAATCTTGTTATTAGAATTGCTGTATTGTAGCTTTCAGCATTGCAATAATTTGCATAATATTTTATCTACATGAAATCGGTAGCGTGCGTATGAACTCTTTCGAGGATTTTGCATCATTTATTTAATAGTTTTCAGTTGAACAAGTTTCGCTACAGCGTGAAATTTAAATTTTCCAACGAGATATATTCAATGACCGACAATCATGTCAGAAGATGAAACAATAATGGACTTAAACAGTCATGAGAATAAAAGAGAAGTTATGGTTTATCCCCAGGCAGCAGCTCGCAATTCAGTTTTTGAAGCGATCCGGGAGATGAAACAAAGTGGAAGCACTTCACCAAACTTCACTTCCATAACGAACATTATAATCCTGTTTACAGGCTTTTACTTGAATGTTTAAACTTTGAAAATTCCAAATAGAATTTATGAAGACGTGGATATTTATTTTCAAATAAAAGAAACACGAAAATTTATGGCGCTTGCTATATTCAAAGTATCTTCTTGGTTTTTGAATTTAGACGCTTTGCTGTTTATGAAAAATTAATTCATGTTCATTGTTTAAAACATTCTTTAAAAGACGTTTTGATAATTCAATTTATATTTAAAACAGAGAGAAAAGAATTAAGCCAAACAACATTAAAAGATAAAAATATTTATGTACCTCGGTTTGGTACGGAAGCGAAGACAAATAGAATTTCGCTTTTGATTATGAGGAGCTTTTTGTACTTTAATCTTTTTAAAAATTGATTTGAGCTTTTAATAAGCTTTTCATTCGTTATTTGATGTGAAGATGTGATTTTGAAAGTAGATGTTTTCATTATGAAGTGGAAAGACTTTTCATAAAGTTAATTATGATATTCAAAGTTCAAGCAAATTGTTGAGTGTAGGAAAAGCTTGCATCTTTGTTAAATAATAAAAAGATTAAACTATGATGATAACCAAAACTTTTCTTCATACTGAACAGCTTTTATTGAATTGATGATCGTTTTCATTTTCCTGGTTTTTAATGGACTTCTCAAGTTTTAATCAAGAGTTCATTTCACAATTACGTCACGGAGAAATTAAAAGCAGCCACGTAATTATCAACGTAAACTGTTCACTCAATAATGAAAAAGTTTCATGATACTTTATAACAAGTTTCAACTCAATTAAGACTTTAGAGGTAACTTAATAATCAGATGCCCCCTCCTTCAGTAATATTAAATTTACTTCATAAACTTTAAAAGTAAAAATTTTTAGTGTCGACGATTCTGAGTAATAATTTTTTTTTTCTTTTTTGATTCAAACGATTCTCATCTCATTTTGCGCGGTACAAAATGTTTCTCAGACTCGACCCAGCTCATGCCTCTAACAAAAATATTTGTTTATTTATTCTTTCTCTTTTTTTGTAACCTAAGACGTCTTGTAACTTTATCCGTTTTTTCATTAAACATGCGAGAAAATGAGCTGAAAATATTTTTTTTCTTCGTTTTCGTTGAAAATTAATGAGAAGAATTTTTAATGGGAAAAAAATCTCTTGACTTTTATGTTTATGGCCGTTAAAATGAGCAAAACGACATCCAAACGATATTGAAACATAACACCGCGATGTTGTCGCAGTGAAATTAAAACCATGTGTCTTAATCTCCATGCTATTCGGTTGCTATATTTGCGAAGGTTTTTTGTGTTTGTCGATGTTTATCTGTTCGGCAATTAATTAACGCAAAGTTCATAAAGCCCCCGTTATGATTAACTCACAGTCATCATCAACAACGTGCTTCCTACATGATATTAACAGTAAATGTAGAAAAATCGCACTCAAAATATCTATTAAAGTGTCGCAAAAGTTTATTTATATTGAAAAATATTTAAAAGCACGCGTCGCGACGTTAAAATTAGCCTTGTAAAATATAAGCAGACTGAATTAAAGTTTGATGAACTTTCTCGCTTTTCTTACTCGAATTATGATTACCCATTTTTATCACAATGATAATTCTTTAATAATGAAGTATTTATATGTAAAAAGAAATGAAATGGCAAATGAAAATAGATTTTTTTCCATAGTAGATAGATAAATGTTGTTTATTATTACTCAAACTGAGATTAAAAATATCTTTTTGGACTTCAATTACAATGAATTTGAAATAGAATGACACAAGGAAGTTAAGAAAGCAAGACATGGAAAATTGAAACTTAAACAAAGAGTTAATGCTTAAAATTACTTTTAATGAGGTGAAATATGAAGATCTTGTAAATAATCTGCAATGTATCGTCGTTATTGCCACATCTACATCCACATTAATACAATCTTAGAGTGAAGAACGAGAATGGAACATTTTGCCAATGACAAAGGTAAACATAATGCTGATAATGCTTGCAATAAATCGAATCGTTTTTCAGTCCATGTGGTAATATGAGAACATATAAAAAAAGCCATCGAGGTCTTCGAATGCATAAAGCAGAGACGGAAAGACTTGGACGGGTTGAAGATTTCATGTGGTTTCTCAGTTTTCAATAGGAGCTCGCAACATTGATAAGGAGAAAATGAAATTAGCTTTCCATTATTTTCTCCTTTCTCAGGCTAACGGAACCTTATGCTCTTCCGACCTTTAACCGCGACCCAAAATATTTACTTCATAAATTCATTCGTTTTATGGGGTATAACCGGACAAGTTTATTGTAAGCTTTTTTTTAAATTGTTATCATTTTAAAATGAAAATTATTTTCTTTCCTCTTAACCGTTCACTAATTTCTCCAAAGCTTTCTCCAAAGCTTTTGATAAAGTCAATCATTGCAAA